GCTTGATGCAGCAGCTCAGCGCACAATGCAAGGAGACAGCAGCTGCACTCACAGCAAGAGTCACCGATCCGAGGCAGCAGCAGGTTCGATCGCCACTGCATGTTGGGAAGTGACCTGAAAATGAGGGTCGGGGCAGAGGCAAGGATAGCAACCGTGCCACAGCCACAGAGCAAAGCCCAGAGCATCCGGAGTGTCCGAAGCATGAGCACCTGCCAGGTACAGTTAGCAGCAATGCAGCAGCAAGCAGCAGTGACGACACCCCCGGGGACCGGGGAACCTGTAGTCGAGGAGGCCGACGAAGGTTCCGATGCGGCCTCAAGCAAAGCATGCACTACGGATACTAAGGTACATGAACACAGAGAGTCAGTGGGCATTCCAAGGCCGAGCTGCGATATGCTAGGATCACAGACGTGCGATCACATGTGTGCACATCCCGGCCAGGTGCAAGTATGAGCACCCGACATGTGGCTCACTCGGCGAAGGCGGTCCCCGAGCTTCCCGAGACACCTGAGGAACAGCGAAGCAAGAGCAGAAGGGGCTCAAGGAACAGGAAGCACGAGCCACAACAGAAGAGGAGGCCTCCCATTTAAAGTCGCACTCGTATGATCAGGCACCTAAGGCAGAGCGAGAATAGCAAGGAGCATCAAGGAAGGGCATGCCAAGTCCAGGGAATCCAAGGTCCAGGCCGCAGGCGTGCAAGTGGGACAAGATGAAGCCTGACCAGAGCAAGAGTACCAAGGAGGCTTGGGGGCGGGGGCGGTTCGGGTTGGGCTCCTTTTAGGCTTTGGGGCTTTGGAGTTTAGGGGGGGCTTCGGTTTTGGGGCTTTGGGGCTTAGAAGGATGGGGACCCGAAACCCGAGAGAGCACGCAACGACATGTTTCCATCGCAATGCGACGTGAAACTCACCCCTCGCTTGGTGTGTGCATCGACCCGGCCTATGCCTAGGATATATGGGCTGCGACCCCCCTAGCCTATATGTGCATATATGGGGCGTACTCCGCACACACAATTTTTAAAAACCTGCGACGGCGACGGCACTGACTGCTAAGCTACGAGTTTACAATCTCCAGAAGGCGCCCGATCTGCTCATGGATCTCGTGAATCTCATCTTCGGTTCGCTCCGACCTGGCCTCCAGTCGAGAAAGTCGCCGGTCAAAATCACTAAGCGCTCTGCTGTTGGAGATGGCCTCGATCCCGGCACGCTCAGAGCGGTTCTGCATGGACCTTCGCAAAGCCTGGATCTCCTGGGCCAAAGCTGTGTGCTTGCTCTGAAGGCTCTGGAACCGCATACTGCTCGGCGACGGTGTGCGAGGTTTGCGAGGCGGTGTGCGACTGCGGTCAGGACCATGTGGCCCAGCTTCCATCAAGGCAGCGCGAGCCGCCTCCCCCAGGGTCCTTGCAAGTGCTTCCTGCCCACGGAGCGCCAATTCCAAGTAGAGCAACACGAGGGCCGCCATCCTAAACCCTTCGTCCAGCACTAGCCAGGTATAGCAAAGAAGAGCCGTGCACCAAAGTGGCTGAAGCCAGCAACGAATCTCCGCTCGGCTGCTGCAAGCCACTTATCCCAGTGACAACTTGTTGTTTGGCCAGGAATGCCAGGACTTGACAAGCGCAGAGCAGTCGGGATATGGCAGCAAGGCAAATCCTAGAATCCTAGATGATAGCAGGATACGGCCGGTTCATAGTTTGGATTCTTACCGACAATGTTGCCACACTTTGACCTCGCACTGAAGAATTGCCACCGCTTGGCCCACGTACGACTTCGGTACTGACATGCACTGACACCCAACTGATCCTGCACAGCACTTCAGTCGCCCCTTAAGCCCGGAACCCACAACCCCCGAACCCTCAGGACATCGTTGGAAGGGGCGTACTTGCAACTTCGTGGATGGTCAGGGGGCTACGAACGGAGCTGGAGCCATTGGAGATGTTGAGGCCAGCCGAGTCGTTGGAGTTTCGGGGTTGGGGTTGAAGGTGTCCTTCACTGCGAGGCCATGTGCTCACAGTTGGGATCCAATCTGAAAGATTCTGAAAGTCACAATCCAAGCTTGTCCCCGGGTGGTCCATGTGCGGTTTCTGTTATCATCGAGCTCGCCCAAATGCTGCATCACAAAGGTTGCACATCTACAACCATCCACACTGACAATCAACTGATCTTGCACGGCACTACAGTCACAACACTCAGAACCCTAGCCCTAAACTCCCATCCCCGGCGCACCTTCAGATCCAATCGCTGGTCCCCACCATCGCCAGCTGCATCCTGCCCATCCTGCCGTGTGTCGGCAAGCAAACACGTCTATCCGAAAACAAACACCGGCTCACTCAAAGCAGCCAACCCCTGGCCTCATGCTTCTGCTTGGCATCATCGCTCGCCTGTCACCGAGCAGAACCACAACAGCAGAAAGTTTCGTAGTGGTAAACGAAACCGCTCAATCTCTGGGGTCCAGGCTGCAGGCACCGAAGGTGATGGGGAAGCAGCAGCCTAAGGACACAGTCGACGACCGAACAAGTTCCACCGACAGCAGGGGCGTCACGTTCGGGAAACCCGCGCCTTCGACTCGCCGTCTCGGTCAGCTGCATCCTGGCGCAACTGGGGGGGGGGGGGAGGGAAAGACAAACCACCTAAACGGAGTCTAAACCCATCGAGACTGAGCATCCAGCCGTCACGGGATCGCCTCCTTCAGGGACCTGTAGACAAAGGCCATCCAGACCACGACCCAGCGAGAACAAACCTCAAACCCGTGCCAATGCCTCGCTCGGTTGGGGAGCCGAAGGGCCATCCTTCCATGTTGCAGACGCAGCGGGCCACATTCGAGAAAGTCGGGCCCCGACCATCTGCAACATCGGACCAGCCAAGGCCACGGCCGTCTTCGAGGAAGTGGCACCGGCCTTCGCCGAAGCCTGCGACCCGACACGGAACCGCAAGCCCGTACCAGCCTTCTTCGAGGATGCTGCTGATTTCGCCACCTGAGCGGAAGGATCAAAGGAGCCCCAGCAGCTCGAACCATAAGTCAAAGTACACCCAGGCCTTCAAGCAGCCTTCCCCAAGAACGTCGTAGAGATGGGCTTCGTCTTGAGTGGGCGGCTCCTGCACGAGTGGGATGGTGAAAGGAGGGAGGATGGCTGATTATAACGGGTCCTGAAGCTTCTTCTTCCAAGCGAATTCCGAAGCCAGCGTCCATGAGCGGAACTTCTGTGTCGACGGTGCCGGCGCGAGCCACGTATCTCGGCACAGAATGGCACAGGCGAGTGATTGCGAACACAAATCAGCCCCCAGAAAATCCAAAATTGCTAACGGGGTGCAAATGGGTGCACCTGACTGTGGCCCGCTCTTCCGCACCGACGTTTGTCGGAGTCGCCACCCGCCATTGCCGTCACTCGACTTCGGAGGCATGCTTCTAGGTGCTGAATGTGACATGGCCCCTACGGAATAAGTAAAGTGCCTGCTGTTCCAATAGTAAAGCCCAGTGCCGACAAGGTGGCTTACCAAACCCTTCCCCCTACGCCGTCATAATGGCTTAAGAGTTTCATCAACGAAAAAAATACATTAGTAAAGCCCAGTGCCGACAATGTGGCTTACCAAACCCTTCCCCCTAGGCCGTTAGAGTGGCTTGAGATCTTACTTAAGAACTTAAAAGAATAACTATAGTACAATGTGCTGGTGCTGGTGTTGGCTACAGGCCGTGTCCCTATGACGTACATGCACCATCATGCACCTCATGCCTTGGGCCACTTGCCCTGCGAAGCAAAGGCCGAGGCAGGTTTGCCTTCTCGAAGGATATGTCAAGCACTCCTTAAATTACCGATAGACTATGATAGACTGCTAAGTACTTAAAAGCTTATAAGTCTAGGCCACTCAAAACAATAGGTCCAGACCTATTTCGGTGACCACCACCCACCCTTCCATAAATAGGTCCCGATATAGGTCGGTCCCCCTGTGACCCCCCCCCCCCCCTAACGACCTATTATTAGGGGGGAATGATTGCTCTCAACTTCCGGACTCATCTACTGAAAAACTGCTCTCGGGGTTTGTTATCATCCCTCACATGTATCAAACTTTATGTTCACACGCACACACCCACTCTCTTTTCTTTCTCCGGGCTCGAGGGCGAGCCCCCGCGGGAGCCGCCCGTCTGTTGATTGTATGCATGTGTGTTACATGCGGGAACAACAAGCACTCCCCGGCGATACTGTACTCTACGCCCCGAAAGTTCCATGACAAGTAAGATATTGAACCCGTGTATCGCCCACTGCCAGTACTGCTCCGTGGGTATTCCACTTTGGGTCGGCAGTGCGAGGAGGCTGACTACGAGTGGGCCTGCACAACATATCAACATTCTACAGGTACTTTACCCAGGTGCTGTTTACAATGTCTCTCTCTCCCTCTCTCTCTCTCTCTATATATATATATATATGCAAAACGTGTAGATATATATATATATATATATATATGTGTGTGTGTGTGTGTGTGTGTAGTTCAAAAGATAGAGAAATATATATATATATATAGAGAGAGAGAGAGAGAGAGAGAGAGAGAGAGAGACAGAAAGAGAAAGAGGAAGAGAGAGAGAGAGAGAGACAGAGAGAGAGATAGAGAGAGAGAGAAAGAGAGAGAGAGAGAGAGAGAGAGAGACAGAAAGAGAAAGAGGAAGAGAGAGAGAGAGAGAGAGAGAGAGAGAGAGAGGGAGAGAGGGGAGAGAGGGGAGAGAGGGAGATGGGAAGAGAGGGGAAGACAGCGGAAGACAGGGGAAGGAGGGGAGAGAGGGGAGAGAGGGGAGAGAGGGGAGAGAGGGGAGAGAGGGGAGAGAGGGGAGAGAGGGGAGAGAGGGGAGAGAGGGGAGAGAGGGAGAGAGGGAGAGAGAGAGAGAAAGAAAGGAGAGATAGAGAGAGAGGAGAGAAAGAAAGGAGAGAGAGAGAGAGAGAGAGAGAGAACATGACGGCTCCAATCGCTACTCCCCTTGAAGACTTCCTTCCCCGTGCCATATAATCGTAAAGCCGCTCCGTGGACTGACAGGCTCATCCTCGGGATCACCTTTTCAGGGCTGTTTAGGGTTTAGGGCTTTAGGGTTTAGGGGTTAGTTTAAGTTAGGACCCCCTTGCCTATTTAGGCTATCGGTACCACCCACCCCCCAACCTGGTAATACAATTTATGCAAAAATCTTATTCACACTAAGGAAGGGGAAAGGGCAACAGGCAGAATAGATTGGACAACAACCCCGGCAACCCCTCGAAAAGGGAGAACAGACACCCAACCTACAGCTAAACAGATATCCACTCTAAAGGTGAACCGACAATAGGAAACCTGCCCCCCCCAGGGCTTTTAGGATTTAGGGTTTTGGGGTTCGAGGGTTTAGGGGCTCTTGTGGGGATCACGGTGTTTTCAAGGCTCCTTACGGGTGTGAGGGCAAATGTCGCTAGGTTTTGCGAGCTCTGCGCTTCTTTTACTTTGTTTTGGGGAGTGTCCAGCTTGTCCTTTTGCCATCGGTGCTTCTTGATCTTCCTGTGATCTCCACCATTATGTAGAGATGTATTCAGTCGTGACCTCCCACCCTCATACCCAAACTCCCGAAACCACTTCTCTCTTCTCTCTTGTCACGCCACGTAAGGATTCGACTTTCTTGAAAGCGATTGCTCCGTGCCATGAGCTCCGCCTAGTTCGATATCCGATGAATCATTCAACTCCTAAGCCCCAAAGCCCTAACACCCGCACATAGTATGTGGGTTTCCGGGTTTTCGGGGAAGCACTCAACAAGGACCCTAAGAGCGAAACACCTCAAGCCTGAATATAATACCGTTTTAACCTTTCTTAATTGGAGAATACACATTATGTGATGTATATTTCTTATGTTTTATAATATAAACATGTAATCTAATATAATTACCACTTGCATTTTTGATCTTCCTGGGCACCTTCTCCCATGGTTCCCATTTCTTGCTCCATCGCCTGGATCTTCCTTGGATAGGCATAGGCTGGCGCTCTGGGACTAAGTTGATGGACTCAGGGATCAGGGATTCCCCGCTGTAGGTTTCGGGGGCTTTGAATTTCGGATTTGAAGGCTCCAGAAGTATAGGGCTGAGGAGTTCGGGGTCGCATGTTTCTGGGCTTCCGTTTATCGTACTTCTTGTCGGCGAACGGTATCGGGGTTTAGTCGAGGCATCGGGAGTCTAGGCAAACGGAATAGTCTCTGCGGCTCTTGGAGTAATCTCTATGATCTCTATGATAGATCAGAAGTAGCTACATGGGGGATACGTGTCCAAACCATACTTTCTAACTCCAACTATAGAAACCCCACTTTCAACGATGTAGGTACTTAGGACCCTTCGGGAGTAGTGTCTTGAAGGGCCAATATAAAGGGCTTAATAAGCAAGTCGATGAGTTCTGTCACAGTGCTGGTCTCCGGCAAGCCGAGGTGGGCGGCGCAGCGTCATAATTAGAACAGGGTTTTGGGGTAGATTCTACTTCCGGTTCCGTAACTACAATCAGGAACCCTTAAGGAAGAATAGTGGCAGTTATATTTATACGCATTTATTCAGGTCTCTATATTAGAATACGATCAGCGTCATCGCTGTGGTGAGCTTCCGCAGCTTCTGCAGCCGGCCCTGAGCGAGACAACGGAGCCACCCCGGCTGACAGCTTGTCTGCAAGATCGGGACCGGGGCCTGAACAATTAGAGTAGGGTTTAGGGATTAGGGTTTAGGGGCCTGAACAGTTAGAATAGGATTGTGGTGGTCTCAGTCGAATATTCTTCAAATGACTTGTGCATACAGCGAATGTTCAGCGAGGCTTTGAGCGAAGCGTTCGACTCAGTTTGGACACGAAGAGAAAGGCGCGAAGAGAGAGAGAGGGGTGTATATGCATATGCTTGTAGATAGATATGGGAGTTTCCGAAAGTAGGGGACCCTGATATAGCACCCAAACTAGTAGGATCCTTATTGTAAGGACCCCCAAAAGAAGGTACCCCTAATTTTTTGGAAACTCCCATATACGTCCAGGCCTGCATCCGGACCACAGCAGAAGCAGCCTCGGCACCTTCCCCAGAGACTCCAATACCCCTTAATTAAGGAATATACCTTGAATTAAAGTAGGATCCTTAATATGATTTAAGGAATATTCCTTGATTAAGGGGTATTGGAGTCTCTGGGTCCATCCACAACAGGCTGTGCGAGAAAGGGGGGCGACCACACCCTACAGAAGCCCCTGCTAGGAGTCTTAGAGATTCCGGGGTGGCCAGGGTGGCTTCAGTGGTAATGGTTTACGGAGTGTTCGTTGAACCCGGTTTGAGAGGTTCTGGTGCTTGCCGGACTGTCCGAGGTTGCAACAAGGAGTCTCGACAAAACATCATCAGAACCCTGCGAACAAAACCCCCAAACACAAGCATCACCTTAAGCCAAGCCCGAAAACTAAACTAAACGAAAGGCACTGTTTAGTGCTAAGGGCTTATACATCCATAGGGACCCTAAACCCGGACTTGTCCCGGACACTGCGGCCATGCCTAGACGCTCCTGGTCGTGAGCGGCATCGCCGGGCTGATCCCCAGCCTGGGAAAGAGAGTCGTGTAGAGTATGAACCTCAAACCCGAAACTCTAAACCATGAGCAGAACCGTCGACAGCCCCCCCCCCCCCCCCCCCTGGCTGGTTCTTTCAGACCAGCGAAAGAACCCAAGACCGAATTAGCCCTCTGAGGTGTATTTGGGAGTTTCCGAGAATACGGGACGCTAATATAGCACCCTAAATAGTAGTATCCTTGTTATACGGACCGGAAACTCCGATATATACACTGAACAGCCGGGCTCTCGTGCAGTATGCCCGGCTTGCAACTCTGCTCGCAGCTGCTCCCCCATCAAAACCCATAAGATTCCACTTTTCTGCAAGGAAGAAGGGGTCAATGGTAGATAAGGGTTTAGGGCAAGTTTAGGGTTTACCTTAACCCTGAAGAACCTACCTTTTTTAAGGACATATATAAGGAAATCATAAAGGGGAACCCTAAACAGGTAGGCTCTTCAGGGTTAACGTGGGGTAAACAAAGCCCCGCAGTCCATGCATCCGATGCCTGCGAAGTCCTTGGGCCGGAGTGTGACAAGCTCAGAAGCTCGTCGTGCAGTCGGTCCATGCCCGTAGTCGCGGAGTCCTGTCATGCACTCCGAAGCCGTGAGGTTTAGGGTTCCGGAGTTTAGGGTGTTGTAGGGCTCTGGGCCTCAACACCAAGAGCCCTAGCCCAAGATCACTTCCAACCCCATGAAATAAGTGGGACCCATATTTACATAAGCTCCAACTATCCCAGGCCGCATCTCCCGACCAACCCAACTTCAAATGACAACCACTGGCCTGGCCCACCCCTCAAATGACGAGCTTAAGACTTGACGTGGTTTTGGGTCAAGGGTGTAGGGCGAACATTGGTTTTGGTTTAGGGTTCTGGGCTAAGGTGTGTTCTGGTTTTTGGTTTCGGCTGGTTTAGGGCTTATATAGGGTTAAGACTTGCTTGGTTTTGGGGCTGTGGGAGTCCCTACATTCCCAAAGCCTCTCCTCCTTCCGCACCCCTGCAGAGCTGGGCCATGAGGTCCAGGCTTTTCCTTGTCCCGGCGACGGTGGTGGAGGTGGTTGCCTTGTTGTGGCATCGCGGCCAGAAGCTTGAGTTTCCCTTTCGTGTTCTCAGAGCAGCTTGATGGTTTATGATACTCCGGATCCTAGACCAGTCAGTTCTTATGGCCGCAAAGCTATCATGAACAACAGCGTTTTGATAGGTACGGCTCGCATCGCTTCGAAACATCGCAACTCGGAGTTATGATGCTTGTGTGGGCTCTTTTGTCTTCGTAGCTCGCCGTGCCAATGCTAGCACGGAAAACCTCGGTGCGTAATGGCTGTCTAAGTTACATTCATTATGCTTACACCTGTCTAGGGCTGCAAGCTTGGATCCTGTCTCGGAATCTTCAGCTGTTGTATTTCAAAGGCTTCGAGCGAAGCAGCTTCGAGCGAAGCCGACCTCGGACATCGGCAGTGTTTTGTGCTTGTGGGGCCTATACTCCTGAGCCTAAAACTACTCAAAGTCATGCTACGTATTCCTAAACCCTAACCCGTTCAAGTCATGCTTCGGATTCGAAGAGCCATCAGCTTGCATGGCAGGTAGAAGCGAGCTGGGCGGGATGGGACCCTGTCCAGCTTCCTCGTCCTGCTGCGGAGATCCGATGCTTCCATGTAGGGTCAAGGGTCCTTGGTCTAGGATCTGGGGTTAAGGATCTTTCTTTGCGCACTCGTACCCTTACAAGCAGTCTAACAAGCTGAACAAGGGGCCCCGATCTAGCGTAGTTGCCCTGGGTCCCGAGCCGAAGACACCGACAGGGTTTACCTGGACCCTCACCAACCTTCCTTTTGAGGCTTACTTACGATGATTTCATTCTACAGGTCCTAAATAAAAAAGTACAAGTAGGTTCGCTAGGGTCCACGTAGGGTTTCGGATTCGGGTTTTACAGTCTAGAGCTTCAAGTGGTGTTGCGTGCAGGCCGCATGCTGCAGGGGCCAGTACCAAAAGAAAACATGATCTGAGTCTTTGAAAAAACTGAAGCCCAAAATCCTCGAGCGAAAAACCTATGTACAATTATCACAAGCCCTAAACCCTAAATCCCAAGCCCTTTCTGCCGAAATCCTGTGTAACTACAACATCGGAAACCCTGCAACCAGAAACTCTTAGCCGCTGAGAACCCAACAAAAAGCAAACTTTTTCAACTATGGTAGGGTTATCTAAACCCCAAGAAGGTTACCTACTAAGAACTACATTCGCCTCCTTGCTTCCCCGAAGACGGCCCATCATCTTAGCCAGAGCATCGGCGTGTTGAAGTTGCATCTCAGCCTTGCTGGTGATGTTTCAGTGATCAGGGTTAAGGGCTTAGGGCTATACAGGCTAAATGATAGCCTCAAGAAAATCAGTCTGATAGGTAAGATTGCTGTTTTTCTGCTCTTCTGGATGTGCATGTCCTCTGTCTCCTATAGAAAGGCATAGTCACTACGAGTGGTCCCCGAAATAACTGCTCCAGTATTATGCTGGCACCGTTGTTTTCGATAACCTTATGGCCGGGATTCTTCTGGACATCTTTGTCTTTGGTGCGGTCGATTTCGTTGCTGTCGCCATCGTCGCCGCTGTTGCTGCTGTCAGCATTGTTGCCGCTACTAACTGTGTATAGTCTTACGAAGAAGACCATGATGACTAACAACAAACAGATTACAGGAGATTTAAACAGTCTGAGGGTTTATGGGGGTGGGTGCCCGGCATGGTACTGATGTGTCTTGGCTGGTTGGCTGTGCTGTCTCATCACTACTGATCTAGGTAGTATGTGTTGCAGATGCAAGCGTTGCTTTAGTGTGGATGGCTTCTTGATCACTGTCGGGTATCGCGAATTGTGTCTGATTCGCTGTCGAATATTTCTTTCTTGTTTCCAGATGTGGTTGGCAGTTGTCGCTGAAGATCCTGACGATGACGCCGAAATGCAAGTGCTGATGTCGACGGTGATGATGACACCGACGATACGATTGAAATATGGTGCCTACTGATGAAAAAATGACTAAACCCTAAACCCTAATCCCTAAAACCCAAAACCCTAAACCCCCAAACCCTAAACCCTAAAGCCCAAACCCTCAACCCGAAATCGCTCGGAGCTTCGGCTGCTACTGCCGAGCGGCGTTGTGCTGCACGACGTATTGCGCCTTGTCGGGCTTTTGCGGATTAATTATAAGGGATCTATAAGGGTACTACAATACAGGGGCCTTCATTATTAGAATGGGGTTTTGGGGCTATTATACTATAGTTATAATAATTAAGGAATCCCTAAATAGTATTGGACAATATTCCCCCCGATTGTCCCTACGTAGTTGTGGTATAAAGAACCCCCAGAACTCTATCAAGAGCCCTGTGTTAAGTGCCCTTGGGCTTTGGGACCTTGAAGGCTGACAGTGCTTACAGTCTATACAGGACCAAGGATGATTCAAACACGGGCGCCTGTCTACCATAGGGGCCTCAATGATTAGAATAGGTTTGTTGGCACACACCAAAAGAAACTTTATCCTTTTGGCACTGGACTCAAGTCGAGTCAGTCTAAGACCCGTTTCTTTACCCTAAACCCTGCACCCTAAACCCTTTTACACCTGGGCTATGCACACCCTTGCCCCTCAATCCTAAACCTGAAGCATTCCTATACACTACATCAGCAAAATCCCTGGACCCTCCAAAGCCCGTCATCCCAAAAGCTGATCTCGAAACCCTTAATCCCCAACTCCTGAAATATATTCAGGGCTTCTTGCGCGACACCGACCTGCTCCTCAAGCGCTTTCCTCAGGCGCTTGTTCTCCATCTCCGCATCGATGAGCCCTGGGACAGCTAGAAACCACTAACAAAGTTGAGGAACATGTTACTTTGATTTGGGTGTTAAGCTTTGAGTTTAAGGTTTAACCTCAAACACTATTTGGGCTTAGGGGTTTGGGATTTTTGCCGTTGAGGGCCTAGCTTCTGGAAGCTTACAAGTCTCAAGACTGCAGCACTTTTGAACTGGCCGGGCTTAAGGTTGCTTTTTTGTTTAACGTCCCCTGTCCTTCTCGCCTGGGCTTAAGGTTTGGGGTTTAAGGGTTTAGGGTAGCGACTAGACTCGCTAGACCTTGAGCCTTCAAACACCACCAGAAGACTTCGGCGAGCCTTCCCAGTTCGACCCCTGCATAAGATATCCCAGGGTTGAGGCTGTGAACGTGCAGGTTAGTGGTGTGTATATGTATATATATATATATATATATATATGTGGGTGTGTCCATAAAGCTTAGATAACTTAGATAACAAAGAATCTCTTACAAAATATTTTCTGTACATGTCTATAAAGATTAAATAATACAGAACATCTTATATTTTTCTATATATATATATATATGTGTGTGTGTATATAAGGTTAGATAATATAGAATATCTTACAACATATGAAGGTCTGCGAATGTCTTCGATGGTCTAGGACAGAGACTGGCATGGCACGAGGACTGGGCTCTTTCGAGCGCGGAACTCTTTTCGGCGAATGTAGGTGCCTTAATGACTCCCTTTAAAGGGCTCTATAAAAGGGCTACTATAAGGGATCTATAAGGCTCCTACAATGTAGGGGCCTTAATAATTAGAACTGGGTTTTGGGGCCTATTATACTGTAGTTATAAATAACTAAGGAATCCCAAAATAGTATTGGTAATGATTTCGGCCCCCTTATCAGAGCAGGAGGAAACGAACAAGCACGCACCACAAGTCTTGCAGAATGCAAGTTCAGTCTAGAAGTGCGAGCCCGATTTCCGAAGACCCAACTCTCAAGCGGCCTGATAGAGGCATAAGAATATCCCGTGGAGTTTAGTATATAATATACAACATACAACACAATTCCTAAGAGCACTACTGAACTACGGCCGGGAAGGAAGAAGCCGCTGAGGAACGGGAGGACATGCGGCTCCGCTCCGTGAAGGAATCCTGAAGCAGCTGCCAGCTATGGGCATCCGTTTCTGGGGGCTTTAGAAGCTTGTGGGGCTGGGTATACATAGATCAACGCTAAACCCGAAACCTCCCTAACTATGCTCGATTTTCGGCTTAGGGTTCACAGAATATGGCTTTACGCAGGCACGAGTTTGTCTAACTACAATACATGTACATACTCGCAAGTTTGAGGCGCTGAACTCCCGACCGGCAGCGTCATTCCAAGCCTTGAACAGAAGGTGTGCTATCACTGTCGCGGATGTTCGGCTTCAGGAATCCAACAACAACGAGACCCTCCAAATACATGATAACACATAATGCGTTTGGGGCGTGGTCCTTTCCACCTAAAGACTCCCTAAAACCCCACTGCACAGTCAATCCCTAAATCCTGAAGCCCTTTTACACCTGGGCTTTGCATATGCCAGGAACCGAAGCGCCGGAGCCCCCAAAATCCTATTGTGGGGTTTAGGTCCTAAACCCCACAATAGGGTTTTGGGGGCTCCTTATTGTAATTGTAGTATAATATCCCCCAAACCCTATTCTAATTATTAAGGTCCCTGTATTTAGGCCCATAAACCCTAAACACGAAACCTTAAACCCTAAACCTTAAACTCGTTGAATGCCCGGCCCTGTCGCGCCTGTAGCTGCTCATCGCATTCACGAAGCTTTGAGATGAGCTCTTTAGCTTCCTCGGCGAGCCTTGCCATGTACAGGCTTGGGGCTTTCAGAGCCTACCTTAACCCCAAATAACCTACCTTTTCAGGGACTTACACAAGATAATCAAATTAAGAAAGCCTAAAAAGGTCCAGGTAGGGTTTAGGTTTGGGCTTTTAAGCATTTTTCCCTCCTTGTTGTAAGGGGCAGGGTTTGCACGTACAGGGGCTTCCTCTTGGGTTTCGGGTTTTGGGGTGTTTTGAGGGGCAGCATGGCCGTACGTGTTGCTGTACACATTGCAGCAATCTAGTCGCCAAGCTCACGACCGTGAAAATATGAAACACACGAGATGTTATGTGTGCGAATATGCCTGTGTAGGAGGAAGGTATTCAATGCATGTGAGAAGCACGTATGCATATTGGATGTACACCCTTGGAGCAAGGATCAACTCAATACTCCAGGGGCCTAATTTATTTGACAAAGGTTGTGATTCTGTTATAAGGAACCCCCCAAAGCCTATTCTAACTATTAAGGCCCCTACATTAGTTCTCCAGGGCCCCCTACGTGAGTGCAAGCAAGGAGCGGATTGCTGCTCTCCGGCGCCTCCTGCGACTCCTCGGGCTTAAGGCTTAGGGGTTTCGGGGTTTTGGGTTAGGGCCTTTAGGGGTTCGGGATTTAGGTTTCTGGGTTTAGGAGATCAAAGCTTTAGGGGTTTAGGGCCTTTAGGGGTTGAGTGGTTTAGGTTTTAAGAGCTGTAGGAACTCCTTTCGGGGTTCGGAGTTTTAGGGCTTTGGGGTGTAGGGACTCCTCGGGCGCAGTGGTTGGATCCTCGCTGCGTTCTCCGTTTTCTTCTGCTCCGACCGAGGTCTCAGCCTGAGATCTGAGGGCTCCGGGCACCGGGGCCTTAATTAGAATAGGAATACTTCAAAGGGTCGATAGGGGTTACTATATGGGACCCACTAGGTAGTATAGTGCTTCATAAGGGAGAGGGTAGAATTGTTATATTTGATGTGGGCATATCAACCCGCATGTATGTATGCGTACGTGTACGTGTATGTGTATAGGTACAGTGCATGTAATGTATGTAGGTATGTAGTAGGTATGCAGGTGTGTCTGTCTATACCAGATGATTTCGATCAAGAAGTCGGAAACATTGCAGCGCCCAGGACTTAGATCAAACATCATGCGGCAACTGCCACCACGAGGCAACACCACTCTCACCGGCGATCTCAGGTGCTTCTCCCTGGCACTTCGCCTGCTTCCGAGATTCAGGGCATTCCGCTGAGTGAGCACCACGAACCCGAAACTCATCTCTGGCCAAAACTTGCTTCACAATCCGGCTGCTCTGAAAATTTTTTTCCCCTCCGACCATTTTGCATGGTCTACCTTGACATGAAAGCCAAACCTCTTCCCACCAACATGCGTGAGGTTGAGTCGATATATATATATATATATATATATATATATATATATATATGTATGTATATATATATATATATATCTTTATTTATTTATATTTATATTTATATTTTATATTTTTTTATATGTATATGTATATCGTCGCCGGCCAACCAGGATCTTGGCCATCCTCGCCTGGCAAGGAGGGATTGGGATGAACGTCAGTAGTGCAATCTTGACCACCGCACACGAGTCACTGCAGCCTTCCCTGTTTTTTTGCAAGCGAACCCCTGTGAAACTGCGACCCCGACAGCACGTCGTCGACTGCTAGGCAATGCATGCTTGAATATGAAGTATCCCATCCTTCAACGATGTGCTTGAAAGAGATTTTGCAATCTCGAGCGCATTGCTACCTTCTTAGCCGGCACACATGAGCTCATGGTGAAGCGGCTCCCCGGCAATGCTACCCCCGGGTCCCTGCGCACGTTTAGCAGTGCTAGGGCGACCCGTCTAAAATCTTTGGAGCTATCGATATGATAAGTATCATGGTCGACCTCTTCAACAAGACGAATCATGCGAAGCTGTGCTGCGAGTCTACAAACTTGGAGGCAAAGTGGAGGCGAAGTGGAGACAAAGCCGTCCGACAGTTTCAGGGAAACTTGACCCGGAGGAACATGCTCGACGATGCTTGCCTCAGATGCGATGATCGTATGTGAAATAGAAGGAACCACTAAGCAAGGCAATGCAACAGACCCGAACTAGTCGAAGCAAAAGCCAGCGGCCAAACAATAGGTTTGAACTTCATATATGAATGATGCTGTGATGCTGCCCGGATACAGGGCTGTTCCGCCGGAAATCATGCTCAGAGCAAATACTCAGGCCCGCGACCGCGACAGCGAAAGCCAGGGCAGGGTCAGCTGCACAATGAACTTTGCGAAGATCGGCCACGATGAGCAGAGCTTTGCACCTCATGGCCTTTAACAAGTCGGCATTCTCCAGCTGCAAGTCGGAGGACGTGCAGTTCATCACCTGCCGAAAATGAAATACCGAACACCACGGTGATCATTAAATTAAACCTTAAGACCACAACCACATCTCGGGAAAACTTGCAGTGTTAAGAACGAGTGTCAACGCTGAAGTTGTCGAACTTCTTGTGGCACAGGGTCGTTTGCGACTGCAGCAAGCTGGCGTCGAGGACGTCAGGCAGCACGACTGCATTGTTCAGCACACAATCATCCCTGTTCTTCCGGCTTTCCTCGCGTCGCCTCTCGGTGGTCTTGCGGAAGTCTTGCGTCTGCTTGCTAACTTGGACGGGGTCGTCCACGCGAGTCAATGACAAAAGCGGCCTCGATTGCGTAGCTTCGCGGTTCCGAAGGCTGCAAAGTTCGTCCCTCGCAGCATCCTGGGATCTCTTGATGGAAGCATCTGTTTCTTTCGTGCTCTTTGCCCATCTGGGTTCTGGCCCCATTCTGCGAGTATAAGAGCAAAATCTGCGACCGTGTTTTGTCACCCACAAGGCGGCCCACTGCCGGCTCAAGTCAGTAAGCTTTGCAACCCCCTCCTCCATGCTGACTACCTCCTCCTTCGTTCGAGGGCCGTCGATGAGCAGGAGGCTGAGGTCAGACAGCGGAAGTTCGGAGATGCCGCAGTGTGCCTCTGCCACACGTTTCACATCCCCCAGGCCACGCTCTACAGAACTTGTCACGTGCTCAATGGACAAATACCATTCCAGCACCTTGTGCAAGTACTCGAAGCCGACCCCGACGCCGGTGGTGCTACTGAATGTAGCCCACAACTGTCTGTTGTCGACCGCGACCTCGTCCTCGAAAAGTCTTGCGTTCACCTGAATCAAATGTGCTGCTGCCGTCACGATTTCGTTGGCGCACTGTTGCTCGGCCTGGTGTACCGGCAGCTGGAAGGCCTTGCACAGCCTCTTGTAACGGCGCACAAGGTTCTGCAGTCCTATCCTTTGGTTCTCCGTCTGGCGGCGCAAGCATCTACGCCATTCCTGGAGGTCGAAGGCTGCAAAGTCGGACAGCAGCGAGTCATCGAATTCGGCTCCCAATCTGGCCTTGCAGGCCCTTGCCGCTTCTTTCATTTGGTGCAAGGCTAGAACTGCCTCTCGCGATCCAATCTCTTCCTCCCAGAGGTATTTGATCTTGAAGCCATAATAAATCGGTGGAGCCTCTCGGGCGTTCCGGATCGATCTCGCCACGCAGGTTTCCAAGTTGTTGGGATCAAGCAGTATCCGGCCTTGCTCAAAAAGAAGGTGGAGTCGATTCAAGTAATCATCGAGATGCTGTCTCAATAAAGCAGGGTCTGCATCAGACACGTCGTTTTGCCGTACCAGCTTCAGCGCTTCAGCGGCCCAGTCTCCAAGAAGACCGGCTTGTACGGCACAAGCCGGCCCCATGGCCTCTAGCCATGCTGCCGCCTGGGCGCGGTCCTCTTTCTTCAGCCGAGGGTCTTGCGAGCGTAGAGCCAAGAGCAGCGCGATGGCACCTTGCAGGTTCGTGTATTGCCTGTGCGCCGCTGCAGCACTCTCGTACCGCACATCTGAATGCCCAATCTGCCTCAGAACTGTTTGCATACCATTCGGGGTTCTCAGATGCTTTTGGCAAGCCATGAGCGCGTGTTGCAGCTTGGCAGAAGAAAGTACTGTATGAACCAGGCCGCCGGCAGCCATCAATTTGTCCCATCGGTCTCCCAGCAAAGCATCACGCTTCACAGGGTCTCCAGTCGCAATTCGTATGGTGTGCGCCGAGTCTTTACCGACGAGGCGCACGCGAGGAAGACCCGCCCTCAACATGGTCAATGACTTCTGCAGGGCACCGTCGGCAAAGATCGAATGGATGTGATCAATGATGTGCCGCAGCAGGCCTGTGTCCTCGCCGCAGAACTTTTCCAGGCAGCGCTTTACACTCCTGCAGACTCGCTCCCCATAGTCGTCCTGCAGTCGCTCGATGTCCAGCTCCACGGAAGCCATGTTCTCTACCCAGAGAACGCCACGATGCATGGACACCTTTCACACATGCAATTGCCACCAACTCTTAACTTAGCCGCCAGGAAAACCTGATGAAAGCTTTAGCAATTAGCTTTAGCGGCTAAGAAGCCTGACCATCATCTTGCCGGCAACTGCACTTGAACCGAATCAAACGCCAGTGCTTCTTGTCGTCCAACATGAGGGATATGGACGAGGATGCTCCGAGGCGAAGACGATGGCGACCTCGGATGGCTTCGGCCATAGTCTGGTGCATGTTCTGCATGGCGTTTGCCTTGACCTCAGGTCTGCGAGCGCTTGCCAACCATCGGCTTGCAGTCACAGCTTCAGCGGCCTGCCGGAAGGACGATTGAGTTTGCACCCATGCGAGCAGCCAATCTTCCGGCTGAGGCACTGCACCCGACAAGAGCTGGTCGTCCTCCTCGGACGGAAGGAGTGTCACCAGGGGAGCTGTAGGCGCCATGTACGATCGGACAGCCAGCTTGTGCATGTTGGACTGGGCGTGGTTGTGCAAATTGGAGGCTTGCAGGCATGAGAGTGTGTTCACTTCATACCGCCCCCAACGGGTCGACTGACGCCGCGAACGACCTGGTTATTGACTGCCCGAGACATCGGAAGAACAGCCTAGAAGAACCATGTGGAGCATAAAATCACTTCGGAAATCAAAAATAGAACTATATGCCATTGGGGCACACGCGGTCTTCTGGCTGCCACATTGATGCAGGAAGGAGGCACATATGTGGCAGCCCACAGCCCACTTGCCACCTGGGAAATGCTTTGGCCGCAGACCCAGCCAGGTCACCAGGCTTCTTCGGCCTTGAACGACCGCGTTGAGGGTGCCTGGCCTTGGATGCATGTTCTATCCATGTGGTGCATGCAGTAGTCCAGGAACAAAACTGGACTTAGGCAACAATAAGCTTCAACATCCCACTTGACCATGTAATTAAGGATGGCAACATGCTTCGGTTAAGCGGCCACATCCTTTCGGAATGTATGTTGTCATTAAATATTACCAACCAGAAATGCCATTCCCTCTCAGCCACTGAGGTCTACATCGTCTCGTTTTCAGTCTGCTGAGACAGCTTACGCTCAACCCAGGAAGGAGCCCCGAAAGCAGTCTCATGGGTTCTGAACCACGCAAGGGGAATCAACCTTTCTAAAAACAAACCTGGGCTGCTTCATTGGGCAATACAGTGTGGATTACACTTGTTCAAATCGGTTTAATTAAGTTGGGCCCATTTGAAGCAGTTGCAGCTGTTGCACCTCAAAGCTCGAATCTCTTCAAAACACTCTCGACCGAAAACAAACCTTATACAGTCATCTGCGCTCGCCGTTGAGACCCATCCTTGAGCCAGGCCTGCAACCCCTTGGGTCATGCAAGATTAATTTAAAGCAGGTGTGCCCGCCGAGGTGCCCACCGGGAGATGTCCACGACTTTGACATGAGCTTGTAACGGCAGCGAACGCAATCTGGTTCAATCGATGGATGCTGCAAATCGTGCTCGGCATCAGTCCATGACAGCATATCCTCTGATTGCTTCGCCTTCCACCAGGCCTTCTGCTTCAGCTTCCTCGACTCTGGCACTGTTCCGAGGGAGGCCCTTTCAGTTTTCCCAGAGTTAGCTGCCTTCTTCCTGAATCTGAAGGTCTTGGCGGAGCGTGCCCGAGAGGAACCCGTTGGACGGCTCGAGGACGACCGCGAGGACGGGGACTCGGCCAGTAATGCAGCTTTTCTTTTTCGCCCCTCTCCGGCCACCTGGCCGAAGGTCTTCTGGAGCCAATCCCGCTTTGCGGTTCTGTCCATGACTGACACTCATCCGGCCAGGATGCACTTCGAACTAGAAATCCGAGCCTGAAGGAAGTCGCACCTCAAAGCCTCTGAGTCTTACAGTGGAACAATAATAGAAATGTTCTAGCTTCTCCGGAAAGCCCTGTAGGCATGAAATCTGGAATCAACCTCATTTGCCCCAAAGCTGCTCGAACCACAAGCACCGCAATGCTCAAGTGATGTCATTGCACGCCCGGACATTGAAGAGCTTGCACCGACTGCGACTGAGAAAGACTAGCCTCACACCGCAAGCCTAATTCCGGAAAGACACGCCAGCAAGACCCGGGGCAATCTGAAGTGAAGCGGCCTGTGCGGAGCAAGGCTCAGAGAGAGAAGCCCCACTGGCCCAAGCACCGGTTTCGGGCTTGCTGGGTGATGGGATGTAAAGAAAGGGTCTTCTATTATAGGCAGTGAGAGGGAAAGATAATGATTTCATTGGCAGTTAAGCATCAGGAGGCTGTGACAGTGCTGAGCAGTGAAGAGCAGAATTCCAAACGCCGGAAGGCACTAAGCCAATTGCCCACCTTGAATCCGAAATCCTATTTCTTATGTCAACATGGCCCTACATGAACCCACTAGGCCTTAAACCTGACGTACAAGCCCGCATAAACATCCTGAAAAGGATCCGTAGAGAGCGCCTGTCAGATCTTTACAGTAAGTCCCAACCTAGGCAGACCTTTGTATCAACCTGTCTGCTCACCGTAGAAAGTCGGAAATCAGAATCACGACTCAATCACAAGTGTGTAACCAAACCCTGCCATCATAATTAACGGAACACTTAATCCGTGTAGATCCCTTGAAGTGCACCTTAGAGGCCGACAGCTTAAGCCCTGAGAAGAACCTTCAACCTTAAACCCTAGCCCCTCAGCCGTCAGGCCTATGTGCTATGCAGTACTCCTATATCCAACCCTTAATGCCTTAACCCTTCCGCTCAGCCAGGAGGGCATAATACAGCTGCCGAGCTTCAGGCGTGGTCGGGGCCGGGATTCTTCCTTGTGCGGAAGCCGGTTACGGTTTGATTGTTCCGTGAAGCCTGCGACAGAACCCATTGACCTTGACTGTCAAAATGGCCGTCTCACATGTCCATGTCAGATTTGCCCAGCTCAGCTATGCTCGCTACACACACTTCTGAGGAGGTGCAAATCGACAAACGCGAGCCTCCCAAAACTCCGTCTCCGGCACCTTCTCGTCCTGCCAGACCTCAGACAAGCTGTTTACCGAGCAACTTCCGTTTCAAGTTCTGTGACATGCGCGACTGCTTGAGAGGATTTTGCTCGACTGCATGTGGTGACCGCAGTGCAGCACGCCACTGCAGATGCCGGAAGGGGTGGGGCTGCAGGGCGATGTAGTTACAGAGCAGGACAGGGCACTGCTGCGAAGTTCGCACAGACACCGAGGAACCTCCAAAGCCCAACGTCCGAAACACCCCCGAAATTCCTCCTGAGGAGCGGCACGGTAGCGAAGATGGTCCAGGCCTAGGCAGTGAAAGGGAAGGACAGTGACTCAGTTGGCAGTTAACTCGAGTTAAGCATCGGGATGATGTGCTGAGCAGCGAGTGCACATGCAACAACCAGACGCAAGACGCAAGCCTAGCATCAACTCAGACCACTCGCACACGCTTACCATTTTTTTCGTCAGATCAGGACTTGTGCAGTCGCCTGAGCGTGTTTGGAGCAGACGTTTTCCTAAGATGGCGAACTTTGTCCAGACCGCCACCCTGCACGCACAGCTCTGGGCTGTCGCTCGAAGAAGTAAGGGCGACCGCGAGCGACCGCGACGCCGAAACAAAATCCACAAACACTTGGGCGGGTGTACGCCACCCTGCACGCACAGCTCTGGGCTGTCGCTCGGAGAAGTAAAGGCGACCGCGAGGGACCGCGACGCCGAAACAAAATCCACAAACACCTGGGCGGCTGTACCCGCACTCAGCTCCTCAGCTCTCGCCAGCTTCCCCGTCGGACTCCACGGCGATGTCCTGGTTGATGGGGGTTTCCAGCTCGTCGCTGTACCTGGGGGGCACAAGGAATGAAGCCGAGGCCTGGTTATTAAAATGGGACTCACCTTGCTTAGGTCAATCAAGAACGAGAAAAACTATCATCGATTCGAACAGGGCGCAAGTCCTTGACCGCACTGGCGAGCTCTTGGCTGTAGAGGTAGTGGCCGTTTTTGCATATGTGCTCCAGAGCTGCCAAGTCCAAGACGTTGGACATAAACGCTGCATGCTTGCTAGAGCTCGCAAATCCCAAGTATGGGATCGCGGCACTCAAGCATGCAAGTGGGAGCTGAGTCGTCATCCTCAAGTCGACCACGAAGCCCGCGCTCCAGCCCTGGACGAACTGTTTCCAGAACGTCATCGGTTTCCCCTCCAACCAAAACCACGGAATGGCCTCCTCCTCGTAGCTCTTCGGTGCCATTGCCACCTCGACCCCGACCCCGAGCGCGGAGCGCTTTGCACTCTGCGCGACACGCGGCAGAGCGGTGGCCCTTGGCACATTGAGGTACAAGGAACCAGCATTGGGATCGTCCTTCTTGGCGAGGGCGACCTTCGACCTGTTCCCGCAGCCAAAGCGGACATAGAAGGCCTCGTGCAGCATGTCACTGAACGGCACCGTCCTGGAGCGATCCTCTGTGGTCGAAGCCCCCCGCTCGCGCCGCTCGCGCGGAAGGTAAAGCACCATGCCCTCCGAGAGGTCCTGGCAGTCTGCAGCCACCGCCTCGCGATGGCCTTTGTTTCGGCCGTCGAAGACGAAGCCAATCTCGAAACTCTTGTTCAAGGTCTTCAGGTACTGCATCGGTGCCTCCACCAACTTCTTGTCGACTCCTGCCTTTGTCGGTCGCCAGGGCGTCGTTGTGGGCTCCTGAACGCAATCCAAGCTGAGGATTACCAACATGTGCGCCTCGTTGAGCTTCAGACTGGTCCGCGGTTTGACCACGTTTTCCTTGAATCGCTCCACCGCGGCCATGATCTCTGCCAAGGTGGTTGCTTGCGCGACATGGCAAAGCTTTCTTCGGCACTCCTGGGCTTTGCTCCAAACCTCCTTTCGCTCCTCCAGCTGTACGCTTGGAAGCTCCGGGTCGGAGCTCAGCCGTGCAAGGGTTCTCAGTGACAGCGACGGTACCGATGTATCGCTGCAGGAGTTCCTGTACAGGCGTATGAAGGTCTACAGTGTCGGTTTGAGTGATGATTTAAAAAGATGATATCGGGTGCCCACTCGTTTTGTGAAGCTCTCGCGTCGACTCTACACATGCAAGGATGCAAGGATGTTCGACTGCATGCAGAATGAAGTACAACATCCCTTTTTCTTTTGAAATCCCGGCCTCGTGCCGGCGCGTGCATTTTCAAGCATGGCCTGGAAACCACGGACCGCGACCACGAGATTGGCAAGGGTCTTTTTATCGCCTTTGTCGCTCTTCTCCATCTGTGCAGGATCCGTCACCACCTCTTCGAACTTGGAGTTCGTCGCCACTTCCACAAGCCCTTCGTCGTAGGCGCCGTCCATGCAGTCGTGGAGGAGGGTGGCGAGTTTCTTTGAGCACATGTGTTTGAGGCTGGCCTGCAAGTCTTGCAGCGGAGAGGAGCCCTCCTCCGCCACCTCTTCCTGCTTGTCGTCTGATGGATCCTGGCCAGTGCTTCCGCCAGATTCCGCAGCCGATGACCTCACCGGAAACTTCTCGTTGAAGGCGATCGGGGTGAGGAAGTGCTGCAGCACCGCCTGCATCTCGGTCTTGGAGGCGGCATCGTCCAGCACGGAAACAACACAGGAAAGATAGTTGATCAAGCGGTGACGGGTGATCAGCAGTGCTACGAAGCCTGGTTTGTGCAAGGGGTCCAGCGCCGACACCGTGAAGAAACTGGGCTCCACGCTGCCTCGCAGCAGCTCAACCAAGCATGCGGAAATCACCCAGTTGGCGGTTTCCACCATGTCATAGCTTGCCCTGTGGTGGGCACTGGCATTCTGGACCACCTTCAGGATTCGAAGCAGCTTCGTGTAATCCTGCGTCAAAGGCTTCTCCTTGAAAAGCCTCTCCGTCGTCCGCAGGAGCGCGATGGAGTCCTCCGTCAGCATCGCCTGCTGCAAGCCCAAGCACTCGGTGTGGTTGCGGCTCACCGACTTTCCATCCATTTTCAAGCCGAGATCGCCGAGCGCGGTCGCCGACTTGTCACTGCCGCTGAGTTTCACTGAGTGCAACTCAGCAACCCGGATTGCCCGCAGCGACCACGTCAGCCAGCTGTCTGCGCAGCTTTTCCCCAGCGACTTTGCTTGGAAATTTGCCCTTGTCTGTTCGACGATTCTCTCGGTCTCGTTCAAGTTGACAAAGAAGGACACCGTCACCCCCAGGCTGAGGAGCATGAGTTCTTTCACCCGCTGCTCATCCTTTTCCCTGAACGCTAAGGCGAGCATGACATAGAAGGCCATGCACATTTTCTGCGCACCGATGGCCTTGACAAAGGTTGGCAAAGTCGTCGTTGGCACCGCATCAAGACAGGCCGGAATGCTCAGGCCCAAAACGACCAGTCCGGTCTTGTTGGACCGGGCGAAGACCTGGGCTACGGTCCCTAAATCTCTTTTAAAACACCCTAAGAATAATCCCATCATTGTTATTAGGTATTGATCTATATACTCTCTTTCAAGCCAGGAACCTCGCTGCCCAGCTGGACGTAGTTCGACCACGAGTCCTCGACCTCGTCATCCAAGGGGACCGACAAGATCCAAATGGTGGACCCGGCCTCGTACACCCCTGAGTTGTTCAGGGAATTCATCATGTTCTTGAGGTCCCAGATCTCTTTGTATCCAGCCGCGTTGCTCAGCTTCTTCTGGCCACTTGGAGGCTGGATCCTCAGCGGGGGCACATTCTCGATGTTCGCAGCTGCGCCCACATGCGTTTTCATGTTGTCCTGCAGCCACTCCATGGCTCTTGCTCTTGTATGCGGCACCAGCTTCCTCAAGCACGGCACAGCCGAATCTGTCTCGTTCGCAGGCGGAGACCAAGAGCCTGCCACAGCCGCTGGCGAAGCATCAGCATCAGCTGAAGGCGTTGCTTTGTGTGCCCCCATCGGGGAGGTTTCCGCAACCAGTTGCATCGGCACCGCGTCATCTGTCTTGGCCTTCTTCTTCGCCGATGCGTCCACCGGGTTGCCATCGTCCGCCGCCGCAGTCTTTTCGCGCTTTCTCGTCCTGTCTGTCATTGCAGCAGGGCGCACTACCTCACGCTCCTGAGGCTGAGGATCCGCTGAGTGCGGAAGCCACGCGGCTAGTTGCATGCAAGAGGTGCAGCTGTGTTGAAAGAACACAGTGCGGCAGATCTGAGTCTCTTCAGATTCAATTGACAATGAAGCAACGCAGGCCAAGTCAGCACATGGTCAAGACATTCAAGACTTGGGCGCACGCAGTGTGCCGCCGGAGCTGCGACCTCGGAAATTCTACAGGAGGCAGGTCGGTCCTTTCTGAACTCCTATTTTCTCCGGAGCCATACCATCTCCCAGGCAACGTGATAGAAACTCTGAAGTTTTGTCAAGCTGGTTCTTGACTTCAAACACAAAATCTTGTCGCTGCAAGCTCCGACTCATCCAAAAAGACTGCCAAGTGATCTCCTCTTCTTCGGTGCATCGCTGGACTGCGCGGCAGACTTTCGTTTCCTGTCACTGTGAACCTGGCATGTGGCATGCGACACCGACGACCGCGACCTCGCGGCCTTGCCCTTGCCATTGCGCAAACGCTTCATGGACAGCAGCGCCTTGCGAGGCAGGCCTTCAGGACGCTTGCCTTTCTCAACGGTCTGGAACGTGAAGACGACCGCGTTGGAATGGCAGGCTGCAGTGCTCTCCAGCTTATCGCAATGCTTCCACGACACCAAGGACATTCCCAAGACCATTGCAAGGGCGACCGCGTCCACGTGCATGGCGTTCCCACAGAGCCGATGCAAGGCGTTGGCCATTGTCTCGTTCTCAATGACGCACTGCTCCGGCATGATTCCGATCCTGACGTCTTCTGTTACCAGGCAAGTCCAACTGACACGCTGGAAACTAGAATCGAGAACAGTACCCTATTATTTCAAGACACTGCTACAAGTCAAAGCATTCTACAGAGGGAATCAAGAATCAAACGAAGCTTGTCTCGCCCTGACAGGACCTTGCACTTGTCCGCACCAGGGGGCACCAGGACCAGCTTGGAGGACGTGGTCAGGCACGGCACGCCGTTGAAAGCCGTAGGCGCACGATGTGCGGATTGCGACACGTCCACGATCTGGAAGTCGTCCCGAGATGCCCTTTGCTGCCGAGCTTGGGCCACACAAATGCCAAGGACGTCCCGTTCTCGTGGCGTCAGTCCTGGGGCTTGGCTCTCAGAGAAGGTCTTCGGCCGGATTCCGTTCTTCTCGCAGAAAGCTTTGTGCACTTTTGGCCATTGTTGCTTCTGAATCTTGCCGTTTGGTCGCCCCTTGCACGTCTCAGCAGAGACTGTCTCGCCTTGCAAGTCGGGCAATCCTGGGCAGGGACGGCGGCGAACCTCGGTCGTCAGCTTCTCCAGCAACGTCTGGATGAGCTCAGAGAGGTAGCCAACATTGGAACAAACCGCATCTGCTTTCCGAACCAACACGAAGTACAGGCGTGGCCGGCGATGCGGCACTCGAAGTGTTTTCTGCGGGTCAATCGGTAGGACGAAAACAAAGTACTCTTTGAGCAGTCCCCCCTTCTGGAATATGCTGAAGACGCCTCTAGGGCCATGCAGGTACTGCCTCAAGCCGAGGACGTTCTCGTACACGGCCCACTGTGGCCTTGCACGCATGGTCTCGGCCACCACACATGCTGGCAGATCAGCATCTTTGTGGCTCATTCCTCTGCTGCTGGAATTCTGCACCGAAAAAGGACGGCAAGGAAAACCAGTAATATAGCCAGTGATCTTCTTGTCCTGATCCGACCTCGACCGCCTGTCCCTCAGGTCCTCATAATACCTGTGTGGACTGTGGTTTTTCGCTGCCCACTGCCTCGCATGGTCGTCGTTGTCACAACTGAACCTGAGGTTTTGCCCATCAGCACGATCGATTCTGAACGACAAAGTGCTTTAGGCATTTAAACCCATGTCACCATAATTATTGCTTAGCGACAGATGCTTGTGCTCGATCCCCAGCTTGCGTAGGGCATAGATGCAGCAGTCAAGTCCAGAGCAATCGGAGCCGATCGTCTGCTGGGCTGCCAGCAAGTCGTCCCGAGGCAAATCCCTCAAGGCCAGCCAGGATTGCCGCTCTGAGAGCAGCGACTGAAGCATTGGTCGGTCCATCACGAGCAAAGGCAGCCAAACTTTAATATGTGTAACAAGGTCCCGCTTGCTGCCACACGCAGGAATTACGTTAACTTCGTGATCCTGTGTGTCAGAAGTGGATAGACAAAGCATTCCTGGATTGTTCGCACATGTTATCTCTGAGCCTGTCAATACGTATAGAGATAGTTCACACAAGCATGCCCCACGTCAGCTTCCGCAGCGGCAAGACAAGAGCTCCGAGACTCCGGCGTCCTCCGAAACGGCAGGCCTCGGACGAAGCTCCAATAAGGATTCAAAGGACCTACCCGTGGAAGGGGGCGTTCGTGCGCGCGCAAACGACTGGAGCCTAACGTTAGGCTCGAGTCGTTTCGACAAGGGATTTGCATGTTGATTACACTCAGAGTGGCCCAAGAAAGCTGAGTGTAATTAACATGCAGATCGCGCGCACAAACGACTCGAGCCTAACGTTAGGCTCAAGTCGTTTCAACATGCAAAACACGTGTTGAATACACTCTGGCACTCCTGACTGGTAATCCTAAAGGAGAAATCTGAATCTATGCAAATCGTCTGGGAAGCCTGTAGATAAACCCACCGCTCAGCCTTTGACAAGTTCAGTCAGCAGTCGTCGCCTGACCAGGGATTTTGCGAGCTCGACCAACAGTTCGCACAAGTTCAGGCATGGAAGTGCAAAGTGCTGCCGAACAGAAACAGGGAATGTGGCACGGCATATTTCACTCTCTGCTGCCATAGATTGTGGAGTGTGCTGGAGAACAATCACCCCTCGAGCTGGCCCGAGCTCTTGCGAGAACGACCACGACGGCTTAACAGAGACTGTGTGTCTGCGTATATAATGTGTGTGCGTTTGTGCATCTGTCGCTCTCTCTCACTCTCTCTATATCTCTCTCTCTCTCTCTCTCTCTCTCTCTCTCTCTCTCTCTCAACTCGGCCAGAGGAAGGTCGCATAAGCTCCCCCCCTTCGCGCACTCTCTCTCTCTCTCTCTCTCTCTCTCTCTCTCTCTCTCTCTCTCTCTCTGTCAGTCAGTCTGTCTGTACGCATGTCTGAGTATTTGATTGTGCACGCATGTCTGTGGTGCGTGTGCTTCTGTTTGTGCGTGTGCCTGTCCGACTCTCTCTCTCTCTCTCTCTCTCTCATTCTCTCTCTCTCTCTCTCTCTCTCTCTCTCTCTCTCTCTCTCTCTCTCTCTCTCTCTCTCTCTCTCTCTCTCTTTCTGCCTCTCTGCCTCTCTTTATCTCCCTCTCTCTCTCTCTCTCTCTCTGTCAGTTGTCTGCGTGCATGGGTGCATGCGATTGTGCACCTGTGCCAGTGTGTTTGTGCCTGTGTGGGTGTATAATAACATACAGCAAGGCTCGGGACAAATGGTGTATGAGGTCTGGATATCCAAACCGAATCTGCTCTGCTGCCTGGACAAAGCAAAACTGTCAGGCGTGCAGAACACCTTGAAAAAAGCCTGCTCAGCTCAGCTGGTCCTCGCAGCGGTCCGTTCGACCTCGACCGCGGTGGGATCCTGGATCGCTTCCGAGCCCGTCTTGGCGAGCAGGATGTCCAGTTTCATCTGCAGCTGCTCCACGTCCTCCTTTGCAAAGGCCAGGGAGGCCTTTGTGCTTGCAATCTCCTTCTTGAAGAAATCCTGAGTGCACTTCTCCCTCAGAGACCGGATCGTGAAGGTCTGCATTGTATCCAAGGAAACCGTCACGTCCAGGACAGTGACCGGGGAAGCCTCCGCGACCGCGACCTTGTCGGAGATCCAGAAGCCCTGATTCAAGAAAGTTAAGCTGCAAGTCATGTAACAGTAGCAGCCAAACATGGACCTATGCACAAGCGTGTGACATCGCAGCCATGAAAGACCAAGGATCCGTGAGCGGGTTTGTCTTGCCGACGTGTGTGAAGCCCGGGAAGTGATTGAAGACGTGTTTGCTGATCTGCATCGTGTTGACGGGGTTGGCAGTGTATGATGGCTGACAAAGCCAAGCCATCATACCAGCGATTTCCACTGAGCCGAAGAAGATTTGAAAGCGGTCACCAAATTGACCAAATGTCCCCGGAGTCGCACTCATCAATGCCCGATGCACACGGCTTCCAGATGCGCCATTGGCGACGCTGAAAAATGCAAACTTTGGAAGCGTTGCCTCCGTGCCGTCACCACCGCTGCTCAAGTCCTGTGCGTTGACCTTGGCAGCCAGGGAACACTTGTGCACCTTGAAGTCCACGTTGTCGATGTCGATCTGGAGCCCTGTCAAGTAGAACTTCTTGTCCTTCACCATGGTGGCCTTGCCACTCTCAAGGGCCTTCATCAGGTTCACTTTGTGCTCCAGGATGATGAAGTTCCGCTGCGGCGTGACCTTGACCTCGACCGCGGTGGATTTCTTGATCTTCTTGGCCGGCGGCGGGTCCGTGTCGGAACTGCCTGCAACAGAGTCCGCCCGCGAAACAGCCACACTCTGACTTTGCAATGCCGGAGGCTCGTTGATCCCGGTGCCCGCGTCAGAAAGGTTGACCTTCAAGCCACGCAGCACATTCTCGCGACAGAAGCCGAGTGCGGCCTGCGCAAGTGCTGACATTTCTTTGGAAGTTTCAAAACAGTCGGACAGGGAACGCAGGAAACCCAGCCCGAAAGTCTGGCCTGCTCCGGGGACTCGTGGAATGTCAAGTTGAAAGAGAACTCCTTGCACCCCCTTCCGAGCTTTGCCTCGACTTCCAGCCATTTGACCTCATTGATGGCTGCATACACCGTGTTCTCGATGTCCGCACATGACTGCGCCATGTCGACCGCGACCACGAATCAGGATGACTTCCCTAAATCAAAGATGCTTGCTTGGACCAGCGCTAGAATCACAGGCCGAACCGACATGGACACTTGCACCAAAGGACAAGGAAGCTTCAGGCACCAAAAAAACTCACACGGTCAGGCCGGGACTGCTATGAGGATGCAAACGGCTGACGACCACGACGCCGATATTTTTCCGTGCCCCATAATCACAGAAATGACATCATCAAGAAGTCGCTCAGCGACCCGCCTGAGCCTGCGCTTTGCCTTTCAATCGGGCAAGAAATCTAGACCTGAAGTAACTAGCTCACGGTGCGCAACTGCGTGAATTTGACTCTCTCAGGGAGTCAAGTCAAAGCCGAGGCACAGGAGCACGTATAGCACTCAGAGCTTCAGGCCCAATATTATCACGATGAGAAAGGACCTCGACCCCGACGAAAGACGTCTTGCTGGCAAAGGGAGCCTGGGCATCAGGAAATAAGGAAAATAAGCCGAGGCAGCAACTTCGAAGCGGACAGCCTAAGCAGTAGCAGTCGAGGCGCAAAGTTGAGGGCCTTTTCTCTCCTGATCCTTGCAGGCAGCCCGATCATCTAGTTGTCCTTGCAAGCATTGCAAGCGATTCATGGCTGTTCTGACAAATTTGAGGACTACGAATGATGTCAAATTTTAAACCAGGCTTCTCTGTAGCTCTTTCTTCTCGGCAACGGCATCCTCCAAGTCTGTGCACATATACTGATAGGAAGTCCTCAAGGCCCTGAACCTGGGCAGTCACATTGCAGCTGATAGCAGTGTGCCATTTAAAATTTAAAACATGATGCCATGTCATAACAGACGAGTGTCCTCTCCAGGAGCTTCTTCACCCAGGGGTGCTCCTCAATGTCGTCTGTCACGTGGAGCGTCGCGGACGACTGCGACCGCGACGGCGAAGGCACAAACTCCTGAGCCTGAGGCTCCTTCTTGACCACCGGACCATCCTGAGGCTCCTTCTTCACCTTTCGAGGTTCCTCCTTCTTTATCACTGGAGCAAACATCTCCACATCCGGAGGGAGCTCTTTCTTGAAGACGACATCGTCGGCATCGGGGTCCGTCCAGGGGATGACCATGTAGGCGCCTGGTCAACTTGTGAAGGGGAGGTCACTTATCAAGGAGTCGATCCCTGCAGCATGATCTGACCTGCCTGGCGAAAGGTGGATTCTGGGCCGGGAACACTTGGCACGGTTCTGCTCGTAGCCACGCTGCTTCGTCTTTCTCTCCTTCTCCCTAGCCTTCTTCTTCTTCTTCTCCGCCGCCTTAGCCTTGGCCTTTGAAGCGGCCTTTGCTTGGCGCTTCGTGGCTCCCATGGCGACCGCGAGCGCGAAGACCTGAGCGCCTTAAGCAGAAAGCTTAGTCGTTAGCATACGCAGAGTATCCTAGACTGTCTTAGACTTCTGATGAACGAATCGACACTGATGCACGCAGCCCGCGAAATCGATACTCAGAGTATCCGACACTGTCCTAGACTCTGAATAACGAATCGACACTGACGCACGTGGCCGATCCTGCATGCTTTTGACTTGAGCCCCAGAGTCTGAGGGCGGTTGAGCAACCCTCGTCGCAAGCAGAATCATCATGAGAAATCATGAGAATCTCGAGAAGCAGTCACTTCCGTGCCTGTGTACACCTGCACGTACTGGCCTTGTCTGTAATCGAACCGCGGGCAGAAAGCACGCAGGCAGCCCAGAAAGCGTTCTGATGTCTTATTATAGTCTTGCGAAGTGTGCCAGAACATGCTGGATCGGAACTAGCCGTGGAAAGGCTGCGATAACCAAGTGCATGCCGAATGCTATAACATGATGACAAGCTGAGATTAAGCAAGATCGGACGATTGCTTGACATGGATGCCGGGTACCCGGCGCCTTGACAATTCGAAACCTCAAACTGTCGCACCCACATCTGCAACTCATGTTTCTGACAACGAATTATTGCCATGCTTATGTTATTTTGACAAAGTGAAGCTATGCCTAGCGCAAGTTCTGAAGACGCGACCTCGACCACAGAAATCTCACCACTGGTCCATGGTGCAGACACCGGGTACCCGGCATCGACGGTGTAGGAATCCTCTTTTACTTATTTCACATTGCCTAAAACTTGCCAGAAGCAAAAACGTTGCGGAAAAGAAAGGTCTGCAAGAGCACAGCTTTATCATCCTGGTAGCCGGGTACCCGGCTAGTATGGCTGCAACCCGTGTCAGTGTAGGAATCCTCAGTCGCATTGCAAGAAGCAACCACCTTGTCTTTAAATTTAGACAGACGGAAAAGCGCGATCTGCAAGAGCACAGCTTTAAGAACATGCCCTGTTGCCGGGTACCCGGCTCCAGTATTTGCCGGAACCTGCGTGAGTGTAGGAATCTTCAGTCAGTGTTTCAATAGCATTACTCAATGCAGCAACCTTGTATTCAAGACAAAGTGAACGTGCTGGGTTGCCGGGTACCCGGCTCCAGCATGCCTGGAACCTGTGTGAGTGTAGGAAAACTCAGTGCCAGACAAAGGACAAAGCACGCTCTGTAACAGCTTTGTGAATATGCAGGGTTGCCGGGTACCCGGCTCCAGTATGCCTGGAACCTGTGTGAGTGTAGCAAGCCTCAGTGCCAGACAGAGCAAGCACGCTCTGTAACAGCTTTATGAACATACAGGGTTGCCGGGTACCCGGCTCCAGTATGCCTGGAACCTATGTGTTGCTTGCACAAATATTATTGTTCTAGAGCTGCTTACTTGCCTTGTCTTGGGTCAGAGACGACTGGTCTCCGCTCGGATCTCTCTTGCCGGGTACCCGGCCGAGTAGGCTGGTAGCCGGGAAGCGACTGGGAAGCCAAACTTGTGTGGGTTAGCTTTGATTTGCTGTTGTTCATTATGCTGGCTTTCTGGTTTTGCATTTGAACCTTGCGCATGCCGGGCACTAAACAGATATTTGGCTTGGAACTAATTATGCTTTTGTTTCTTCAAGCTCAGGCTGAGGTGGGGAAGCCGGGTACCCGGCGGGTCCTTGCACAACCGTGGCTCGGGCTGAGGTGAGGATTCCGGTTATTATTATTGGCGGTTACGGCACACCCGGGAAACCAAATAAATCTCAAGTGTGGATTTAGCCTGGGGTGGAGAAGCCGGGTACCCGGCGGGTCTTTCCATGGCACCTTGAACAGCCGTTAAAGAAGCTGCTTGAATTCTCTTTCAATGTATGTTCACACAAGTTAGCCTTTTAACCTGAGTTTGAAATGCACCATCCGCAACACCGGCAACCGACGAAAGACTCTTTGCCGGGTTCCCGGCAAGTCCTTGACCGAAACACCTGCAGGCATGGCACACACATGGAATGGGTGATTGGCACAACTGCATGAGATTGCCGGCCCCAGGTTTTAAGCTATCTTACCTCTAACCACGACTTTCAGAGGGAGACAGTCTTCTTTCCCGGGTACCCGGCAAGCCAATCTCAACAACTAAGTAGCTCCAATAATAAAGTCGGCCGGGTGCCCGGCAAGCCGTGCTCCACTGTGCCACTGACCACTGAACCTGAGGAGAGACATGAGACATGCTTTCAGGGTTGAACATGCCAAAGTTTGAAGCCAGCATCCTTGTAATCTACTTTGATTTAAATAATGTTCTCAAGAGTCTCGCATCTTGAATCTGAACAGTCTTCGCATCCGGTCTCAACTGGGGACGCGGCAGCAGGGTTCTCGGCAGAGACAGCAGCCAACCTGAAGAGCCAACGGTAAACGGACGCTGCAGTGAACAGAGGACATATGGAACCTATTGCAAAGAAGCTTGACATGAACAAAGTGTGGTGCACCGAAGCAAGGACGGCAAGACAAGTTCGCGACGAAGGCAGCATCAACCAAGTCCCCGACCATAGCGAAAAACAGTGCCATGTCCAACCTGGGCAGGCAAATGGCGCAGACATGTTGCAAAGGAGAGCATGAACCACGTAGTTGCTGCAGGCTGCAGAATGACAATCTTTTTTCCTCCCTCCATCAAGATCGGAAGATCAAGACTTCCGCTTACGCTTCGGATCGACCACGACCTCGACCTCTTCTTTGGCCTTCTGCTTCTTCTCCTTGTCGGTCTTCTCCTCGGCCTTGGTCGCCTTCGGCTTGGTCTCGACCGCGACCACGCCCTTCTGCTTCTTCTCCGGCTTCTCCTCCTTCGCCTTCGGCTTCTCGAGCGGCTTCTCCTCCTTCGCCTTCGGCTTGTCGAGCCGCTTCTCCTCCTTCGCCTTCGGCCTGTCGGTGCTCGCACTCGCGGCCTCCTTCGCCTTCGGCTGGTCGGTGCTCGCACTCGCGGCCTCGACCGAAACCTTCTTCTCCGCACCCTTCTCGACCGCGGCAGCGACCCTCGGCTTCTCCGGAGCCTTCTCGACCGCGGCAGCGACCCTCGGTGTGAATGGCTGCGCCGGCCCGCGGGGGAGGATCGGCTGGGCCGGCTTCAGGTGTTTGGCCTCGATTCAACATTGGGGCATGATCGCGGAAGTAAATTCAACTCAGTGCAAAGGAGAAGGAAGTAAGAACGACAAGTCACCAGAGCAGCACCGATGGCCTCCGCTGTCGCAGTCGAGTCCTGCTTCCGCTTGCGACTCTCCTGAGACGAAGCTATTGGGGTTTGAGGTTTAGGGTTTTTGGCCTCCCAGGTAGCTAATTTAATGTATTAAGGTGCAACTTGAACCAAGGAACGTCATCAGAGGAATCATCAGACGGTCGCGCGTCCTGGTAGACGCGTCTGCCACTGCTGCTGACCCAAAAGATTCGGGGCGGATGGTCGGGCGAAATCTCCGTCCAGTCGGTCCATTTGCCGTGCGGCAACCCCCGAGGGCTGACCTGGGATGCGACAAGTCACAATTTGTGTCACTGGACTTTGAGATGAGATCAATTGTCACTGGACTTTGCACAGTTTATTATGCCAAGACGCTGAAAGCCAGAGGTGTGGCTTGGTGACTGTCGTCACTCGCCCATTGACATTGAAATAGAAGGTGCAGCCAGTGTCATGGCTTATCTGTTTCCACCATCCTTCGATCGTTTGGCCTGGAGCCAAATCAAACCCCTGGCCTCGTGCACTGTCTGGCCACAGTGCCTCAGTTGGACTGCGACGGCGACATCGAAGGCGCAAATCGTCTAAGCGCAGTTAAGTAGCATCCTTCCAAGGATTGGACAATGTCAGAGCCTGGCCACCAACCTCAATCAAGAGAATGCTGCAGTGAACTCAAGCAGGCACGGCCAGGATGCGCCACTGACTGTTCTGACAAGTCAAGAAGCATTCGCCGTCGCAGGCGCAGGTGTTCCGGCCGCGACCGCGACCCCAGTGCCAGAGCCAGGCGGCGCGGCTTTTGCCTTAGCTAAGTCAGCTAGGTTAAGTGGGACCGACAGCATAGAGACATGACAAGAAGCACGACGACCCACATGAGAACAAACCCAGGATCGCCTTCGGATGCCCCTCTGCATATCTCGGAGCGTGCTGCGGGCCATATTCTCCTCTGGCTCGACGAGCTTTCCTGCCCCTGCAGCACGAAGGAAAACCACAATGGTTGACAGGGTCAATTAGAGCCTGAATATGTGTGCACTCTGCGACAGTCGAGGTCAAAGTGTGATTGGAGTGCTGCTCCAGGAACAGAGCATGATGACACAGTCAGAACTATCAGAACCCATCACGAATGCAGCTAAGTATCGCATCTGACGCGTTGCCACGGTTGCCCCACCATTGTCGGGCAGAAAACGGATTTTCCTCCTCAGCTTCATGCTGCCAATCTTGCCATCCACGACCACGACCACGATCGCCACGATCATCGCCCTGATGGGACCCGGACCACCAGCCGCTGGCCATGCTCACACACTCCGGGCTTTGGCCGAACGTGTGGCCGAAGGGGTGCTTAGCTCCGATCGCCTTCCTAGGGTTGTAACTGTAGATTTGGAACCCTTGACGGAATTTATGAATAGGTACCTTTATAATAGAACCATGCGGGAAAATTCTGTCCCAAGGTGCCACCTAGTTTAAAGTAGTTAGACTTGTAACCTGTAGAAGAAAGCAGGCATGAAGTCTGTTGTCATGTTTTCATGCCCGGACCTGATACCACATCATCTTAGAACCAAGACAAGTGCATGCGGGCATGGCTGAAGCTTGTGTGCACACGATGCGACTGTGACTGGCAGAGCAGGCAGCGACTGTAACTGAGTGGCTGGATCTCCGGGCTCCCGGCCGTGTGGTTCCACGGTGTCGACGACCATGACAGCGACCGCGACAAGGAGGGAGAAACGGCACCTGCAAAGTGCCACGCTTAGAGCTGTCGAAATCAGGCAAAAGTAGAGCTGCACTAGCACTGGCCCGGCCTTCCTCTTCGATCATGACAGCGACCACGATGGGGAACAAGATGTGGCACCTGCAGCGTGGCACGCTCAGAGCTGTCCAAAAGAAGCAAAAGCGCCACTGCAGCAGCACTGGCACAGCCTTCCGTTTTTGCACTGCGAGGCTCGGCAATCCAAGTCTAGCGGACAGCGCTGCAGGCCCCGAGTCGATTCACGGTCAGCTTGCTATTATGCGACTAGTCCCTTTTTTTCAATACTGCGAAACATAGTTCTGAAGTATTGCATGGGCCAAGACCACGAACCTGCAGCGACTGTACTTGTTTACTGAAGCACTAATTGCACAGGCGACCGCGACCACCATCAGAACCACGAGCATCAGAATCACGAGGGCGACCACCAGAGTCACGAGGGCGACCGCGAGGGGGACCGTCGGCACTACCACGACCTGACATGAAGAAGCTAGCAGGAAAGACACAGACTGTTTCATGTGAAAAAGAATGTGCTGACAAGGCGCCAGACGAGTCGCCCACGAAATCGTAGCCCTTCTTGAGCTCTTTGAACCGCTGCTGGCAATGGTACATCACTGCTGCGGATGCATTTCTCATCCCGTAGTTGTCCTCTGGCCCTTGGCTATAGCAGGTCTGCGCGTGTTTCCTGGAAGCCTTTACCTGGCTAATCCTGAACCCAGAAGCAGAATTGCAATGGCAACCGGGATGCGGCCATTCAAGCAATAGCTGAAGAACTCCATGGCCATCTGATGGTTGCTTTGGGCCAACGCAGACATGGCCTCAGTCAGCTCACCACCAGCAGCCCCCATGCAAGCGAGAACGCAGACTTAAGAAAACCTTTCACACCGACCCCAGAATAGCTATCAAGGCACCCTCCAGGCCATGTCATCCACAGCTAGCTCTGCCAGCAAGCCAGCCACCTCCGGAGCGGCCTTGTAGAGATTGTATCTGGCCTCGGATGCGCTTGTTGCAGGTGCCAACTTCCGATTCCCGAAGTTTAACAGAAAGTTATGGCTGTCTGACCGAATACAATAGGAAAGGTGGTCTAAATTTAAAGCTATATAAGCTTTTCATACATGGCAGAGGTATAGGATTCTTAAGTTTAATGACCAAGTTTCTGTCTGCGTTGTCCATTCCCGCAGAGTCGTCGGAGGCAGCTGCGGAGCAGTTTGGCTGGCATCGCTGGCACCGCTGGCACCGCTGGCACCCGAACCAGAAGCCGACGGCGACCACGAACCCAGCCCCCAGATGATACGCTCCACGGCTTCTGCCTTGATGGCCTCGAGCTTCTGGATGATCTCATCTGGCAGCCAAATTGACCTTGGATAGGACTGAAGACCGTAGTGCGACGGCGCCCAGAGCTCCACAGCGAAAAGCCACGCGATCAGGATTCCAGCACACATCGATCTGTGTCGCCCGGCTGAACCTGGGCGGGCAGGCTATCCACTGGAATCACGATACCGGGGAACAAAGGCCTAAATCCCGCCACATGAATCCAGCTTCGACGTTTGTAATCTAAAGCTTGGAACGACAAAACGTACTCTCTGAACCCCTCCGCGAATTGAAATCAAGAAGCAAGTGATGCAGAAGACAAACTTCGCACCCTTTGGGTGCCCAGACACTGCTCCAAAAGCCATGGCCACGACCGCGACCAATGCCCTGTGGCCTACCTCGAGAAGCTCCTCAAGAAACTCATGGTTCTCAAGAGGGTTGTCGCTGCCAGAACCTGATGGACATGATTCTGGCTGGTCATTAAGTTAACTGAAGTTAGACTTGAACCAGATAGCAAATAGGTGCCAAGTAATTAAATTGAACTTTGGCACCCCGACCACGACTCGGAGACGGCGACCTCGACCGGTCGCTCTGTCCATCTCCTCCCTGCCATTGCTCTGATGGATTCCTTGGCCATACTCCGCGGATGTCATAATTGACATGAACCCACTGCTTGTAGTAGTCCTTGAGCAGTCCAGGGAAAAGGGCTCGACCCGCCTTGCCTCAATGGTCAATCAGTGGGCAGACACGATTCAAGCGACAATCTCACTGAGACTGGCCACTGCAGCCAAGCAGCCCTCGTAATTTCTCTCGATTCCATAAACCACACAGACGCCATCCATGCGAAAATCGACAGCCGATGAATCTGAAGCCATGGCTGAAAAGGCGCGCGAGGATGACACTAATTTGTTTAAATTATTACGACTATGACACATAAGTTAAGTGTGCCGAGGATTGTATAGGAACGCGGAACCCCTTCCTATGATTTCCCTCACATGTCAGGTTACTGACATAGCTTGGTTGGACTCGCAGCATTGCACCAGGAACAAGGGTGATGAAAGTTAAAGGGGTGATCAAACCCTAGCCAAACCATCTCTTCAAGCTTCGAGGCTTCGCCCTGACCCATTGGTAGTCCTGAGAAGCAATAATCGTCTAAGCTTCGGCCGCGGCGACCACACGCATGCTGAAATCATGTTTCGTGGTCCCAAGCTGATTGAGCCGTGGTGGCGAAAGGGGTAAGCTCGGATATCACACTCAACCCAACAAGCCAAGAACGTCTTCAGCGAAGGTGCAACGGATGCAGTGCAATGGCACCTCTTCCAGCATGACCCGGCGAAGCGGATCGGGCCTCAGCGAGGGTGAGCTAACACAAAGCTTGGAAGCTCAGGGGGGCAGGTGGGAATGGTTCAGGTTAACCTGAGCAGAGGGGCTGTTTGGGGGCAATGCATGCACAGCCAGACAGCGACCGCGACCACCACCACCACCGCCACCACCGAATCACTCCGAAAATCCTGAAGCACCCGAAACTCCCGAGGCTCCGACTGACCTGACAAACGCCCAAATTATGCCCCACAACCCTAGATCCCGAAATCCTTACAACCCTGAAAGCAATCCTTCAAACCCTAGAACCCTAAATCCTGACAGCCCTTTTTAAAAGCCCCATTTCATCCTACTTCCTTACCCCCCTGATAGTCCTCAATTTACTAGTTACTACAACCCTAAGGCCTAAAGCCCTAAACCCTTACTTACAAACCTACAACACTAAATTCCTTACAGCCCGTAAACTTACAAAAGCCCTACCTGACAACCCTGATAGCCCGAAAGCCTTAGATCCCCGCGAAGCTGACCTACTTTGTAATGGTTTACGGTTTCGGGGTTTAGGGTTTAGCGTTTTAAAGGGTTCGGGGCCTATGCTTGCGATCGCCTCGCTCTTTCGAGCGCTTCTCCTCGTCGCTCTTTCGAGCGCTCCGCTCTTTCGAGCGCTCTGCTCTTTCGAGCACTCCGCTCTTTCGAGCGCTTCTTCGCTCTTTCGAGCGCTTCTTCGCTCTTTCGAGCGCTTCTTCTCTCCGCTCTTTCGAGCGCTTCTCCTCGCTCTTTCGAGCGCGAACTCTACTCGCTCTTTCGAGCGCCTACCCTAGACAGAGAAACATACGATGAAGGGCTTAGGGTTACGGGTTGTAGGGTTTCGGGTTTGGGCAGGATAATACAGAAAGGTTTAAGACTCTTTAAGACGCACTTTCGTGCGCACGCTCTTTCGAGCGACTAGGGTTTAAGGAACTTAGGGCTTAGGGTTCAGGACGCACTTTCGTGCGCATAAACGCTCTTGCGAGCGACTAAACCCTAAGCCCTGAACTCTAAACCGAGCCCCAAGCCTAAACCAAGCCCCAAGCCGAAACCTTAACCCCGAGCCCTACCTAAAAAGCCCAAAGCTCCGCACTCTTGGGCCGTGGCCCCGCGACCGCGACCACGACCAAGCCAACGTCCTGGGCCGGCAAACCCCATTGTACACAATCCCACAGTGAACCAGTTCAAACCGCCCCCACCCTCCCAAGACTGTCCTGCTCCACGTCTCATCGTGAATCCGACGAAGTCGATGACCAGGAGGAAGAAGAATATGAATATATATATATATATATATATATATATGTATTGTTTAATGTATGCACATATCATGTTAATCACACAGGCATACACAGGAAATTGAAAATTGCACGAATTGTGGATCAAGAAAAGGCACTAGTCGCAACCAAAAACACATCCACGCTCAGATTTCATGCGGATGACACTTCGGGCACATGGCTCTGCGCTTTTGCAAAAAAGAAGAAGAACCTCTAGCTCTAGCTTTGCAGTCGAAGGTGAGGCACATGCTTTTAATCCGCAGATTCAGAGTGCCCAAGCATGATAGAACTCTATATGCGCACATACATACATACATACGTAGCATATATGCATACACGCATGCAGGCATATATGCAAAACATACATGCATAGATACGTACATACATACGTGCATACCTGCATACCCACACACACACATATACGGACATACTGCATCCGTCCATGCATGCATGCCCTTCGTTTTTGCTTAACTCCTTTGAGACCGAGTCGCCAAAAGACTTCGGCGACGCTTCTCCTGCCATCGGCCGACCGTCTTTCGAAGGGCGATGTTCTCCTGTCTTGAAAGGTGAAAGGTTCAGCGGTGTAGGGTGTTTAAGGGGTTTTGGGTTTTAGTGGTCTAGGGTTTAGGCTGAACCCTTTTCTTTTTTTGGAAGGTGGGGGTGATTCAGGGATTAGGGTGCAGGCTCAACAAGGATCGGACGTTTCTGAGTTTGCCCCGAGGTCTAGTCTAAGAGGGTCGGGAGACTTAGCAAGCAGTTATTTTATAGAGTTATAAGTATTCTAAATTGGGACCCTAGTTGGCGTTATGGTACTTAGAAGTCTGTAAGACAGCAACTTGCTAAGTCCCCCGACCCTCTAAGTAGGAAGCATCCAGGTCAAACCGTCTAATGCTGTTCCGGTTGGGTAAGATATGGGCCTTAGTAACTAGAATAGGGTTCCTTTTCAAAGGGCTCTATAAGGGATCTATAGTAGGGTTCTAGGGCCCATTATACTATAAGTATAGTAAGGAACCACCCCAAATAGTATTGTTGATTTATGGTTAATTATCTAGGCCAAAATAAGGTAGATGTTCAGACTCTGGGCTGATCACTGAGCGGACTAGCAAGTTGAAGAAATCACAGAACACAAAAGCCCTGTCCTATTATCGTCGGGAATCCGCGCCTGCACCAAAATCTCGCCGTGTGCTCGCTGCCGCTCTAGCTGCTCGGCCCTTGGCAAGTCAGGAAGCAGTCTGTTTGAAATTGAAACGAAAACGAACCGCAGAGCGTTCCCTCAGAGATGCCTCGATCTCTGGACGTTGCAGACGAATCCGCATGTGTATGTAAGTCGGGATGATAGGGCTCACATCACGAATGAAAACATAATGGCTTGACAACCGCTTTTTCTGCCGAAAGCCTGCGAGCCTCTAGTGTACTTACAATTTCTTCTATAACACACTCTAAACCCCCAGTTGTAATTCCAATATACTTACACGTACTACAATACACCTAACCCCCCATTGTAATTCTGAAGGCCTGTCAGAAACACCACATGGCCGTGTGCCAGCTCCGCCAAGCTTCAGAAGGGCCTCCTGGTTCTCTAGCAGCCGCACCTAGCACAGTGGATAATGCAGAGGACCCCTAAATCGAATCGGGTTGTAAGGCATATTCTACTATCATAAGTGTGATAACCTATTTATTATGACACTTTGGGTAGAACGGTATGGGTTGGAGTGCCGCAAAGGTCAGGCTTTTGCAACTTAGTCTTTCAAGGATTCCGAGGAATCGCCAAACCCCAAATCCTGAACTTTGTAAGAAGGCCCCGCAACCATCTCTGCTGGCGACGTTTAAGCCATTTTCTGCAGCGCCTGCAGGGCAACCCACCAAAAACGCCAAGCAATGCAGCAGCCACAGTTGTTGATAAACATACTCACATTAAATCTCGGCGCACTCATGATTCGCATGCAGCCGCATCCCGGCCCACAGCCCCAAACTCCCTAGACTCTAAACCTACAAGCCTATAAGTCGTATCAGCCCAAAAACATCCCAACACGTCTTTTTGGGGAGGGACTGCAAAAATATCCCAACACCTTAAATCCCTAAACCCAGAGCAACATCAACTCGGCAGCCCCAATCCAGAAACCGTCGCGGGGCCTCGCGGCGGACGGCCTCCATCTCCTGGGAAACACCCTGAAGCTGCGCTTCAGCCTGGCTTTGGATAAACCAAAGAGTGAACGAAAGTAACCGTGTAGTAAGTATACTTTTCGGAAACCAAATTTCTACGAAGAATCTTAGACTTGTGGATAAGGGCTCAGAGCTAGCAAGAGGGCTCGTGTCCCAAAGCAGCTTCCTTCAACCTCAGGCCAAGCCCATAAACACCTGTAAATTCCCAAAGTCTTTACTGATCTCTAGTGTGGACTCCAAGCATGAGGCTTAAGCTTTCCGAAAATGGACAAGGCTCATGGTTTTGCGGATTCGGAGTTTAGTCTTATGTTTATAAGGGCAACCTTTTCGAACTGGAGTTTAGAGCTTTAAGGTTTGAAGTGTAGGGTGCAAGAAGGCTGAAGACGGCGTGGAAAGGCCAAAGCATCAGTCGGAAGCATACATCCCGTGATTCGATGGCCAGGCAGCTTAGGGGAGGCCTTAAAGAAACCCTTGGAAGGAGAGCGCTTAAAGGAACCCCTCTAGATTCTCACGGTCTAGGGTTTAGGGTTACTCTAGATCTCGTAGAAGAGCCCTCAAGGGTTGAGTACCCGAGCGCCAAAAAGGTTAACCAATCTCAATTATGGTAGGATTATAAAAGCCCCAAAGGGTTAGCGGTTACCTACTCAGCTACTACGACTATACCTAAGCCCCCAGCCGCCATCCCCAAAGGCATGAAGCCTGTAGATAGACAGAACTGCCAAAGTGGGCACGTTTCGAGAATCCCCGCTTATTAACTTTCCCCCCTGGTCAACCCCCAAAAAGTAAACCCGTTATAAGGCCCTAAAGCACCACTCCCTAATCCTCGCCCTGTGCTCTCTCGTATAGTATAGGGGCCTTAATAATTAGAACAGGGTTTTGGGGCCCTTTATACTACATTCATAATAAGGGACCCCCAAAATAGTATAGGTTATTATTAAGGCCCCTATAGTACACACTGCACATGGAAGTTCGGCTCTGCTATGGCCGACTGACTGTGCAAACACCGACCTCCCTGTTTGCGAACTGCGACAAAGCAACCAACTCTCTAGGTAGTTGGGGGCATATGGGAGTTTCCGAAAATTCGGGGTACCTTAGTTTGGGATATTTATACTAAGGATCCTACTATTAGGGTACTCTATTGGGTCCCCTATTTTCGGAAACCCCATATAGCGTCGTCTAGAGTTTAGGGTTTGAGGCTTTAGGTTTTGCGTCCGCAATGTCCCACATGCTTACGAGCCCCGAAGCAGGAAGCACGTCCATAAAGCCACGCCTCTCCGAGCTTTTGTTGGTAACTCCTTGCAAAACAGTGCAAGCTAGGGGCTTGGGGGATCGGGTCCTTGAAATGAGGATGTAGCTTTTCAGGGTCTCACGGTATGTCTGCTCTTCGCAATTGAAGGTCCGATGTAAGCTAAAAGCCCCACCGCTAGAACCCATGAAGTGGAGCTGAGGGAGTGCTACGCTTGCCTGCTTACATGCTCCAGAATATTTACGAAGCCAAGCTGTGAATACTTAGCCAGTCTAAGTAGTAAAGTTGCTGATTTTGTTTGCCAAGTCATACACAGTTAACCAGCTGCTTGTTCTCTGTACTCAATGATAGAGTCTTCAAGTCCTACAGTGCTACGGTTGATACAGTGGGAATTACAGTATAGTCCTTATTCAGGATAATGCAGGACATTTATCGTCAACCGTAGGACTCATCTGAGGAACCGTTCTGAATGATAGTCCCTTTGGGGTCCCAAGCCTCAGAAAAACGTTCCAATTCCCAAAAACCCCTGAGCCGCCACTCCTGAACTACACCCCCCTAGAGCCATAATAAAAGTAATATTCTTAATATTCTCCTGGTGTTTTATATGAACAAAAATAAACAATAATTCCTAAGGAGACTATAGTGAAGAACTCTTGAAGACTCGTTAAGAGTCTCGCAGCCTCTTTAAGAGAACTGGTGGAACCCTCGCGGAACCCTTGTAACAACCTTATCGTCGAACCCTTCAATGTTACCGTATAGTTACTCGTAAATCTCTCTTTTGCTGACTTGGGTGCTTCATTTCTTGCATTGCGTCGTCGCGCTCAAGCTGCGCGGCACGGAGCCTCTGTTGCAAGAGTTCAGGTTCAGGGGTTCAGGGCTTTGGCTTTAGGGGCATAGGCGTTGGGTGCTTTGGGTTGGGGGTTCTGGTGGCAAAGATCTTTGGGCTTAGGGTTTAATCTTTTTGGCTTTAGGGGGTAAGGACGTTGGGTCTGGTGGTTCAGGGTGTATGGGCTTGAACATCGATGCAAGCAAGGCGCTCGTCCGTGGTCTTTTTGAGCATTGATTCGCGTCGAAAGCGAGTCTCCTGAAATCCACCGTAGTTGCAGCTGCGCATGAATCGGTCGTGCTACTTGTACGGCTTTCCCCGACATGTTGTGCACGACGGACTATGCTGGGGACTCATGTCGGGATAGGACCTACTTTGATGAGCCGTTGCAAAGCTCACCTTCCTGCGACTTACTCCGCCGTTGATCACTGATGTACATCCAGACACCATGTCTCCATGTACGATGAAGACTCACCTAGCGGACCTAGTAGCTGGGTTGCTAGTATTCCCTACGCTCGACTGCGTCGCCTGGCGCATTGCTTCTGCATAGCTTACGGCGACTGCGCATGCAAACTCTTCTTTTGGCACGGTCGGTGCTGCGCGATTAGAGCTCCACAACTCCACGCGAAAACTCATCACCAAATCATCGTGGCTTCGAGAACTTCCGGCTTCCCAACGCCGTGGAAGCTGTCCTTGAGAGAGCCGATTTCCGCGCGCAATTTCTCCTCCAAGACAGATAAGAGAAAGTGCTTCGGGTCATGGAGTCGTCTTCCGGTGAACTCGAACACATTTTTTCAGGCGTAGCTACTGCAACAGCCGACACGAAAGGCTTATAACTTGCAACGGAGCAACACTCCCTGCGGAATTCTTAACCCACTTGGTATGGTTGCAAGGTCTGGTTGGTCGCTGGCCACCAGATTTCTGCTGTGCCTGAATCTGATGGGGAATGCAAAAGCCATGGCCAACTCAACACAAATGAACAGGCGCTAAGCTCTGAAGCCTAAAGCCTTTAAACCCCGAATAAGCCTGGAGCCCCTCCACCCTAGCCTTAAACTCTCGTGTGTGCCAGGTTGCTGTTTCTTGCGACATTGTAGCCACATTGGACTCCGAGACATAGTTTGCCTGAGAGGGCAGGCTTTGGGATATAGTATAGAACTACATAGGGACTGCAGAGGAGCACAATAGTCTACTTTCTGATGCTACTCCGGGTTACGAATGCACAGTTGAAACTACCAGCATGAAGGTGCCAAAACCCACCCTAAACCCTAACTCCCATAGCCCTAAGCCCTAAACTTCCTTTGCAATCCTCAAAGATTATTTGGAAGAAGTCGCTGCTTCGACGCTCACCTGGGCATCCCGGTAGCCCTTGGAGACGATGGCCTATAGAGCCGAAGATTAGCTTGAGATTTAGGTGCATATTGGTGCATACAAATTGGTGTCTGTCTGTGTACATACATACATACGTTCACTCTTACATACATGTATATGTGTGTATATATATATATATATATATGTATATATATCTGCGGGTATGTACATGTTATATGCTGTTCACTGTTCGTGCTACCGACACAGAGTGTATCGTAACAATAACTAAGGAGAGAAAGGTAATTACTACGATTATGTTCATGCTTGTCTGTCTATGTTTAGAGGCAGTCGATGGGTGACACGCGGTCAATGAAGTTTTTGCGGTTGCGGGTAGGGGTGGCTTGGGAGCTTGTGCCTGAATCATCCTTGCGAAAGAGATCTGGCAGTCTTTCCGGTATCTTTCCACCTTCATCTCATGATCTGCGGTATGGCAGTTGAAGGACTGGGGGTCGTTTCTGAATTTCGGGTGAAGTGGAGACTTGAGGCTGGCTGGCTAGCTGCTCATGGGTGCCACAGTGGAAGGTGGCGATTATCGAGGGTTTCAAGAGCTGTCACACGCGACGGTCAGCTGAGCAGCGGCGCAACTCAATTTCCGGCCAAACCAGACTGTAGTGCCAGTGTCTTTCCGAACGGTTCGTCGAGGAGAAAGCAGGGCCAGTAGAAGTGGGGATCAAAGCCTTTCAGGGCCTTTCTGTTACGTAGGGAACGCCTGCGACATGTAACTAGATTCAGTATACAGCTACACCTCCAAGCCGAAAAAAGCCAGTAGCCAACATCGCACGAAAGTTTGAACATGTCTTGGCAAATGGGTGGTGCAGCGGACCATCATGGATCACAGCGAATGATCTCCGCCAGTGAAGGAGTTTCAGATAGCAAATCTCGTCCTAGACTGTAAAAGCCTGGACCCTGATCCTTTAGGCCCCACGCCCTAAACACCGGGGATTCAAAGAAGCCAAAGTGGGAGTTTCCGAAAGTAGGGGACCCAAATATAGTACCCTAAATATAGGATCCTCATTATAAGGACCCCAAAATAAGGTACCCCTAATTCTCGGAAGCTCCCAAATCTACTTTAGATCGGTCAAATCACCAGCTCCCGCTGGAGGTGGCGCCGCTCTCGCTCCAGCTCCATGATCTCTGCCCTCAGGTTTATAGGGACTATAAGTTTATAGTGCTTACGGGGCTTAATAAGTTCATAATCTAAGGTTTGTAAGGTTTTGTCGTGCTTTTTTACATGGTCCCTAGGGTTTGAGTCTGGAGTTTATAGGGTTTAGGGCTGGGTAGGGGGGGGCCGCCTGTCGCTCATGTGCCTCACAGGTCCCCAAGCCCCACTTGGAGGGTACTATAGGGTTCTATAATAGGGTTCCTTAAAGGGATCTATAGGGGTCCCATAATGGGGATTTGGGACTTAGTAAGTAAGGCTATAAGTACCTTAATTGGGGTTATAAGTACTTACAAGTATATAGTTACCCTACTTATAACCCTAGTTACTAAGTCCTATGATCCTTGAAGGATGCCATACGAAGCTGGGGCTCCTCCATAACCCAACGCCCTGAATCAATTGGGCCTGGCCCAACGAAGTGGAATGAGAGGGATGTCTTGGGGCAAAGGGAAACCCTAGTATTGGGGCCTTAATAATTAGCATAGGGTTTTGGGGTATAATACTTTTATCATAATAAGGAATCCCCATAACAAGGAACCCCCCCCACAATAGTATTGGTAATTATTCGGGCCCCTTTACTAAACCTCAACACGGATTAGTACAGCACGGTGGCGTCTTCCGGTTCAGGATTTCCTGCCAGCGCTGCAAGTCTGGCATCTGTGAAATATGATTTTTCACGTACCTGTTTACAATGTTTTTAATTTCTGACATTGCGATACATGGCACGTTCCTGTGAAACTCATGGAACTGTCGCTGAAACATTGGATCTGGAGATCGCCTCATTGGTGGATGATCAGTGGTGGTGTTCCACCCCGGGAAGCTCTTATTCTGACGAAGCACAGTTCTAGGGGTTAGCAGCTTAGCAGCAGGATCGAGAAACGTTCTGCCTCAAAGCCAGGAGACTGCAGTCAACCCCTCGGGGGCAGAGGCAGTGGAAAAGTGACTCAACCTTAAGCTGAAGCTCAGGCCGTACACAGAATAAGCCGCGCAGCGTCATCTCAAATCTAACAAAGCCACGAACCAAAAACCAAACCTACCAAAAACCCAGGAGCAACCTGACACACCAGAAACCAAAACAGAGACCCTAAACTCCAAACCTAAAAGGCCATGGCTGTCCCGATGTTTGGCAACTTCTGCATTCACCAGAAGCTCTTTCAAGCGATCCACTTGGCCGAAGTTCACCTTTGCTTATTGCTTTGGGTTTCTAAGGGTGTTGGGGTTTAGAATTTAGATTGTTTTCAGGGTGTTTGGCGGTTTAGTCTTGCAGGGTCGTAGGGGTGTTGGGCTTAGGGCCTATGCATGTGCTGTTAGACTACACCAAGTTCATGCAATAGAGTGTCTGACCCCTAACTAAACCCTAAACCCCTAAACCAGATTCGACCCTGCTGCAACTCTGCAACCTTGCCTCGGTAGACACCCATACGCTACTTAGAGGCCCAGGGGACTCAGTAAGTCGGTTATAAGATATAAGTAGGGTTATAGTTGGGGTACATCCATTTAAGGGACTTATAACTCTACTTATAACCTACTTACTACGTCCCCTGGGCAGCTAAGTATGTGGCCAAGGCTGCATGTTTAGATCCTTTCGACTGCAGCCTGTGACCATGATTCTGTGCGCGCATAGTCAAGGAGCCGTCTGCGTTACTGCGGCATTCTCCTCAAAGATCATCTTCAACTTCTCCTGCGACTCCGGGGTTGGCTGAAAGCAACCGAGACTGCACGACGAGTTTGTCCCGACGAAGTCTGGAACCATGTTCTGGGTGTGATCGGCTCTCGTGGAAAATTAGCCTGAGTTAGCCTGAGTTCTTTTGTAGGTGCCTCCTCACAAGTACTAATACGAACACCGCCGCCTCCTCTCCATTCCTTTGTCAATGTCGGTCTTTTTTTGTTGTGCTGTTAATCGTCGTCCTGCTCTTGCGAGCAAGATCTTCAAAATGGAGCAATCTCTGAAACGGCTTCACAGGCCCGCAAACCAAAACTTAAGGCTCACAGATCAAGCCGATCCCTGTCATGCAGTTGGGGCTTGGTTTTCCCGATAAAGCGTGCGGGCGTGTATGTGTGCGCATGGGGGTTTGGCCGATGCTGTAAAGGCAATTGTGTGGACCTGCTGCGCATCTCCAGGCAGGGATGCTTATAACAAGCACCTTCATAGGATAGGGTTGTGGTCCATATGCCAGTATAAACTACCTTAAGGAACCCTTGGTGATCTTTTCCAGCCCTTTTTTCTGGCTCCGAGGCTTGAATCCGGTGAGCTGGACGGGCGGTTGCGTAGAAGTCGGACTTTCCATGCATCCTAAAAACCCTGTGAATGGCTGACTTGCGCGACTGTCATGTCAAACCGAACTATCCTCATGGTTGCAAAGGGACTTGAGACCAAAACTCAAAACGTGCCAGCCTTCACCACCTCCAGACAATACTGCAACTCGTGTGGTTGGAGTGTCTTCATGGGCTCCTGGGCGATGGGAGCTGTTTCGGATCTGACAACCAAACGCAGCAAGCAGCAGAGCACGAAAGCCACGTACCTATTTGTCGCAGGGCTACATCCAGCCAGACAGTCAGCCAATAACAAGACCCAGCAATGCAATGACGTCGATCTGAATTGCCAACCCTGCATAACCCTGCATTCATGTCACAACATCCGCGAACGGCTTCGGCGATTCCAACGAGCCGCAAGAAGTTAATACCACGAAGACAGCTTCATGTCCTACGCATGAGTTAAGAAAGCCGCATGGCGAAGCTCCCGTACGAGCTCAATTCAAATGCCACCCAAGACTGGTCTGCAGACGGGCGACGAAGAAGAACATTACATCTTTCATCTGCCTGCGGCCGGCTGTTTGAGGCTTCGGGTCAAGGTTGAAGCTTGGGTACTGCCCCATTCAGTAACAGCCTGTAAAAAAAGGGCTACTACCCATAGGCCCCATAGTAGTTCCTTTTTGGGATTACCTTGTAGAATTCTAAATATGAACTCCCAATAAGGAACTACTACGGGGCCTATGAGTAGTTATAAGGGTTTGATCTTGTCCATATTGTACATACTATTCAGCTGAGTGGGGGCAGTATCCAAGTTGAAGCCATAAATAAAACCCACACCCGGGGTCGGCCTCCACTCAGCCTCCCTCATCCAAAAGCTGATTTCACGAACCCTGGACTGAAGCTAAGCTGCAAACACGAGACGGGCCAAGACTCTACATGACGGTAACAGCCATCGGAGAAGTTGCAACATCGGAGCATTAACCGATACAAATACAACTCTTCACCATAGTGTAATGGTACGAATAATTGTAAAGCAGTCGTCACCACCATCACCCTCATCTCCGTCATGGGACGAATAACAATAAGAGCAATGTCAGTTAATGGTGCTGAGCGCATCCTGTACCCCAGGCTATAGCACTGGTTGAGGGCATGCATTTTAGGCTTCAGTAACTGGTAAGTAGGGTGCACGTTCGGGTTTAACCCGAAACCCCGCGCCGCATGGGATTGTAGGATTTGAGTTGAAGGCCTTCCCGCCCTCTAGCTGCCCTACCTTGTAGAATCGTAGAAACGCTCAAGGGATTTGTAGTCTCTGGACCCGAAGTCCTAGCAAACAAAATGCAGAAGGGATCCTATGCTGCTGAAGGAAGACTCCTGAATTGAGGGACTTAGGGAGTTGTTGGGAAGCCAGTCTCAATCTTGAAGAAGATATATCAAGGAATCATCCATAGATCACTGGGCTTTCTGGGCCTTTGCTATGCCCTCAACTGACTCTCTCGCTCGCTCTCGCTCTCGCTCTCGCTCTCGCTCTCTCTCTCTCTCTCTCTCTCTCTCTCTGTCTCTCTCTCTCTCTCTCTCTCTCTGAGTGCCCAAAACCCCAAAACCCTAAATCCGAAAACCCTACAGCCTACTTTTGTTGTGCAGTACTGGGCTCTCTGGGAAGCCAGGTCACCCCAGCCCCATGGCTTTCTCCTTGGAATCTTGGCTTCTGGGTTTAGGGTATGAAGGACCCAGAGAGCCCAATACCCCGTACCCCCGTAATTAAGGAGTATAGCTTAAATCATACTATGAAGCCAAATATTTATAAGCCATATTCCTTAATTAAGGGGTATTGGGCTCTCTGGGGATGCCTCTGACCCAATAGCCGCTGAGTCGGTTCAGGCTAGGGTTTACGGCTTAGGGGCCTCTGGGTTTCAGGATGTTTCAGGGGTTTTGTAAACCAGCTTGGGGTTTATACTTGTGGGCGTGGGTTTGGTGCCGGGATCCGCGTGGACGTGCAAAAGCCAGCATCTCGAACAATCACACCCACAAGCTGCACCAAGATAGCTCAAGACCCGACCTCCGCTGTCTGTAACCAATAGCATTAAAACGCTTGGCTTGATCCTGTAACTACCACCCTTCCGCCGATGAGCCGTCAAATGTCAACAGTTGAACCGTACACATGCTGAAAGTTTCGGTGCAGAGAAATGCAGAGATCACCGAAAACCCTGAACTACTGAACCCTAAGCCCCAGGCGAAACTCTTCGTCGCCTCGATTCGGCTCCTTCGGCTCCCTGAATCCTATTGTCTTATCCGGCATAAACCAACGCCCCACGCAGCCTCCATTCGAAGTTCCACAGCCTCAACCCCTCAAACATTTGAAGGAACTGACCTCGAAACTCCACAGCCCCGAACCTCTACCCTAAATACATCATCCAAGACCCAAGAACCCCCGAAGCCTCAACCCTTAATTATCTCTAGACCTCAAAGCCACTGCCCCCTTCCACCCCACACCCTACTCTAAACCTCTAAATCCTAAACAAAGCAAAAAAAAACAAACCCTAAATCCTAAACAGAGCAGAAAAAACGCAAAAGAAAGAAACAGAGAGCCGTCCCAGGGGCCGGGTCCCCACGGATTCGGACCTCATCCCGGAGGGCCGCCACCTCTCTGAGGTACTCGGATCCTCGGCTACGGAGCACGTGAGGCGGCTTTAGCCTTTTTTAGGCAGAGTGAGTTTAGGGTTTGGTACGCTTCTCGAATTGCGCGTCATCCTTGCGCAGGGGCCATGCTAATCTTCTCTGTATCGTTCCAATTTTATCGGAAGATTCCCTTCGGGTTTAGGGTTTGTTTACGCAGGCCTTTCTGAGTACTGTTAGATGAAGGCAGCAGTAGAAGGGTTGCATGAGGTCGCATGGTTTCATCAAGGCTGTTTTAGGGCTTGTCAAGCTTTTGTAGGGTTCACTCAGTTCCCTGACGCCAACCTTTTTTTCCTTGTGCATAGGGTTCTGCAGGTTCAGCAAAAAGCAAGGCCACGCGCAGCCCTAAACAATCTTCGTCAGTGGACATGCGTCTCAGGTTTGCATGAGACTCAAGATATCGGGGTCCAGCCTTCTACGTTACTGATTTTGTACTGCTTGGGGTTAGAGTCGGTTAGAGTGTTTGGCTTGCAAAATGCTATTCGCGGGGTGATCCGCATCCTATGTAGGTCCTTACTGTGTACTTCGTAAGCTCCCAACAGCAAAGTCGTAAGACAGCATTCCGAAAGTAGAGCAACGATCCGTGCCTGAACTCTGAACGCCCAAGTTGAATCTGACGGAGAGATCGCCGGAACCCTTTCTCGGGAATTCCGAGGTCGCTGCGTGTCTCGTTGAACACTTCCTTTGGTCAGCCAAAGCTCACGACGGGGTTCTGGGACATAAGTTGCTCGGGGGCTGCACGAGCTTGGTCCTTAATAATTAATAGCTGCTGCATGCCATCTTGGTGTCAGTAAGGCAGTGTTGGCGACCCGCAACATACAGAAGGAATCCTGCTCATGTCATATGGTTTCACATCGCGGCGTTCAGTGGTATGAGCAATCGGTGTAAAGGCCTGATGGGTTTTCAACTTTGGCTCACGCAGACTTGCGGTTACGGTGCTGCAATCTTCCAACGGCGCGTACCCACAACTGGGTGCCAACTTTGTCTTATGTCTCTGAGTGAGTTCCACATCTCAGGCTCCAGTGCCATATTGGTGCAGGGCCCTTCGATGCAAGAACTCCCGGCGCATGGTGGAAAGTCAGAGAGAGCGGTGATTTTCAGCGCAACTCAAGCGCGCCTGCAAAGATGTATGTCGTGTCTTGGACTTCTCGATCTCTTCCTGTCAGCCCAGAGTGCCACGTGATGACATGCCAGCCACTTCAGTCACAGGAACATGCGCAGTGTTTGGCCTTTGTCAAGCCCAGCTGCTTTTCACTGTCTGGAGCTACATGGGACTCGTTGTGAGCAGTCTCACTGGGATCATACCCGGTACTAGTGTTCGTACCTTTTTGTCACAGTTGGGCTGAATAGCTTTACATGATCTGCGTGTAAGCACGACATGCTGCTATGCTCCCGCCTTCAACGGCTCCACCAGGTCTTTCCACACAGCTCGTGCCGTCAAGATCTTGACCTCAAAAAATGCGGCAGCTTCAACTTTAAACAAACTGTACTAATGCTGCTACTGCAACCGTTGCTGATTGTTTCCCAACTGCGATTTCGAGCTCTTGGAAAAAGCTGAAAGCGAACGTATCTGCGCCTGGAAAAGGCATCCAACCGAACCACGCTTCACCTCGCACTCTTTCTTCAAGCCATCTAGTTTCCTCTTGCCTACTGACTAAGACACATCAAACTGTGAGTAAACCTACGAGTACCTACAGATGTTTTCACAGTTTGTCATTTGCGGTTAAACAACTCCTACCAGGGCTGGCAGCTATGCTAACATTCTCAAGCCCAGAACGGTCCATCCCTTCAACAAGGCCGCACCAACATCCCCCGCTCCCTCAAGCCCGGTCCTCATGGTCAGACAAGTAATGCAGAATCGGCCTGGTAAACCATAGCCCCTAAGCTGGTCCAACATCGATCTAAGTCCCAAGTCTTGATCTTGAAACCCTAAAATCCTAATCCCCAATAAATTCTATACCTAAGCCCACAAGCCCTGAACTGTAGCGCTGCGCACCTGACTACAAATGCGTGCTTTGCCCTTGAACCGTAAACCCCTACTTGGAGGATCATGGGACTTAGTAAGTAAGGTTATAAGTACCTTAATTGGGGTTATAAGTAGTTATGTATAGTTACCCTAATTATAACCTTAGTTACTAAGTCCCATTATCCTTTAAGTAAACCCTAAACCCTGAAGCCTCAAGTCTCAACTCTAAATCGGCCTGATGGATGGTTGTGGCAGCGAGATCGCCACTCTTGTTGCCCGCCTCTTCAAGGGCTTAGTGTTGCTATAGTCGGTTTCCCTTTAATTTAAGGGAAACCCTATAGAGCCCCTAAAGGAGCCCTTCTAGGGTACTGCAGGCTTCTATAATACCGTTCATGATCCTGCATTACCCATAAGAAGGAGGCGAAGGAGTATACCATAATTTTCATAGTCTAGGGTCACGGGTAATGCAGGATGTATATCATCAACCGTACGCAGGTTGCTCTGGTTATCATAGGGGTATACAGGCTGAAGTGTTTACAAGGGCTCAGGGCTGAGGATTTCGGGGTAGAGTTTGAGGAGTTGAAGGAGGACAGCGCAGATAGAGGCTGTGGGTTTCGGAACGCTCCCAAACCAATGGAGCTCGTTTCAAACAAAGATAGAGTTCCTACTGGAACCAGCATTTCGACGCTTCACATGCTTCCGACGCCCCAACCCATTCCCCTAAACTTTAAGATCTTAAAATATCTTGAAGCCTGCCTCCGTCAAGAAGGGTAGCATCAGCTTGCCGCTTCGGGCCATCAGCGGTACGAAGGACAGCACCTTGCAGCAGCAGAATTCATGGGATGCACCCTTGCAGGGGAAAAAGGGTTCGGGGTCCAACAGAATGGGGCGATGTTGCGGGAGGAGGTCAAGCAACTTCGAGTGTTGGGTTCGTGCAGACTTGGATTTGTGGCGGGCACTAGACTCTCCTGAGTCGCCGCGCAGTGTGCGGGGCCACATGCTGACATGATGCAAGGCTACGCCGACGCCCCAAGCTGGATACCACACCATAACCCTGAAGAACCTACTTCTTAAGGACTTATATAAGGAAATCATAATATGGAACACTAAAACGGTAGGTTATTCAGGGTTAAGGCATACCATAGATGCCATAGACTAAGCCCGCAGCTCACAACCACAGAGTTGCTAAACTCTGCATCCTCCGAGCTCCTATAGTTCTGACATGGGTGGTTGTCAAAATAAGGGTTTTCAAAATTAGGGTCCCTTTTGGGGTCCCTACGGTTGATGATAAAAATCCTGCATGACCTTAAGGACCCTAAACTATGGGAACTATGGTATATTGCTTACAATGGTTCATGCAGGATTTTGTCCATCAACAGTATTACAGTACGGCACTTGTTATTTAGGCTACCCAAGAAGGGACACTAATTTTGACAACCACCCACGTGAACTGGGGTCTCTCTTAGGAAGGAGAAAGGCAAGGGTTTGTTGGTATCAAGCAGAGGCAACCCAAAACAACACCAGAACCAGACAGGATCCCTATTGTTAATGGTATAAGTCCTGCATTACCTTGAGGACCCTAAACTTTTCGAAGTATGGTATTTACCTTATATTAGGGTAATACAGGATACATATATATATATATACATATATATATATACACATATATATATATATATATATATATATATATTATATGTATACATATACATATATCAACCAAGCCTGTGTCTACACAGCTTCATCTCACAGGGATCAGAATAGGATTTGGGAGGGTCTTCTACCAAAAAAACTTCTGGGGGGTCATGAGGTTGTTATACTAAAACTCTGCGTGCAAGGTGGGCTTTTGGATATACTACAACGATTGAGGTTATACAGTGCTATGTGCCCCGTATAAGCCTTCAACCTCTGCACACCCACCAAGCGTGTGGCACGGAGCGGTTTCACCCACACCCTTTAAAATCCTACCTTAACCACAAATATATAACCTAACCACTTAAAGCCTCATAAATAAACGGAAACTAAAATGAGGAACCCTAAAAAGATAGGTTTTAAATGGTCCCGGCAAACCCTATTTATAAGCCCAACCTCAAACTACCACAACCTACCATTTGGCGGTTCTTACTGCAAACACACCAATACACAAATTTATAAGGGCCGCTAAAGAGAAAAAACAGGTTTTGGCCGCTGCAGTCCACGACCCGAAAACCCTAGACCACTAGCCTTTTTTAAGCACGGACTTGGAGTGTATGCCGGCAGCGAAGCTCTCTGGCAGATCGTGGGTTTAGCCTAAACCCTAAACCCTAGACCCTAATCCCTAAACCCTAAACCCCTAAACCCTAAACCCTAAACCCTAATCCCTAAACCCTAAACCCTAATCCCTAAACCCTAAACCCTAAACGGCCTTGGCTAAGAAGGCCTGCTCACCCTCCGAGTAGGGATCCGAGAGCCTGGCGCTCCGTAACCCTCTGCTTCAAGGGATCCTTAAAGGGGTCCTTAAAGGGATCCTTAAAGGGGTCCTTCAAGGGGTCCTTAAAGGGGTCCTTCAAGGGGTCCTTAAAGGGGTCCTTAAAGGGATCTGTAGGGTTCAGGGTTTTTATTCCCTCCTACCAAGCAAGGACGAAGCCCGCGGTTCAGGGTTTAGGGGTGTAGGATATAGGGTTTAGGGTTTAGGGTCCTTAAGGGGTCGAGGAGCCCTCTCAAAGGAGTCCTTAAAGGGTCTAGGGCCCTAAGTATGAAGTTCAGGGTAAGGGAATCGAACAGTGGAGTTTCGGGTTTTTGGGGGCCAGGGAGGTTTTGGGCTTTGGGTTTTGAGTTTCGGGTTTTGGTGTCCGTTTAAGGGCTCCTGTTTAGGCACCCTAAATGCTGCAGAATTCCGAATTCTGGGATCCCTTCACAGGGTTCTTGTATGGTTTTATAAGGGTTTTGCGGCTCTTGGGCAGGGTATTACAAGGGGTTAGGGTATCGGTTTTGCATACCTTTTTGGGAGTTTGAATTTAAGATTCAAGATTTTAAGGTTGTGCTATTTGTTGGATCCAGCGCTTATAGGGTTTAGGCATTGCATTCAGGATTGGACATCGCGGGTCAAATCGGCTATGTGCAGATGTATAAACTGCGCACACAGGGATACACACATAATTACAATTTGTACACACACGCAATTGGTCTCATTCTCTTCATACTTTTACGATCTCTTACTCTTACCCACACTCAAACTCACATTCAATCTTTCATGTATCAAGAAAGAACACACATACATGCAGGAACCCGGATGCTTTCTGCCAGCCTTCTGCCTGCGAAGCGCGCAGAGCTTGAGTGGAAGGATCTGCGGACAGGGACTGGGTGTTTGGGATGATCTGTCTAGGGTGCACAGCGAAGGTTGCTAAGCAGCACCCTTAGGATTTAGGGTTTATAGGGTTCCTTTCTAGATGACGGCTTCCAGCTGCAGTTCAGCCACCGACTTCAAGTCCTTAGCTTTCCCGGTGCCTTCGGTGGTGGCGCCCCAATGAGAGTACTCGCAGGACATTCACCAGCTTCCGCACCTCGAAGTGCCGAATCCACCGGGTGGGAGATCCGAGAATGGCACGGGCAATCGAAGCTGCAACCGTCTGACAAAAATACCCTCAAAATCAGGTAGACAAGCCCAACACCCAAGCCTGAAAACGCAAGCAGAAGAGCCAGCTCGAAATCGCCGGGACAGCAACCGCAGTGGCAGTAGAATTCTAAACCCGTGCTGAACCCTTTATCCTAAAACCTTTAACCTGTACCCCCCCACAAAACTAAACTTAACCCCAAAACCCTATACCCCTCAACTCTAGGCCCCTAGGCTCCTCATGCCATAACCCCAAAACCCTATACCCCTCCAACTCTAGGCTCCTCATGCCAGGCGGCCAAGGGCTTGAGGGCCTTTGGCCGGTCGTAAGCCTTCCCTGGGAGATAATGCCCATAGTGGCCGGGCCTGGAGAAACAGGATACGACAAGCTCAGGGGTGTACGGTTTGGGGTCTTCTGGGGGTGGGGGGGTGGCTATCACGTCTGAAAAGCGGCTATTGCTAATGATGATGAGCGGTTGGGATGGGCCGCAGTGGTGAAACGGCCGACGAGTCAAAATGCTTAAGGCCCAAAGTCCTGAATTCCAGGGCTTCCTAACCCAAGTCAAGCCAGTCGGAGACTTTACGGGGATGATGTGAGGCTGCCCCACAATAATACATCCTCTCGTTTAGGGTTTGGGGTTTTGGGTAGGGGACCACTGAAAAAGTACCCTAAATAGTAGGATCCTTATCATGAGGACCCCAAAGTAAGGAACCCTCGAATTTTCGAAAACTCCCATTTCGGTCTTGGTTCATCACCATGGCGATATGGCTTCATGGAGCAACTCGAAACGCGTTTGTGCAAGCAGGATGTGGGGCGTAACTAGAATGAATTCCCGATGTGCTTTCTTCACGGGCTTTTCTCCCGCCAGACCTAAGCAGCTGCACCAAAATGCGGCTGAAGTCGAGGGAGTTGATTTCTCAAACAGGGACACTTGTGAACGCGGGCACTCCAAGGTTACCTGGAACACGTCGGCCTGTAGGAAATCAAACTGAGGCCACCGTGCGTTTGAGATGCAGCCAGAGATTCCGGTGTCCTGTACTCTAAGGATGTGACCCAGGATGAAACTTAATTCAGCAATGCTGAAGTCTCCGGGTACTATGGGGGCCTTAATAATCAGAATAGGGTTTTGGGGCCCAGTATACTATAAATACAAAAAGGAACCCCCCAAAATAATATTGGTAATTATTCCGGCACCTAAAGTACATGTGTCCTCTCATTCTTTTTGGCTCCCGCATGGCTCGTCTCGAGGACTGGCTTGGCAGGCTTTGCTAAACGCCAACGGTAACACCCTTCGACTGTCGCACAAGGTCTCTGGCTCGCGGAGACATGCTTACACTCCGCACAACAATTACAGCAGGGTTCGCCTAACTTACAGAAGTAACTGCAAGGTCAGGTAACAGGCTTTCTAGAAAGCTCGTGCTGTCAGCCATTTTCCCAGAAGTTGTGCAAAAGGAAAGCCGTAGGTGCTTGTGGTGCTGTCTAGGCGGCGGCTTCCACATGCACCCGGCGCGGGTGTTCTGCTGGGTTCTCCACTTCTCTCCGTCTCGCAAACAAGCCTAGTGTGTTCTCCCCATGCGCTCACAGCACACCTGCAAACACTTGGAGCACGCACTGCGCAGCTAGCTTCGCGGGCATAGCATTCCTGTATGCCCGAGCATTGGCGTGCATCAAATTTCTACCGTCCTGGAAGCTACAGTTTCGCAACTGCGTAGGTTGCGATGGCGAAAATCTCTTAAATTGAATGGATGTGTCGTACCTGTTCTCCGAACAAGGCGAGACACAGCCAGATCCTAAACACCAAACACCAAGTCCCACTTCTTGATGAGCTTCCCGCGTCGTGTCGAAAGAACCGAGTTTTGACCGGCAAAGATGCCGAGAAAAGAAAGCTTCTGAGTTCAGCCCACAGCCCCTGCAGGCCTTCAAGGCTACCGGGGCCAAGGCACAACGATGCCATCCTGGCTTAGAATGTCGGAGCTTAGGAGTTTCGGAATTACGTAAAGTTTTCTTGTGCATTTCAGGAGAAAAGTTGGCTACCAGTGACATCACCCGAATCTGAGAAATGTCACAGGGAGGTCAGCTTGTATGTGAGAGAGCCGAGGACTGCCACTGTAGGGTTCACGGCCACATACGCAATATAGAGGCCTTAATATTTAATGAGAACAGGGTTTTGGGACATATTATACTATACTTATAATAAGGACCCCCCCTCCAAATAGTATTGGTAGTTATAAGGCCGCTATATTACACACTGACGACGCTTCCCTTGAGACCGAGCCTACGAGAGGCTGGCTTTGTGCAGCGATGACGCGACGGTGACGGTGAAACGTGATGGGTTCACGATCAACCAGGATCTTGCATGTAAAGCTCATCTTCGACCTAAGCTGTCACCATATTGTATAAGGCCCTTTAGATAACAGTGTATGCGCTGAAAGCCTGATCTGCTCTCGGAGAATCTCCGCAAGTTCCAGTTCGCGACGCCAACCCCCCTGATATAGCCGCCAAAGCATGGCCGGAGAAATGGTCTCGTCGTCGTATTCGGGCTAAGGATCTTGGTATCAGGGTTCTCAGCAAGCAGGTCACTACTTGATGCACCTGCTGAAGCGGCGCTGAAAATGCCCACGCCATTGCGCGGGTTCCCGGGAGGTTCGTTACGGCAGCACGGACAAAGAATTCCCGGGAGCTAAATCGGCGAGGCTGACTCAAGCTGAAATCTCTAAAGACTTGTGGCTTTTTGACTACACACACACACACATTGAGCCCTTGAGCTCTGTAAGTGGCTTTGCGTCAGCCTCAGAATACGAAATGGGCACGCTCCGCTGGGCTCTCCATCACCGGCTTCAATCCCTAAACCCTTTTTTGCAGCTGGGCTTTTAGTGTCTAAACCCTAAACCTTGAATATCCCTGAACCCTAATTAAGTACATAAATACTTGACGTTGGCAGCATAACTGCAGCATACTAAGACTCTCGCAGTCCGCTGCGTGGAGGCTCCCACGAGGCAGACGCATTTATCATTCTTCTGTGGCCGTGCGTTCGTGTCCGGCAGCATCTTCAAAGGGTCCAAGTGTCATTATGGTATATACTTGGGTGGCTAACAAAATTATGGCCCCTTTTTGGGTACCCTAAATGGGCCTAAATATTAGGTGCCGTACTATATCATCTTCGTTTAAAATCCTCGCGCAGGACTCACGTCAACTTTCAAGAATCTTCTAGCCACAACCTAATATTCAACGTGAAGTTGGAAGAACTACTGCCTGAACAATGATGCATAACAAAGCCTGAGTCCTGAGGGCACTGTAAGTAAGGCCTCTAGAGTCTGCTTGGGTTGTTCACGTCAGGAATTGCAGAAAAACTGAGCAGGCAATGTGCTTGCTTATATTGTTAATTGTTATAACTGTTGCAAGGTTGCAGTCGCTTGAGGCAATCCAGGGCGCCCAATGGGCAGAAACAAACTCGACAGCCATGACCTACACGAACCTACAACTCTCGTGAATCCCACCCGCAATACCAAGCTCACCTGCAAACTAAATCATACAGAGAGCCCGTGTTTGCAAAGCAGGGATCCGATCTAGCAGTGGCAAACGCCTGTCACAAATGCAGCCTCTTCAGCTCAATACCCTTCACTTGCAGGGGCCCAAAGATCTCAGAGGTAGGAATGTCTGCGGGGATGCATGCCCCACGATTGCAGAGTCTTGCTCTTTGTCGTCCTTCTCCGGAGGGTGCTGCTGCTCGGGTGTGCCTAGCTGGGCAATCCGGTTCTCTTGGATCCGACGTAGCTTTCCCAGCTCCGAGCGGGACTTTGAACGCAGCTTTTGCAGCTCCTTTGATGCTCGCGCACGCTCCGCTTGGGTCGGCGCCGTCTGCGTCTGCTCCACTAGACCTCGAGCCACCCCGGGTCGGAAGGGTCCCAGTCTGCAGCGGTGGATGTATTCGTCAAGCGCGGTCAGGTCCGAAGGCAGCAACTCCCGGATTCCTGGCCCAGATCGCCCGTTGGCGATGAGCTGCAAAGCGAGGAATTTCCCATCCACCAGCGTGTGGGGGGTCTGTTTCGACGGCTTGGCTCGGAGCTTGAACGGCGGGTATGGCAAGAGCTGGATAGGGAAGTTCGTGAGTGGGCACATCAACTGCTGGCGCGATCATGTCCACCAGCGGCTGTTTCCTTCACCACTCTTGTCCACACTGCCTGTGGATCCACGTCGACCCTCCCTGACCATCCTGGGGTTCTTCTTGTAGGAATTCTTGGCACCTTTCGCAGGCAGTGGCTGCGCCGACTCCTCATACTTCGCGTCAGCAGTGGCCTGGAGAGTTTCGAACCAGCTATTCAAGGGCATCAGGTCCGGCTTGGGGCGCAGCGGCTTCACCAAGAGCTCCGTAGATGTCGGGATGAACATTGGCTCCTGCAGGCTCTCTTGCCTCATCGCCATGTCCACGCCTCTGTGAGGCGCCAGGAGCGTGAAGCCAGCAAGTGAAGGAAAAGGCGTCCGAAGCTCGAGGGCTCAAAGGGTTTCGGCGCTCACACTCGGACGGACTTAGGGTCTAAGAGTCTAGGATTTAGGGTTTATAGGGTCCTAAACCCTAAACCGTTTAAAGGGTTTAGCTAATTACAGGCTTCAATATTTCGAGGATCAGAGGCTGTCAGCTGAGCTCCCCGCGCATGCTTGGGATCTTCTCCACTTGCCATGCCAACTTGTGTGGCGAAGAAAGAAAGGCGGGCGTGAGCTTTAGCTGACCGTGTCCAAGGGAACAAAATCTGGGCTGGAAATTTGCGTGGTCCCCTTTTCGGGTGAGTGGAGGGACTGCTCGGCATCTGGTGCTCGTTGCGTTGAGGAGGCAGGCATATTTTCTAACTTAGTTTGAATGAAATGGGCTTCTTGCAGTAATGCAAACAGTTTGAAAATTCACAGGGCTCCGGGTCCGCACCCGCTTTGCGGGACGGAATGGAGCTCTGCTGCCTCAAGCCAAGAAGCATTCACACACATCCGAGCTTCAAAAGACCGACAGCACTTCTCGACTTTTTCTACTGCTGACTGACTGCTACGACGAGGACCACGACGGTTGCTGTGCTGATACTGTTACTGCGACTGCTGCCACTACTCTGCGACCCCAACCAGGAGAGGTGACTACTCTTGGAAATGGTGCATCGCGAAATGAATGCAGATGACTTTGGAACCCAATCGTACATCATGAACTTCTGACAGGGGGAAGGCAGGGCCCAGGACCATAGTAGCTGAGTCTTCATTCTTACCAGGTGGGACTTAAAAGCTCGCAACGGGGATCACAATGCAGAACATCAAAGTCACAGGTAAGACGTTTCGCGAGTGTCGCGGGCACGGAGGCTTTCGCTCTGGGCAGTGGCAACACACAAGACGGACGAGGCCACGTCGTAAATGTTTGCAAGCTTCGCACTTTACCTCTTCGCGGACATGTGCATATGTTTGAATGTATGTTCGTATGTCATCATCATACATGCATGCATACATATAGTATATATGTATGTATATATATATATATCTATATATCTATATATCTATATATCTATATATCTATATATATATATATATATATATATGTATTTGTAAATGTACAGCCGACCGAACACCATGCACCATGCTGGCGCCTGCTTGCCTCTTGGCCCTGCGGCAGAGATGGGGGGGCACTGACACGGCGATGCGGGAGCACATAATATAATGCAATGAATGTATGTATGTATGTGTATATATACACACACATACTATATACTTCATGTGCATACATATAATTATACATATATATATACACACACATACTATGCGCTCAGCTGTAGCAGTTGTATTTGCTCTACTTGGTGGCTGAGCTCTTGTCAGAAACGTACCCACCCGTGCCCGAGAGTCGTGTAATTCCCTTCTGCCGACCGAAAATTGTAATCATTTTGTTCCGGCTACCTCTTCTGCACACATCTGTACACTGTACACGGTACACAGTACTCCGCAGGAACAGTGGCTTCAAGAGGAATTAACCACACAGCTGCAGCTTCGCTGCAAAGAGTATGGTTTCACAACCCGGATTGCTACATTTAGTAAGAAAACTCCAGATCCAAAAGGGCGAGGCCCAGGGTGGGCTGTCAGACCTCAAGCAGGCAGTGAGGTTGATGTAGCAGGGTTCGTGGCTCAAGTTTTACAAACACCAGGGCTAAGCCCTTGAAACCGTCAGCGGCTCTGAGGGTTATAGGCTTTACCCTAACACCTTCTTTTGCACAGACTTGCATATTCCCTGAAACCTCTATAGACCCAAAAACCCGTGTATAAGTATACAACATCAGATCTAGGACCCCTCCCACTTGGACCCTGGGCTCCATAGGATATCCTCTGTCTGTCTCTAAATGATTATGAGACCTACCTGCAGCCGAAAAAACCTACCTTTTTACGGTTCCTTCTTATTGTTTCTATATAAAGTTTCTTGAAAAGGTAGGTCTTTTCATCTATGTACAGGTATTCTTTAGATGAATAGTAAACCATAATCTCCAGATCTAGATAGATCTCGAGCACGAAGCCCTAAACGTTAAGGGTCCAAAGGACCCAATAATCAGGTATTCTGGTTTCCAAGATAGTAGATATGTAGGTTACTATTCGGGAAAGTATATGATTGTTAGGTACTTGGACCCTTAGGGTAAACCCAAGGCCTTGCTCATGGAACTACCGTCCGAAGGTTTGGGAACTTCAACGTTCGGGGAGCACAGGCGTGTGGCGTTCAGCCAAAGGCAGCGGTGAGTGAGTAGCTAGTACCCAGAGCCTCCAAAACCCCTTGATTAAGGAAAATGAACCTTACGTAATATTATGGATCCTACTTTACTTTAAGGTAGATTCCTTAATTAAAGTGTTTGGAGGCTCTGGGTAGTTCGTGTTGGGGCCTCCACGATGCAGTCTAGCACAAGGGACACTGATCTAGTACCCTGAAGAACACCAAAATACGCTACCCCTAATTTTCGGAAACTCCCGTATGGCGGCTTCACCTTGTCTTCTAAATACACAACTTCCGAGACCCCCAAAGCCCTCCAAAAGCAATTCAGAGGAGGGCCCATTGTACTGTAGTTATTTTAACAAGGAGCCCCCAAAAGAGTATAGGTAATTATAAAGGCCCGTAAATAACCCATGTGCGGTGGCTTCGAGCACACAGAAGGAGAACGAGTATACATGGCCCCCGACATAGGACGTCGTGGAATATTTCATGTCGCACGGTAAGGATCTGACTGCATCAATGCTTCTTGCTCTTGGCCGCCAATCGAGTCAGGAACTTACCTCAGGATGTGTCAGACACCCGTAGGGTTTGGAGTTTAGAGGTCCGAAGCGCTCACACAGGGTTGGTACCAAGCCTGACAAGAACACGCATGTCATTGAACAAATGCAACCGAAACTACCGGACCCGCGGGCCACGGGAAGGATGAACAAAACAGCAGATCCCTTAAAATGGGATCCTGTGCGACTCAAGGATACTTCTTGAAAAAAACCCTAAGGGATCTATTATTTTTTGGATCCTTCCCTACCAGGGACTGCAGCAGCGGTTTTTCTGTTACCGGTTTGGGGTTTATGGATTTAGGCTTTCGGGTATTTTTGTCCCTCCCGCTTTCGGGTATGAGAGAGTGGGATCCTCCTGGGACACTGAAAGTCATTATCCTTAAGCCCCGAGGCCCTGAATCATGGATCTTGTAATCAATAGAGGGGTCGGAAGAGTCTGAAACCATGCCGTAGTGCCCAAATAATCATGGTATGGTATACCCCAAAACCCTGTTCTAGAATGTAGTGCCCCTATATCACCCCTTTCCTCATGGGCTTGCAAAGCAGAGCTTCTCTTCCCCCGAGCCCCCAAAAGCCTTAATCAAGGAATGTACCTTGAAGTATAGTAGGACCCGTAATTGAGAAATATACCTTAACCTTAGTTAAAGTATAGTAGGATCCAATATACAAGCAAAGCTTCTCTTCTTCGCCGGCTTCGCAGGGGTAGTTGGCACAGTCACCGCAGACTTGGCAGCCGGATGGCCGGGTGGAGGCTTCGAAGAGGCCTGTCCAGCAGGCCCGTTGCGCGCCTCTACCCAATGGGTCCTAAGTACCTCTGTAGGAGAAATTTGGGTTTCGTAGGAATTACTATGGTGGGTCTGGGTAAGTATCCCCATGAAGGTACATAATACCCTTAGGGCCAAATCCTGAAACCCGAAACGGCCTAAACCCTAAGTCTAGGATTTCGGCCTTAAAGTGTGGATTAAGCGAGCCCTCAAGCCCAAAAGCGCCATGACTCATGTCTGATAGTCTTCTAGGGGCCTGCCAGAATGTAGAGACTCTGCACAGTCTTAGGGACCCTGGTAATCCTGAACGCCCCCAGGCTTGCAAGGCTGATCCTTACGACTACGGAACTGTGAGCTGCCGCCCAATACCCCTTAATTAAGGAATATGGCCTAAATTATATAGGGCTTCATATTATGGTTTAAGCTATATTCCTTAATTAAGGGGTATACGCATACCGATTCTGGGTTCTAGCAAAACAGCGACCTGGGTGTTTGAGTGGTAGCTCCGGTACCCGCTTTCCCTGATGTCCTTGATGATTGAAAACCCGAGTGCAGTTCCCACAGCGCGGCCTGCGGGCCCACGGCCCTTGGTTCCATCAACAACTTACCCTAAGGGTCCAAAGGACCCAATAATTGGGTACCCGGTTTTAGGATAGTAGTTATGTAGGTTAGGAATTTGGACGGTGTATGGCAGATCAGAAACTTGGACCCTTGGGGTTTCAAGCCTTCCGGGATTTCGGATTGCAGGGTTGGGGGCTTCAGGAACTTTAGGGCTTTTTGTTGCCTTCAGGGGCTGGGGTTCAAGAGTTGAGTTGAGACCTCCTTGAAGCTCCCTGGCCTGTACTTGCCATGCTGCCCCAGATGCTGTCGGCCAAAGTTCAAAAACACGCAGACACATGTGGGCAGTCCTCTACATTAGGGTCCCTGTCTAGGTCCCTCAAATGATTCGGCAGCTTCATAACCAGAACCATAAGATCCATGTCCTGTCCAAGTGGCTGGAGAACTTTTGCCGTGGACCAACCTGCACTCTTTGTGTGGCTGGCATCCGGCAAGTGTTTCGCTGGGACGTAGCCCTCGAAGACAGGTACGACCTGGGAGGTCGGGGAGGATGCACACCACAGGCGGCACGCTGAGGGCACTCAGTGACTCGGATAACCGCTAGAAGACATGACCGCACTGAGGTTACTTCGTGACCGGTTTTTCAAGATCCTCAGAAGGTTGACACGGTACAGAAGTTCATACATGCTACAACACCAAACAGCATAAACATTACGCCTTGTGACGGCTGCCGGCCACTGCTACACTCACTGCTGAGCATTGCCTTTTTGCCAAGATGAGGGCTCGAGGCGACCACAGACTCAGAGACAGAATGCATGGGCAGAATCCAACAGCCGGAGCAGCGTTGTCCGCCAGCTTCTCCGCCAGCTTCAAAGGAAGGCTCAACCTGGCGACTTCCCAGCATTCTGCTGGTTGCCGGAATCGGTTTGCTCCTTCAACTGCAGAAGATCCATCTCCATCTGCCGCAGGTATGTCTGCTGTTGTCGAAGGGAGTGCGCCCAGTCAACGTCTGCAGTATGTCCTTCAACAAAGGCCGTGCTCTCACTTTGCAGTGTTGCATCATCGAGTTGCAAACCGGCGTCGATTTCGCCCAAATCCTGGAATTGCTGAAGCAGCCGGCGCTGCTGCTGGCAGCTTTCTTCTATCCTCTTGTCTATGTCCTGCTGACGTTGCTGGACAGCCAAGACAGCTTGCTGCGCTTGCTGGTATGCCGGCAAGAACTGGGCCTCCTTTTCTTCACAATCCGCCTCCTGAGCTTTCAATTCTTCTTCCTCAAAGTGAAGGCGTCTTTCTCGCTCCACCAGACGACGTCGCACAGGCTCCACCTGGGCCTCAATCTCCTCAAGAAGACGCTTGTCTTCATGCAAGGCCCACTCCTCCCGTTCCACTTCATCGAGCTGTTGAACAGCTTCCTCAAACTCCAGATGCAGGAGGTGCGTCTCCTTCTCGATCTGGTCAAACTCACGTCGCATGCGGCCGACTTGGTCGTCAACCCGGTTTCTGGCCTCGAACAAGTCCGACTCATCTTGGGCCAAATCTCGCTCCTTTCCTAGGTCTGTTGGCCCTTGCTATCGCGTCTATGAGGACGTGTTCCCAAATAAGATCACAACAAAAGGAACAACTCGGAACAACAAAGAAAACATCTCCCGAAGGCCTTCCTAGTCGCCCTCCACCTCCATCTCCAGCTGCTTGAGCGTCGAAGCCTGCTCATCGAGCGTCTCCTGGGTTCTTCTCAAGGGATTTAAATAAATGGAATTACCTTAGTCAGCAAACCATATTATTAACTATAGATATCCCTACTATGGTAATGGTAACTTAAACTGAATCTCTTAATCTCTTAACAAGAACCCAGTCTCTTGCGCAGATCCTAGGGCCTTCGCTTTGGCTGCAGCGGCTTGGAGCAAGGCTTCGGCTTCCGCACACGCAGCCTCCGTATCATCCCTGGACCATCGAAGCTCTTCCTCAGCGATCTCCATTCCTCGGTTGTAGTTCTGGGGCCCCCGAAAGAATTTCTGAACAGATACCTCTATATGGGACCATGACCATAAGTGTATTAATTATGAAGTATTGCAAAGTGCAAGCATGCTTCGCTCAATGTCCAAATCTAGACTTTCCAAACAGTGGTCCATGTCTTCCTCGCGGGCAACTACCGAGTCGAGGCGCGTCGCGAGGCTGTAGCTTTGTGCAGCCTAGTTCATGGTTGGGATAGGATTAACAAAATGTACATGTTTATTCCTTGTTGGGTTTAAGTACTCAAAAAACTGCAAAATGTTACCCAACTATGACAAGGCAGCTAATCGTTGGCACTCTTCCTCCAGCTGATGAGCCGATCCGCAAGTACACCCCGAGGTCGCCACGGAGAACTGCCCATCCAGGTCATTCGGCTGGGGCGGATTGCTGGCTGGGCTCCGATTGGGAGGGGACCGTCTGCCATTCTGCATGCGGCCACCATGCACAAGGAGCCTAGACTCCCTCTACTCTGAAAGACTGTGGAGCAGGTTTCGCATGGACGGTTCAAACCCTGTACTTGAGGACCGAATGTTAGTGGCACGCCTTGCAACCCCTCTTTGGAGAATTCACCTCTAACTTGTTGTAACCCTAGAATGCATAAGCAATCTCTCATCCCGTCTTCGCATGAGAATCCTTGCATATGTGGACAAACGGCTGCTTTAGTGTTGAGGGGTGTAGAGATTCGTGAACTTTTGGTTTGCTTGGAGCTGTCTTCGGGGGCCGGCTGCAGGAGTTTCAGCCTTAGGGCATAAAGATGTTGGGGCTCAGCTTTGTTTCGGTCGTGGTGAGCAGAGCAGAGAGGAGAAAAGCAGAGCATGGGAAACAGGCGCCGACAGGTCTGTCGACCACCATCTTTGGTACAGTAGTATCTTAATTAGGAGTATTGGTCTTCCCAGGGTTTATACTCTCGCAGCTCGGACACAGCCAGACGAGATTCGTTCAGGGTTTAAGGTGTAGGATATAGGGCTTAGAGTCTGGGGGTTCCTACTTACATGATCATCGTCCTTACATTGACTGGGGCACTGATGCTGATTGATGCCATCTTTACTAACCGTGCCATGGTTACCGAACGACGTAAACGGTAAACCCCACGGTCAACAAGGCAGCAGTGGGAGCCGACACCAGAAGCCAGACGGGGATTGTCAGTTCTAATCATTTAAGGCCCCTTATCTTATAGTACCCTTATAGATCCCTTATAGTAACCCTTATAATCTACCCCTTTAAAGGAGCCGTAATGATTTGGGAGTTTGTCCGTCTGAGTTTGGCTGGACATCCCGCGCAAATGGCAAGTGAAGTATGCAAGAAGCCAGTTGGACAGTTGGGACATCCTTATCTCATGCCGTGAGTTAACGGGAAATCCAGCACTGATCATCCTTACCCGATGTTCCAACTTTCTGACTGCTACTTTAGCACCAGCAGCAACCCTATACCCTTTTTTGCATCCAGCCTGCAACGCCTCTGCGCCTAAACCCTAAAACTGTCAGTGATGGCAGTGGAGGCGGCGGTGAGCTAAACCAAAAAGGCCCTGAGGAGGTGCTGCATTGCACATGCTGAAACCCTCAAGCTCAACTCCTAAAGCCCTAAACGCCCTAAGGGCCCTTGTACCCAAATAGTATTTGCTTTGGCCTTCAAGTGGTCCCTGTATAGGTACTGAGGGGCCACAGCATGTGCTATTCGGGTACCTGGGTACAGTGGTCCCTTACTAACTTACGGAAAACCCTTTTCAGCACGGGCGTTGGACGTGTGCCGGCAAGCTGGAATCTTACGGTCTGCATCAGACAGCAAGCTTGAAACTCAACTCGTTCATAGAATTTGAATTGAGGTGTCCTAAATCCTAAACCGATAAGATCCTAAGAAGGGAGCCCTGTCGAGCTCTCATGCATCCCCCTTGAAGCCAAGTTGCATTGTCCGGGTCGGACACGACCATGGCGTCTCCCACGTGCACGACATTCTGGAGAGCAGCTCTCAGTACATGGGGAGTTTCCGAAAGTAGAGGACCCTAATCTAGTACCCCAAACTAATAGTAGGATCCTTATCATAAGGACCCCCAAAATAAGGTACCCCGAATTGTCGGAAACTCCCGCATCTCTTTAGGCTCCAAACTTCTTAACTAAGGAGTTTACATTACCTATAGTCTCCATTGTAGCTCGTTTTTGCGGTTACCTTTTAGTATCCTAAATAAATAAATAAATATATATATATATATATATGTATATTTGGTTAAACCACAAAAAGGAACTACAATGGAGACTGTAGGTAGATTATAATCGGAGCCCCCAAAGAGATTAAGGGTATATTCCTATATTCCTTAGAGAATGGAGGGTTTTGGGAGGGTGTGGGCAGGTAGGGGCGCACAACCAAACCTAGGCCAACAGCAACAGCTGTACAGTAAGTAGCTTCTGGGAATGCTTCTTGGGCTCGGTTTGGTTAAGTGGCATCATACGGGAGCTTGGTTGTATTTCGAGTAGGGTAAGTACATGATTACATGATGTAGGGATTTGGCGGCAAACGGCTCCTACCTCGTTGCCCTCCATCTACCTGAATACTACCGGCCATTCTATGTTCACTTTCAATCCTGATACTGCCCCGAGTGGCTGTTGCATGTTTTTGACCCCAAGACCTCAACTTTGTGAACTAAAGCTCTCCCCCAAGTATCCCTAAACCCTACGTCCCTTTGCAACTGGCTTGCAACGTCACGCCAGGACAGCTGACTAATCCTTAAGTTCCTTTTTTTTTTTGAACCCAGGCTCTGTGTTATCAGCTGGGCAGCAGGCATAATTCCTTTAAGTTCCTAAACCCTAAACCCTCTCTAGCCCCATATGGTCCTAACTTCGACAAGAAGGTCGTGAGCTGCTCCAAAGGAGCCTTATGTTAAAACATGTTAGCGTCGACTCTAAGCTTCGTCCCTCTCTTATTAAAACTACTGTTGTTATTACGGTATAGGGTTTATAGGGTTTAGGGATTACTATTCCCTATCCATCGGCCGACAGAAACAAAGACAACTGAAACAGTAACTCTCTCTCGACGATGAGCTGCAGCCCACTTCCGTTGCAAAGCTAATATAGGGGTCTTAATAATTACCTATACTGTTTTGGGGGCTCCGCACTATACTTTTAGTAAAATGGGCCCCGATACCCTATTTTAATTATTAAGGCCCCTTTATCAAACCCACAAGAAGCTGCCGACCATTCCGAACCCTTCCACACGCGGGCCTCCTGCCGGACGGCGCAAACAAGCATGGAGTTCGATGGGCAGAAGCCCCTGGCAGCCGACCAACTTCGGCAGGCTTGGGGGAAGCTCAGAAGGGCACTAAACTAAACCTCAAACCTCTAAGCCCTGTAGCTAATGTAATTATAAAGCTAGCCTCTGAAGTCTTAAACCAAAAGAGCTGCTAAACCGATCTACTTCGCAGTTCGGGCTTGCCTGCCGGAGGGTCGGGTGTCCCCGCAGTCCCAAGTTGTGCGGTAGAAATTGGGAGCAAGGACGAAGCCCGCATTGCAGGGTACATTGGTTGGACAGTTGAAAACGGCCAAATATTTCATAGCCAACCAATTTACCCCGAACAAAATTACGGTTCAGGCTCCGAGCTTTTTTTTGCCTCCTACTTCGCAGGGGTTTTCTCACACCCACCTGCGCAGGGTTCAGCGTTCAGGGTTTAGGAGCTTCTTCGGGCAACCTTAGTGGCTCCGGTCTGGGGGCGCTTATGGTAAGGATCAAACATCCGACGTTTTGAGGCGCTTGTGCATGTTCCGCATCCGTTTTGCCGGGTTGACTCCATCTGAGGAGTGAAGCTTCCGAGATACTCTCTCCGAATCAAGAGGATGATCTGGTGACTGAAAACCTTTCCACACAACACAGGAGATAGTAATCCTGGGCCCCAAGGCCTGACACAGAGAGAGATCAGAAACCCGGAGCGTGCCTGGACAACCACGATGCATCTATGTTCGCCGTGTAAATTCCCCGGCCGTGAGCAGCACCATGTACAATCTGCAGCCTGAGGATTCTTCCAAACCGACCCGAAGGTTGACAAACCTCTTGATAAGTTCATGCTTGTATTCCGGCCTAAACCCGGGAAGCCCAGGAGCTCAGGCTGGGTACTGTTGGTTTAGAGGTTGAGTCCAGGTCAAATTCAGACGGCGCTCTTGCTGCATGCGCCGGGGCGGCTTCCCAGTCCTACTCCGCAACACATCATGAACATCATATCACCTTGGTTACCACCTTTACAATGGAATCTGGCTTCTGTGGTGGAGATCCACGCACCCACGGCACCAGAAAGGCATGTCCAGGCGAGGTGCCGGTTCTCAACGCCCGGGATGAGCAAGCCCCTTGAGAAGATGGACCTGTTGTTGGGCAGGTTCATCGGGTGTATGTGTGGGGAAGAACGCTTCGGGTTCCGGGAGTTTATGAGCATGCGACAGTTTATGCTCAACACCATGAGCCCAGCACCCTCCTGCTTGAAGCTCCTGGAACTGGAACAGGATGGCACCTCCTCTTAACATACGGTACCAGTCAAGGACGCCCCACCCCACTGAAGCGACCCTTCCCTAGGTCAGCTGCCTCGATCCTAAGCCTGAAATCAAAACGAGTGGCTCGTAGTTGCGCGTGTCGGTACCATGAAAGGCGGGTTTGATGTGAGCGCCCTGAGATTCGTCAGGAAGCACAACGCACAACTTTCATAGCTCCTAATGAGGGTTCAAGGTCAGACCCTGAACCACTGGTAGCCCGACCTGGTATAAGCCCGGTCTCTGTTTGGAGATCCCCTTTGAAATTTGGGCATGCCAAAACCAAAACATTAGGGTGCGGGCGTACCAAAATATCCGGGTGTGGATGGTACGATGTGGGGTTTGGGGTAGCCGGGCTTGGGGTAGCCGAAACACAAGCGTATATAAATTGGCACAAATCTCGTGGAAGTTGTTGGACTTCTGAAGCAAGCATCGACAGGGGAGAGAAGCCTACATGCGGTCAGCCTGCACCTTAATTAAGGGGTACAGTTCAAGGCTCGCTGCTTTTGTCGGCGTGGCCCCGCGCTTGAAGAGGGAGGAATGCCGATGTGCACAGCGGCACTTCGTGCTAATTGAGTGAAATTCATGTTGGCCCGGTATATTCACCGAGGCATGAACAAGATGAAAAGAAGCGAACATCAGCTTGAAATCATTTCCGTAGCCAGATGTCGCCATCGCTCCAGCAGATCCTCGTCTGCGCTTGCCGCTGAATCTTGCCCAACTCGACCCGATCGTTGCGCTCAAACCAGACTGAATCCGACGACATGGGGTAAAGAGGGGTTTCTTCGTGGGCCACTTTCCATTGGATATCCCAAATGATGCTTCCGCCGCGAATCTCACCGATGCAGGAATTGTCTTTCTCTCTGTACCAATAGCCCTCCAAATCGTTCCAGAAGCTGGAATCGACCTCAGTCTCCCCCGGAGGGTTTTCTGCCTTGCCGAACTCCTCGACAAGCCCCACCATGCAGTTTTTCTCGTATTGAACTGGTGTTCCTTGACAGCAGGGTCTCGTACATCCTTGACAACAGGGTCTCGTACAGCTGCCACACAGCCAGCCGCTGAACCACATGAGACAGAGCACGTGTATTACTGTATTGTGTAAACCCAGCCCTGCTGCTAACCTATCAGTAGCTCCCATCAGTAGCTGACCCGGACCGTGCTGTGAACTGGTCCGGTTATCCCAAGCCGGTGGTTGCGTCGTCTCTATTACAAAAGTGATGAATGCTTTCGTGAACAGTCTCTTCCAAACCATGGTCTACGGCATGCATGAACCCTGGTAAAGACCAGCTTGTGCTGCATGATGTCGGCTTGTGCAAAAGGAAACGGCTGCAGTTTTTCGGTAGAATTGGGCGCTGCAGGCGCCCTAGACTCGGTCGGTGCTGCAGTAAAGCTAGTCTGTTGAGGAATCCTAGCTGATACAACGACATTAAACGAAATGACCACTTGCCCGTCGTGCACCGGACAACCCAAAACTTCCGAAGTCGCAAAGCCCGGAATTGCCCAAACTCTTGAAAGGTCTACATCAGACCGAGGCGGTAACGATGCTTTCGGCATCAAAGATGCCTAGAGTGACCCTGTGTTTATGGTGTCTGGTTTCGGGGCGTCCCCAAACATGCTCACATAATCTCCCATCTTCAAATTCGTGGGACAGCTTTCTGAAAAGGAAGCGACCAAATCTGAATCGAACCCTCCAATTCGAGGACGTAGTTCCATCATCTTCGCCATGAACCTGAGGTTGCGCGAACGAACACACTCGGCAAACGCAGTGCTTTGATTCCTTGGTGCATGCTGTGCTTGCGGAATGGTAACCAATGCGAAATTCTGGCAACCCCCAAGGTAAATGGATATGCGGTTCAGCCACATGAGCTTCAGCAAGGAAAGTGCGCCTGTGGATGTATGCTCCGCACTCAACATCCCTCCAGTCATGACGGACCCGACACAACAACTTCACTAAAAAGTTGACCAAGATACCTTGCTTGCACAGACGGTGCCAACGGTACTGCCTTGAGTTCCACCTTCCGCATTGGATGCTTTGGCGGCTTTCTTGTCTCTGCGCATGCAGCATGTTGCTGCTTCCGGGTTGTGCTCTATAAGGACTACCAATCGAATTCTGCACAAATCCATGCGAATCCTAGCAAGTCAGCGTTCAGTGTGTTGAAGCCGTCATTTTGTTTGCCCCCCTGGCTCTAGCAGAAACCGGAAACACCTTTGAATAGTGCGCGTTATAATCATGGCGAAACATAAGACAGGGCAGGGCCCAGTGGTCCCATGAAGCTATTCAGACCTGTCTTGAACCCTTTTCGAAGGTTTGAAGCAGGGCACTGCAATGCACTAAGCCCTGGATGCTTTCAGCCAAGCTCCAAACGCCAGAACTTATGGCTGAGCATGCAAAGCGTGTCTGCAACCACCGATGTGGGAAAACGTGGGAAAAAGGCGACTGTACGTATTCTTGCCCGATCGCTAAACGCAGCTCGACGACAGGCGTACCTCTCACAACCCTCGACTCTTCTTTTCCCCCCCTGAGTGATCTGCATCTCAATCCCATGCCTGAAATCCCCGGGCCCGCACCTGAGGTCCGAAAGCAGCAGTCAAGCCCGTCCTGTCCGTATCATGCAACATGAGCTTTGGCCTATCATGGCCTAGAGCAGTACCAAAAACGGTACGTATGATGACAGCCGGTTATGGCGGAAGGAAGTGTTTGCAATACAGCTCTCAGACTGCGATCCATTGCAGTAGTGAAAACGCAACTCGGATACTTTGGGGCTATCCTTTCACTCTATGATAAACTATGTGAAGACTGTGCTTTAAAAGACTTACAGACTGGCGGGCCCCTCCGTGGAACCTTAGAGTTTTGGCCCCCGAAAGGATAGGATCCGCTCACGCAGTGTTTGGATTTGGGGCACTTTGGGCGAGAGAGATCTTCACTGCGGGCTTGGGGTTTGGTGGTGGGGTTTCGAGTTTAGGATCTAGGGCTCGGGATGCTTTGCAGGATTTTTGATTTTTTTAACTGATGTTTTCTCTGTCGACGATCTGACACACGGCTAGATACGGCTAGATGATATGCATTTCTGGTGTCTTCGGAACCACTCGCAGCACCACCAGACACGAAACTCGGATCCAAGGTCCGGACATGATCTGATCGTGGTGGTGCTTGTGAAAGTACTCCACAAAATCCGCGAAGCCAGCCGCCTCAACAGCACTACGCTTGACTTGAAGTTTGAGTATTCAGAAACTGCGGGGTGGGTGGGTGGTCCTCTGGTTGCTATACACCTATTGATGCCCTCTCTCCCTGAACCGTCTGATGTTCGGGCTGCTCCGGTGGTGCTCTGAAATCTCTGAGGAAATATCCGAGTTCTCGAAGTCGAGGAGCCGTGCGCAGCTCGCCGAGGATATCCTGCTCCCACTTCAGCTCCTTTCGGGAAGTTGGCCAGTGCCAGGGAGACCAAAGAGCTTGGTTCTACACATTTCTCGCTCTTCCAAAGGGTCCAAGTTCCATTATGGTATATACTTAGACCTCCAAAATACCCTATAAGTTCGATAAGTATATACCATAAATGATCCTCGGACCCTTTGGTCTTCTTGCAGTAAAGAACTGACATGACGTCGAGATGCCAAAAAGCAAGGCTTCTGCGCCGAACAAGATCACGTGTTTTGTCTGGTAGCACTGGGGCCAGCCGATCTCCTCATCCTACTATCGGGGCATTATACTACAACTATACAAAAGGAATCCCCAAAATAGTATTGGCACAAATTTTGGTCCCTGCATTACTCGCTCTTAGGTGCAACGGTTCTTGACGGTGAGATAGACAGATCTGGGCTTGAATTCTGACTGCGGCCCGGCCACTAATAGCAAACTCCTCTACGGTACGATCGCAAAGTAAATCAGTAAATATATGTATATATTATATAGAGTACATGCTATAGTATATTGTTAAAATTGTAGTATACCGTATCATAGTAAGGTAACCGTGGGATCATCGCTACTCTGCAACCACGAACCTTAGCCCGGGAGCGAATAACAGAACGACAAAAGAATCATACTGGGTTTAGAGTTTATGTCTAGGGTTTAGGATCATAGGTTTTGGCGTAGCGGCTAAGTGCCAGTCCTCCGCGTCCATAGTATCGTCACCAACACAACCACCATCATCATCAAGACAATCACCACCTCTTTCATAGCCAGCCGCACCCTACACCCTGGCCCTTTTCTTGCATCCGGGCTACGAAGCTCTGGCCGGAAAAATGCTTATAGCGCCAAACCCTACCTTGACTCCGAAAAACCTACCGTTTTAAGCACTCATAGAAGGAAATCATAACACGGAGCCCTAAACATGTAGGTTCCTTAGGGTCCAGGTGCGCCTCTTCCTGGATCTCAGCAGCTCGTGCAGCAGCCTTCTCCGCCATCTCCGCCGTCAGCGGCGGCCGTCGCTTCCTGGATCCATCTGGGGGGTGATCAAACTTAGGGGCCGTTTTGGGGTCTGTATTATATCGTATAGGGGCGGCAATAATTAGAGTAGGGTTGTGGTGCCCATGAATAAAACTATATTTATAATAAGGAACCCCCAAAACAGTATTGGTAAATATAATATAATAACATATTGGCCCTATATTAAATAAGCTAAACCTAAACCCTCAACCCTGAATTCAAAAGCCTCAACTAGGCGCCCCCCAAAAAAAGCATATAAGCCAAAATTAGGACCCCTTATAATGAAGCCCAATAAGGTCAGGATATCCCTATAAATGCTTGTGCTTATGGGTGGTTGTCAAAATGATGGTCCCTTGTTGGGTCCGTATTATAATACGGCACCTATTAGGGTACCCCAAAAAAGGGACCCTAATTTTGACAACCACCCTTATGTGCTTTTTGGGTCCCTCATCAACCCTACTTAAAGGATCATGGGATTTAGTAACTAAGGCTATAAGTAGGGTAACTATACATATAACTACTTTATAACCCCAATTAAGGTAGTAAGTCCCATGATCCTCCAAGTAAACCCTACCCGGCCCAGGCACGCCATCCGCTTCACGCGATGTGGGGAATCGAAGCAGGAGCCCGAGTGCATCGGAGAACGGCAGATGGAGCAGAATTGGTGTTGGCACCTTGGGTGTAGGGCTGAGGGACTTAATAGAGAGGCCTTCACAATTACAGTACTATTTTGGGGGTTCCTTGCTATAGGTATAGCAAAAAATGGGGCCCCAAACCCTATTCTAATTATTAAGGCCCCTATATTAGGTTGCATGCTTTTGACGCGCTTAAGGTAGGTTTTCGGGTGTCCGCTCGCGCAACCTGTCGATGGACAAGATCCTGCATGACCCTAAGGACTCTAAACTATGGGAACTATGCCATATTCCTTATAATGGGTAATGCAGGATTTGTATCATCAACAGAACTCGGGCCTTTCCCCCCAGACGAGGTCTCGAGGTTCGCGTTCGCTCTGATCTTGTGCTTTACCCATCGGCTCCATAGCTCCTTTTTTGGGAGTACCTCATAGGGATTCTACATATTAACCCCAAAAAGGAACTGCTCTGGACTTTGGGTAGGTACACCCATTTTTTCCGAGCTCGGCGGAAGTAAGAGTATATGCAAGGAAGCACGCTTGGCTTCATATTGTCCGGTGCTGCCACCCCTCTTAAATGGCCTCTGCGTTTCTGTCCTCAGAAGCCGCACAAAAACTCGAGCCGAAGCCCAACACCTAAGTAAAAGCTGATGCAATGCAGCATCTCAGGCGTACCCGCCTGTACCTCCCACGAGACATTTCCGAAAGTTGACCTCGAGTTCCTCCCGGTTAACATTCTTCCCGATGAAGGTCAGCTTGCAGACTCTCTCCTCATCAGGGCCCCATGGGCGCTGTGGGGAGCCAGTGAAAGCCATGTGAACTGCCTGGAACACGAACTTTTCCTTCATGCCCTTCACGGCCAGCACACCCTTGGTACGAAAGAGGTCTGCCCCTTTCTCCTTCAGAATCGTGCCAAGCCAATCATTCAGCTTCTGCTGATCCACCTCGCCCTTCACATGGAAGCCTGCAGACGTCACACGGTCATCATGCTGATGGTCTTGGTTGTCCTCCAAAAAGGCATCATCCATTTCCAGGATCTTGTCCAAGCTGAAGGCCTGGATGCCGAGAATAAAGTCCATGTCAACTTTGCTCTGAGTGGCACGGCGGATCTTCACGGACTCGTTGATCATCCGGATGCGCCTCTCCACCTCCTCTAAGTGTGGTTCGTCGACAAGGTCACACTTGTTCAAGACAATGCGGTCTGCAAAGGCCAACTGTTCCACAGCTTCGTTCTCGACGCCCTCGGGCTTCTCTTCATCCAGGTGGGGGATCAGGTGCTTAGCATCCACAAGGGTCACGATACCATCCAGGGACATCTTCTGCTGCACAAAGTCGTCTGCGAAGAAAGTCTGTGCGACAGGAGCTGGATCTGCCAAGCCGGTGGTTTCGATGATGACGCCGTCAAGTGGCTTGTTGTTCTTGACTGCGTTCCTGGGTTCTGGTTAAGGGCTTGAATTTAAGCTACCATAACAAGGAAACCATATTATTTACGATAGATACCGATACCTATTACGGTAACTTATTAAACTAAATCCCTTAACAAGAACCCAGGTTCTTGATCATCTTCTTGAGCCCGGCAATGAGGTCGCCTCGGACGGTACAGCAAATGCAGCCATTGTTCATCTCGATGATGTTCTCCTGTGTCGCGATTGAGCCGGCCTCAATCAAGCCGTCGTCGATGCCGACCTCTCCAAACTCGTTTTCGATGATGCCTATGCGCTTGCCGTGGTTCTCGTGCAGGATGCGATTCAGCAGTGTCGTCTTCCCGCTTCCAAGGAATCCGGTGAGCACCGTGACGGGCACCTTGCTTTCTGAAGGCTTTGCCTTCATTGCTGCCTGCACCTGTGCCACTTTGTCCTTCAACGCCCCATCTGTGCTCCCTGCCAGCTGCTGTGCACACTCGTAATCATTGGTTGCACGCTTGTGCGCACCCAGGCCCGTAATGATATCACCACGGAGCTCGTACATTTGTCGAAGGGTGTCTTTCTGCTCTGCCGAGACCTTCGGGACCGTCTCGGCGATGAACGTCGGGGGGTCCTTCAAAATCTTGTCCGAATCGTCGCCCAAAACCTTGGCGAAGGCTTGCATGCAGGCATTGATGTGCTGCACAGCATCGAAGAACTTCCCTTCCTTCAGGGTCGCCTGTGCTGATGCCAAACTTTCGGTCCAGTTTTCTGCCATGGCGTCAGAATGGCGACTGAAGTGCCTCGTCGGTGGATACCACGGGTTGCGAATCGGACCTTGAGCCGTAGCCAGTTTCGGAACAGAAAGGCAAATCTTGCCCTAAACCCTAGACCCCTCAACCCCAAACCCGTTTTGCACAGACTTGTATATGCCCGCCTCCCTTAAGCCGAATCTTGCTGTCCGGCCTATGAGCTCAGCGCGGAACAGAAAACCTCATATTGATCCTGAGGTTCATGATTCTTGATGATCGCTGAACCGGCTTTCGCCCACTACAGGATGTGACGCCCAAGCTCAAGCAATGTAATTTAGGGGGTAGTGAACATCGGATTTTGGTGTACAAAGATGAAAGTAGTGTGCGCAGGGGCGGGCAAAAATAACACTACGATCCTATTGAGGCTCCTTGTGCAAGCATTTAGTTGAGGTGGGGTCCCAAAGTCCGAACGGAGACTCTCACGATCCGCCCAAAGCCTGGCATTGTCGAAAATTACGACCACCGTCACACTCATTGCCAACACCACGAGCAAAACCATGATCACCACCACCATCAGTAATAAGTACTAAATAATTGAATTTAGGGTTTAAGGTATTAAATTCATCACCAACGATATGCATTCTCGCCGTCATCATCATCGGATCCTTATTCAATAAATATCGTTGTCGTCATCAGCGACTTCTTTGTAGTACACTATTATTTGCTTGTCGTGATTCGCATGATGATCTTGAGTCACAATCCATTTGCATCCTTTCTTTGTATCTCAGTACCGCCACCTTCGTCAGCTTCTTCGCTGTATGTATCTCCATCCTGTTCCACCTTTTCCTCAGCAACCCTAAAACCTAAACCCCAAAACCCGTAGAGTGTTTGTAGTAGCAGCAAATGCAAGGCTGAGATGCTGGAAGCACTGGCATCGAGAGGAAGCATCCACCGGGGTCACAATAGGCATGTCCTGAGCTTTGGCTTCGACAGTTCCGGGTTACCATGACCCGACCCTTCCGAAACCCTTTTCAAAAAACCCAAGCCGTGTTTTCCACTTTAGACTTCGCGGTTGGTGCGACTGCCTCCGAAAAAAGCCGGGCCGGCAAGCTGAACGTGAGACTCTCTACCTCAATTCCCGAAAGCAAAGTTTACACCTGGACTGGATGAATGCCAAAACACACACCCAAATCCAAACCTAACACCTTACTGAATCCCGAAGCTGGAGTTCATGTTTGCGTGTGCGGCTGCCATCCCAATATCGCCTACCAAGCCTCAGCCGAACCATGCGCAGCCTAGGGCTTTGGGTTTAAGGGGGCTGAACAAGACATTTGCCATGCGCGTGCGACAAAACTTGAAATACACGTCTCGTGCTGGATTAATATACACATATGTGCGTTTGTACAATATTCTACTTACTTCGGCAACTGGGCTATCAGTGAACTAGGACAATGATGCCATCAAAGGCTCCATGCCGCGATCTTCGCATCTGGGGCAGAACACGATGGAGTCCTGTACGGCAGGGGCCATCTCGAGATGGGAGCGGGAGGGGGGGGGTTAACCTGTAATGCGGATCTTACCTATAGTCTCCTTTGCAGTTCCTTTTCGGGGTAACCTTATAGGATCCTAACTATATATTGGGTTAAACCAAAGAAAGAAACTACAATGGAGACTGGGTTTTCTCTCTATTGGTTCTGAAGCTCGAAATGACACTTACACATCACTACAACAACCTGCAGCAACAAGGTTGCCTCGGAGCACTTCGCTTCGGTCTGTGATTCAGCAGACCTGCTTGAACTCCCCAGCATTAATGCATCTGTTTCAACAGCGAGGCATCGACCATTTGCCTAAACTCACACCTGAAAACCGTGTGGATCTGCCTGCAAAGGCATGGATAGAATGCGCTTCGAAACAATCGCCCACAGTTCTGGCGTCTCATTCCTCAGATGCAGCCGAGGCGATGGGGTTTCAGGAACACAGGCCCCGCGGGTATGAGGATAATCGACTCGTTCCATGCTGACCATCGCTATCGCTTCTTCGCGAGACGACTGCGCCTGGCATGCTCGTCAGCTGAGTAGAAGTGCCCAGACCTTTTAAAACCCCTTAAAGAAAGGAATATACCTTAAATTATAGTAGGACCCTTCATATGATTCAAGGTATATTCCTGAATTAAGGGGTATTGGAGTCTCTGGGTACCAGATCAGGACTCTGCTGATGAACCATGCGCCCAGGGTGTATGCCTGCTCAGTTTTTCTTCAACCATCGGTGCCTAGATCCCATTAAGACTACAGTGAAAATACTGTATAAGAACCCACCGTTTAAGAACCTGAGCCCCTACCCAAGGCGGAATTCACCAAATTCAAGTTGCCTCAACATTAAGAACCTTAGGGTACCCTAGTTTTTCGGGTCAGGTTCTTAATTTTTTGGGTGCTTTCCCTCACCAGGAAATTTAGAATCGAAAACTAAAATTTTCTACACCAGCCCCTTCCTGGCCCTGTGGTCTCCGACCCACCCAAAAGGCATCAGGAAATTTAGAATCCGAAAGTAAATTTCCGGCCTTCCTTCAAACCACAAAAAAACCCTCGCCCAGTTTGAGGGGACCGAAACCAATCCAGCAAAGCCCCCCTGTAGCGCAGTGGTTCTGCATAGGCCCTGCTGCAGGGGGTCTTTGTTTCAATCCCCGGGGGTGTCATGCCGCTGCGGCGGCCCGCAGCTCGCATTCCACTGAAACAGAGCCCCCTTGCCACCAAACTGTGGAAATTTAGAATTGAAATCTTTATTTTCCACACCAGCCTCCTGGTCCCCGGCCCAAGCCACACCCATGGCCCATCCACCCGGAAATTTTCTGGGGGGTCGGGCCACCGAGTCCTTTCGAGGAGCTGTGGAAATTTAGAATTGAAAACTAAATTTTCCAGACCCCCATGGCCCATCCACCCCCAAGAGGAAATTTAGAATCCAAAAGTAAAATTCCCGAGACCTCGGTCCGGATAAGAACGTGGTTAAGAACCTGAGCCTACCCTAGCTGCTCGAACGGCAAAATCACATGTAATGGAAATTAAGAACCTTAGGGTACCCTACTCTCGCCGAACGGGGTTCTTATACAGGGTTTTCACTGTAGTCTTTTCATTCTGAGCCCTACATGACACCACATCAAAGCAGCCCGAGAAGAAGGATGCCTGCACCTCCGTCCTGACACTCCTCCGATGGAGAGCCCTGTTTGCCTAAATCCCAAACTTATAACCCTTGAGCTGAAACCCTAACAGAGGCCGCCTTAAGATGCAGTCACTACCCATAGGCTCCATAGTAGTTCATTTTCGAAATTACTTTATGGGATTCTAGAAATGAACCCCGGCAAGAAACTACTATGGAGCCTATGGGAAATTATGCTAAGTTAACGAACCCTCAACCCTTCCCAGGCTCCATTGCAAAAGCTCCGGTGCAGTCGCTCGGCAGGAGGCAACAGGACAGTGCCTGAGCGTCTCTTGGGTTCCCTCAAGCGCAAACTTTGCGCCTGAAGAGTACCTAGACCCATAGACCCTCTATCCATAGGCTCCATAATGCATATTTGGAATCCTATAAGGTGTTCCCAAAAAGGAACTACTATGGAGCCTATGGGCATCTACCCTCTAGTAGACCCTAAATGCCCATTATATACCCCTATTTCAGGGTACAATGAGGGTCCTGGCAATGTCAAAATGTAGTTCGCAATCGCCGCATGGAACATACGATGGCGCGCCGTTTTTTGCTCCAACACAGAGGAGTCAATGCAAACACACTTATACAAGCCCGTGAGACGCAGAGCAGATTGTGCGTTTAACCGCAAGACTCCGAGCTACCTGCCTATGCATTTCTTGCTGTGCGGCTACTTGTTGGTTAGAAGCTGCCCCCACCCTGTAATCGTGACTATAAGGATTATATTAGGGCCCTATTATATTCCTATATACCACTATTACAGGGTGGGGGCCCCTTCTAACTTATTGGCTTGAAGAGCCAGGTTTGGATGCATGTCCCTCAAACGTTGATTTCAGGCGGCGGGGTCTGCTGGTTGGCCGCGAAGAGTTGGGAACAAGTCGCTGCACACTGCGGGCCTCACAGCGGGTAGGAGCTGCAATCGAGACTAGGACCACATGCTCGAATCACCGTGATGTCGCATCAGTCAGTCCCAGCAGTAGGCACACGACTGTAATTACGCACATTTTGTGGGGTGGAGTGTGTCTTTCCTCAAGACACCATCTTTGTGCTATGTAACTTTCAATACAATGCAGAGATCTGATCAGCAAAGCCAGAGGGGGTCCCTTACTATTAGCATACGGCTTTTGGGGTATACAGTGGTTATAAATGTAATTAGGAACGAGAAGAATCAGAAATGTAGGGTCTCCTGAAGAACGATGGAAGTGGCCAAATGTGTCGCTGTTCCGTACTCGAACTGGTTTGACATGCCCTCTCTACACTCTACAATCACAGGCGAGACCAGGAACAATCAGCGCGTGTGTTCCAGTCGGTGGGGATCCGTGACTGATGATGCATGCATGCGAGACTGTGTATGCCCGCTGGCAGTCCAAGCAGCAGAAGGAGTGCCCGCATGCCTGGAGGTGAACTCGTGAAACCGAATCCAGCTGGATTGCGCAGCTCCTGTGCTGCAGCTTGGTTGCTCAGAGGCTGCACATGCTCTTTCATCTCTTTATCAGCACACCTTGAAATCCCACACCCTTTATTGCCTGTGTGTGTTTACGTGGCAAGTTTCTACGGGACTGGAGCTCATGCACTTGTAGATTACTTGGAAAGAAGCATCGCTTGAAGAAGCTTTCTCGACGAGGCAGCTACCGAGGCATGTGGAAAGACCCGAGGAGGTGTACCACGGCGCTTGGAACAAGATCAAGACTCTTAGCGAAGGCTTAAAGTTTACAATGGCAAACCGGGACAAACAATTCGGCAGCCAGTATAATAATTTAACACTACTGGCCTCGTTATGGGGTGCTGCTTAGAAAAATCCAAACACATGTAGACTCCGTTGGCCGCAACCCAATTGCCCAAGTCCTGAAGCCCTCAAATTTCACGATACCTCGGCCCAAGCTCCCAAACAAAACCCGGCCATCCATAAAAGCTCTCTCTCTCTCTCTCTTTCTCTCTTTCTCTCTCTCTCTCTCTCTCTCTCTCTCTCTCTCTCTCTCTCTCTCTCTCTCTCTCTCTCTCTCTCTCTCTCTCTCTCTCTCTCTCTCTCTCTCAAGCATTCGGAAATAGAAAACCAGCCAAAGATCTCACACTTGGCAGATCGCAAGATTTCATCAGGATCTGCTGACCTCGCCGGGTAAGCTTTGCTTTGTGGCTTTTGGGCGGCAGGTAGGGTTTAGGGCTCTAGCGTTTACAGGGCCTCGACCGTTGTTTCCCATGTTTCATTCGGTCCACTCTACCAGTTCTTTCCTCTTTGTGTTGCATTGTTTTGATTCATGTGGTAAGTTCTGAGACTTCTGAGTCTGGAACCAGTGGTTTCTGCTAGAGGCGATTATGGTTTAGGTTGCAACCATACACGGCGAAATGAGATGTGTGAGTTCTGTCTTCGCGTGTGTGTGTATATATATATATATATCCACACACTCACCTCCCTCAGCTGATGGCCATATCTGTCCACACAAAAAAGATTCATGTATGTATAAGTACGTATGTTAGAAGGGGCCCCCACCCTGTAATAGTGGTATAATAGGAATATAATAGAGCCCTAATATAATCCTTCTAGTCACTATTACAGGGTGGGGGCCCCTTCTAATATGTATGTATCAAATCTATCCTCCTCAACAACAAGTAGCGGGATGTCGTCGAAGAAGTCTTCGGTCTCAAGCTCTAGGAGCGCCACCTCGCGCTGCAAGCATCGCTTTGAAAGCTTCATAGGAACCCCTGTACTATCGGTTTACTTAAAGGATCATGAGACTTAGTAACTAGGGTTATAATTCGGGTAACTATACTTATCACTACTTATAACCCCAATGAAGGTACCTATAACCTTACTTACTAAGTCCCATGATCCTCCAAGTAGGGTTTAGGGCTTGAGGTTTAGGGTCCATACCATAGGAACCCTTATGCAACCGTTGATTTCATGACGCATCTAGAGCCCTTGCGGCTAGAAACTTTTGTGAGCCAGCTACGAGATAAGAACCTTGCAAAATCCATGCAACCTTAAGGACCTCATAGGAGCCCCGCAGTATACTTTAACACCCTGGTGGAAGTTGTGTTGCATGCCCTTCTAGAAGCCTTACGAAAACCTTGCCATTAAATCGCCTTAGAATCCTTAGAAATTCGATACCCTTTTGTTAGAAGACTCTTACAGAATTGCAGAACCAGTATAATCAAGACTGTTAAAGAACCATTCGATTACAAGAGCCTCCTAGAAACCTTACTGGAATCCCTTAGCGCAACTCGTAAAACAAAAAAGCAGCTCACGGAAGAGACGACCCAGAGTAAAACAGACAAGCCCCGGCATAGACTCTTCCATCATCACCCTTGAGCCCTTGCGGAGTCCCAAAAACGCCGACCCCAAAACATCAAACTCCCAATCCAAAACCACAAACCCTAAACCCCCAAATCTAAACCCCAAAAGATCAGCCCCCTAAACCCCTAACCTCCTAAACGGTGAACCCCTAAACCCCCAAACCCTTTTCTTTTGCACAGGCTTGCGTGAACCCCCAAACCCTAAACCCCTAGCCTTTCTTTCACCTGGACTTGATGAATGCCTCTATATCCTGAACCCTCAACCGTAAATCCGTAAACCCCCAAAATAGCTCCCCCCTCCCCTCCCTCGCCCCCCCGGCCTCTTGCGAGGGAGCCTCTGAGGAGACCAACGCAGTGGGTGGGAATGCAGTGACGGCATCGGTCCTCAGCCACTCCAGCCTCGGGCTGATAATGAGAGAAGACTGTTCGGTAGACGGTTCGATACGCAGACTACGGTTCTTTTTAATTACATACATAAGTTTAAAGGGTTTTACACGGTTGCTATAGATGTAATAAGGTATACGGTATACGATCTTAATTAGTTGAATCGGGTTCCTTTAAAGTTACAGCGTTCCTGGGTCGGTTCTATAAGGGTTACTCCAAGGGAATACTTGAGGGGCCTGAACAATTAGAGTCGGGTTCCGTTTAGGCGCCCTTTAAGGGGTTTCTGTAAGGGTTTAGTGTCGGGGCCTTGGTGATTAGACTGTTGGTGCTTTGGCTATAATTAGTGTAGGTAGGAGTATATCCCTAGTTACTAGTACAATGGCATTGAAGCCGCGAGCCTCCAGACCAAAGGATACCAAAGGGGGGTCTACATCATACCCCGGGATTCGGCAAGGTGCCTGAGTTGACCGCAGCCTTACAGTAAACCCTAAGACTATTGTGGCAGAACACCGTGCGAGACGCATGGAAGGCACTTGAGCAGCCGTGTTTGGAAAGTGCGCAGTAGGCTTATTCCCACAACATTAAATTGTAGCCTCATCACACTTGAGAAGTGACCAATGCTGGAAGAGTCGCGAGACCAATAATCTCTGAGACTTGAGTCCGTAGGATGCGAGTTAGCTGATGCGCCCCGCCATGTGGGCAGTAGAAGGCCTCTGCAATGCTAAGGGGCTAAGGGGCCACCACGGAATCCTTCAACAAATAAACTGAAACCTACATCCCTGAACCCCTTCAGTCCTAAACCTTCTTCTGAAAGAAGCCCAGCAATGGCAATGCCGGGCAACCAGCTGAAGAGCACTGGCGAACCGCGGAGAGGCTCAGCCAAAGCATGAAGCTCCTGTGTTCAAACGAAATGATGGTGTGTATCAGTTTGTGTATGTACGTATATGTATAAATGAAAATATATATATATATATATATATAGATATATATATATATATATATATGTATATACATATGTATATATACACACATAGTTGCTTCTAGAAGAAGCTGCCAGAATTGATAAGCAGTTCAGCTTTTCTAGCTAAATCAGACATTGTACCTATCAGTAGGTAGTTTTTACAACACAGAACCCAGAGTTTACGGTTTTAGGGTTTCAGGGCTAAGGGTTTAGGATTTTAGGGCTGTTTTTTTCGGGTTTTTGGGTTTAGGGATGTGAAGCAAGCATCACTAAATTCAAGCTCAGTTTGTTGGGATCATGCAGATATTTGGACTGCCTGCTGCATTCCTCTCTCTTCAACTTGGCACCTCCAAGTGGAGTCCCATATGGGAGTTTCCGAAAACAGGGGACCCTAATATAGTACCCAAATAGTAGGATCCTTACTATACTTCTTCTGGCTTCTCCGTCCTTCATTCTTAGCCCTGAAAGTTCCGATGCCTGTGCCATGAACTCCAAGCGCTCGGGGGACGGCTTCTTTGAGCTCAGCCTGGGAGGTTTGCTTTTTTTTTGCTGCCTTGACAGGTTCAGGGTTAAGAGGGACTATATGCTACAGGCGCTGTACGGGTATTCCTCTGAATGTGCTTAGGGGTTTATTGGGTTCTACAGTTTTGGGGCGCAGGTTTATATGAGCTTTGAAGCCATTAGACTGTAGACTTTTACTAGAATCTAGAACAATTAGTATCGGTAAGCGAACTTGTAGGCTGAAGATGGCTTCGTAGATTCGAGCAAGCTACAGTGTAACAACCGGTTCGAACTTCGAACATCGACGGCCTAAAGTTGCCAGTTGAGTGCTTCCGTGACCAGGCTCAAAAGATGAGCCTAGTTCATGACATTTGTCTGTTTGCTGTGGACTGGGGGGTTTTGGGTTTGTGGGCCTGAACAGATATAGATCGCGGCTGTACACTGCTTTTAGGGGTGCAGAGGTTTCGGGCTTGTCACGATGAGGATAGGTAGGAGGTCTGTCTTGATGTTAAAATGCGACTTAACTAACAGCGGCCTGGTTGCAGATCAGATAGGAGTCGGAGATAGATCTAGCTGTTTTCAATTGCTTTGTTGCGAGTATGCAGGAATCATTGATACCGAGATGAGGGTGTCTCGCTTTTCCCAGTACAGCAGCAGTACTTCATGGCTTCTGACAGCCGTTTGGGATACATATTCATTATCCTCAAGAGCCCTGTGACCCAAACGAGAGATACACCACTGTTGCTGCTAGTTGCTGCTGCCAACACTCAGTGTCCCGAAATGTACCTTCTTCGGCTGGCCTTCGTCTTAGACACATGACCTTGAGGCTTCAGGACCTGGGCATTCGGATTTTTTCTTGCCCCCTACACCCTTTTGCAACTACTCTAAACCCTAACCCCTACAAACCCTGAAGCCCATCTGCCCCCTAAGACCTTTTGCAACTGACCTTAAACCCTGACCCTAACCCCTAAACCCTGCAAACCCTAAAGCCCATCAAGCGGCTCAAAAAGCGGCAGCGCCGACGCGCCATCCTCTGCGAGGTACTCCTCAGGCAGCCTGCATGCACTGCAGGACACGGTTTGGGCGCTTACACTCCCTGGTTTAAGGTTCAGGGTTTAGGGTGTCCAATTTAGAGCCTCTTTGGGGTTCCCAAGCTCGAATTAGCTTTCAAGGTTCAGGGTGTCCAGATTAAGGACTCTTTTGGGTTCCCAAGCCATGGGGTGCCGTGTGGAGAGTAGAATCATGCAGGGTTCCCATGGGTTCCCCAAAAGGATCATGACACGTCGGTGATCTGATACTCCCTGGAAGCCCAGCTACATGCATATTATAACAGATTGATATACTGCGATGGTACAAGGGCAGGAGCCTACTTTTGAACCCAGGCTCAATTCCGGCATCAGCTGGGAATCGGCAGCTGCCTACTACACTGACAGGTAACTGGGATTCTAGTGGACAATGATCGGGTACTGCTTCCAGGTAGCCAGATCGTGATGTTGACACCTGCGGATCGGAATGTGGCCTGCAACTGCCGGCAGGCTCCTGGAGGAACATCCGTGACTCTAAGCTGAAGTCTGGAACATCTGGGCACACTTAAAGGTAGAGTGTCGTAATCTCCTCCAGTTAAACACAGTGGTAGCCTGGTGCGTCAACAGCACTCCTTCGTCCCGCGGATTTTCGAGGTCTGGGAGCACCAGAATCACCTCTGCGGGAAGTGCGTCTTGTGATGATAGCTTAGCAGTTTCAATCAACATGCTGGCTTTACATGCTAAGGCAGGGGCCTTATAATTCGAACAGGGTTTCGGTGGTTCCTGATTATGATTCTAACATAAAATACCCCCAAGCCCCATTCTGATTACTAAGGCCCCGATATTACAGGTCTCAGATAGTAACGACGGTGCGTCCTCAAACGCCCCAAAGACTCCAATATCCCTTAATTAAGGAATATACCTTAAATTATAGTAGGATCCCTAATATGATTTATAGGGTATATTCCGTAATTAAGGGATATTGGAGTCTCTGCGGCCCGCGTGCTCATCCTGCGTGCCAAGCCACATCTCGGCTGCCCTCATAAATCGCCTCACCAGATCGACTCCGGGGGTTTTTCAAGGGACTCAGTAAGGGTTCCTTACAGGGTTCCTTAAAAGGATCTATAGGGTTCCTTAAAGGGATCCATGGGGTTTAGGATTTAGGGTCTACTTAGAGGCCCAGGGGACTTAGTAAGTAGGTTATAAGTAGAGTTATAAGCCCCCTAAATGGAGTTACCACAGTTATAACCCTACTTATAACCAACTTACTAAGTCCCCTTGGCCTGCAGGTATTGGTATTAGGATATTAGACATGAGTATTCGTGGTAGGAATGACTATTAAAGTTTTAGTATTAGTAATTATAGGGTAAATGGTACATTAGTACTGTACAAGCCAAGGAATAGCAAGTGGTGGGTTCAAGAAGTCCTGGGCAGACGTTTTTTCCAAACGAGTCTCCAACACAGCCCTAGCAAAACTCTACCCAAGACCCTAAACCCTAGGAAACCCAACAAAACCCCCAAATCTCAAACCCCTAAACCCTACCTACTAAGTCCCCTGGGCCTCCAAGTAAGTATATACATCCTTATAAGAACCCTAATGTAAAAACCAATCCTTAAACCCTACCGAGTCCCAGACCTCCAAGGATTCGAGCTCGGCTTGCTGCTCGCAATTGCACATGCGCTCGCGAGGCTGCAGCGACTAGGGCTTCTTTAAGGAGATCCTTCGAAGGATCGATGGGTGGCTTCCTTAAAGGGAGTCGGGGTTAGGTGTTTAGGGATTGTGCGTGGGATTCAAGGTCGACATGCCTAGGATTGGTTGAAGTCCAAAATTTCAAAACCTCCGGCTTCTACGAGATCTTCTGAACTGCGACTCTTCACATGCTGCAGATACTTGCTTTGTTTGGGGGCTGGGGCTCTGGCCTGGACTCAAGGTTGCGAAAGCGGCGATGTGTTGGGTTTGGGGTGAATAGGGCTTAAGTTTAGTGTCTAGGTCTACAAGATAATTTGGTTTCAGAGTTCAAGGCCTAGGGATAAGGTTTGATGATCTGGGGACTGGAAAGTCTTTGTTTTAGTTTGGGATTGTAGAGCTAATGGATTCCAGGTAGAGTAAAGGCTTAAGGCTTGGGTTCAGGGTTTATGGGCTTTTTTCTCCTGCTTAGCAAGGGCTTTATTTAGGCTTCAGGGCTTGTTGGCTTGTAACGGTCTTCCTCTTCAGGATCCCGCCGCTATGTAAGGGTCTTTTCTCGGCGTTGTGTCTTCAGAAACTCTCATATGCCTTACATAACTTCGCATGGGTGTCAAAGGCCGTCACGGTCAAGGTCTATAGATCCCGAATCTTCTCGTCCTATCATGCAATTAATTAATTACCTACGATAGCAGCTAGCAGGGAAAGCATAGGGTTCTCTAAACGAAGTCTTGCATGGAGCTACGGCTACTTCAAAGCGTCCTCGTTCCGACATCACACCTTGATGCTCAGATGTACTACTAGCCGGCCATAAGCCCGTGGTGTTGACTATGATTATGAACCCTTAGACCCTCCAGACAGCCTATATACCTCTATGAATCTACCTTTTGCCTCTATCGTAGTTCGTTTTTGGCTACCAAGGAGAGCCCTAATACTAAGTACATGGAAAACAAACAAGAGTCCCTCAGTTCTGAAAGAAGATCCAAAGCCCTCTCCCCTAGCTGCTCTACCTCAACCCCGAATAACCTGCCGTTTTAAGGACTTATGAAAACATATTAAGAACCCTGCATTGAATGGTAGGTTTCTTAGGGCCCAGGTAGCCCCTAAACCTGTCGGAGAGCTGGACGATGACTTTTTGCCTGGCACTCTCCATCTCTGTACAAGGAGTTCACAGATGGCGTAGGATCCTCCGAAAAAAACCCGAAGTGCGTGGATTTGTGTCTTAGTTGCTGAGTTCCTAAGCCCCCAAAAGTGTACACTTTCAGTCGTATAGTGGGTAGTATTATTCCACTCAGCTACTAAAAGTGTTTTAGGGCTTTGGGTTTCGTTGGCTTTCAGAGCCCGGGTTGGGGGCTCGGGGGGGTTTAGGGTTCGGGAGCGTTTCCGGCTTTCGTGAGTTCCACGAAGTGATGCTCAGAGCTGAAATGAGCGAGATTCAATGAATAGGTACATGTCAAGGGATCGGGCGTTGGGGTGCGAAGTGACGATCGCCGCTTGAAGTTCTCTCTCCAACGACCAGCTTGGCCAACCAAGTAAGGACTGCAGCCCAATCAGCTGGATCCTGTCGCTGAGGAGGCCGCTGACCTCCGCGAGCTACGATTCACGTTTTCCGAGACCCAAAGGCTCCATGTACCTTTATAGTAGATACTTAAGCCTTAAAGGGGTCCCTATATAGGTACTTTAAGGCCTAAGTATGTACTATATGGGTACATGGAGCCTTATAGGGAAAGCCTTCGCTCCGATGTCCTCCGAACCCGCTGTTCCCCAGCTCGCCGACTTGCACATACTCACAGGATGCTGGGGAAGGACAAGAAAGGCGATGTTGCGCAAGTGATTCATGGTAAACAGCTGAGGCTCAAGGATGAGAAAAGTTCCACAGTCTCGAAAAACTTCTCGTGTCCGTCCCTGCATCCACAGGGCGATGAGGAACCCCAAAGGCCGAACCCTGACAAGTAAGCATGTGCATGTCAGGCGAGACAGACATCCGACGTGGACAAGCGGCGTTGAAACGCCCCGGCGCTTCGGGCACGACTAGGGTTTAAAGTCACCCAAGAAGAAAGTCTGACATTAACGGAGAGGACATGCTTGTCGCAGGCTGAATAAACCTAACTGGTCCTTTGGCATTCCGCCCGCAGGACGCGGCCCGCGGCAACAGTTGCTCGATGTGAGCCCAGGGCCCAGGGCGCGTGGCTCCCACAAAGGATAATGCGGCAATGATGCATAGACACGTCTACGAAACGCTGGGGCGCCAACACCTGCAAGTTGACATATCCTTGTCCCACTAATGCTTGAATCTCAGCCCTCTACACGCTTTTTTGTATGCCTGTAAACCCAGAGAGACTTACAAACTCCAGCAGGAGCCTAACTATTTTAACGAAAAGCGTCTCAAGCACCCACCGTAGGCTCTGGGCTCACATCGAACTCATCCGGAACACAGTGAGACAGTTCTACAAAGCTTCAAGGAAAGACACATAACGCTGCAAAAGCACCTGTTCCTCAACAAGTGGTGCACCTCAGTGGGACACCGAACAAGAAAGTTTGGTATAGGATGTATAGGGCAACCAGGGGTTTACATCCCAATGCGAGCAGATTTTTGACCAACACCACTCGTGCAGTAGCTCTGCTACGGTCGCACTTGGCTTACGGATGCCTCCCTTGGCTTTAGGAGGACAATCTTGCTGATTCGCATGCTTGCGGAGTCAATACCTGATATTGTTGATGGACAAAAAATCCTGCATTACCCATTATAAGGAATATACCATACTTCCCATAGTTTAGAGTCCTTAGGGTCATGCAGGATTTTGTCCATCAGCAGTATTACCGAAATTTCTTTGCTCCCAACTCAGCTGCATCCCGGCCCCCCGCCTGCCACCTCGTCTTCCGTGTCCTTACTTGGCAAGTCATTACGGGGACCCCTACCCTATAATGGGCTATATAATGGGTATATGATAGATATACTAAGGGTATATACCTAAGGGTCCTTATTAAGGGTCCCTCCTTTTCCCCTTTGATACTTGCCAAGTTGTCATTACGGGGTCCGGGTCTGCGGGTTCAGGCCAGGCTTGAGGCTCTCAGGGGGGAGTTTGTTTAGGGTTTAGGGCTTTGGGGGTTTAGGGCGTTTTCGGACTTTACCCAAAGGGTCCAAGTACCATTTTTGTAGGCACTTAAAGGTATTTAGGCCCCCAAAGTATATGAGCGTGGGGCGATATTCAAAGGACCGAAAGCAGACATTGGTAGAGGGGTATCGGTTTTGGCATGAGCTATCGCTTCTCCACAAAATTGGCTTCTTTACTTATAAGGGTCTCCATGATGTAAAGGGGTTACAGATTTAGAGTAAGGCGGGAAGGAACGGACGGACGAAAAGGTACGTGCCCTTGCTGAGCCGCTCTGACTGTGACATGGCTTTGACACTTCCAAGTTCTTCAGTGGCTAAGCACAGAAACTGTTATGCGACGACTGGTGGCACGTGTTCTGTTGGCTTCAGTACGGCTGGGTACTGAAAGGGCAGTGGGTCGATTTGGCCGAAGACCCCAATCAAAGTGGCATCGGTTTAGTATCGGTTTGGGTATCATCTAGAACACACAATCAGTGAACACCAAAAAGGAGCAAACAAGCATACACCTATTGCACTCATTCAATGGGGGTATCGGTTTTGGGATTAGGTATCGGCTGCCCATGAAAATCAACATTGTCCTCCTGTCGTACTGACACAAGAGGCCATAACAACGCCTTTCGCTCATATACTGTCCTAGTACTTGGACCCTTTGGGTTAGCGGGGAAAAGGGTTTAGGGTTTTTGGATTTAGGATTTAGGATGCGGGGTGGCTTTAAGCCTCATGCAGAATACCTCTAAAGATCCAGTCTGGCAGGCGGCACATCTACAAAACCCATTATCTCTTCGAGTCTGTATGGGCTTCGGTTGCGTGCTGGACTTGCCTCTTTCCAAGGCGCCAGCGTCTTCATGATGACCCCTTGTTCAACGTTCGTGAAACCCCCCCGCTCATGGATTGATGTCACATGTCCAGTCTTGATTGAACGTGAAGCGTCGAATGACCGATGCCGATCCTCTCGAAGGTCCCTTAGTTAATGGATGAAGTAGTCAAATGCCGGTGAATGGAAAACACCTGCGATTGTGGGTCACCATGGGTGCCGTCAGTCGTCAGCCCAATAATTAAACCCTGAACTTAAAGACCTAATCCTAAAATCCTTTACTAAAGCCCTAAAACCCTAAACCTCAAACCGTGCTCAGCTCGTCAAAACCGCAATTGCCTGCCAAACGTCTGCTCTTGTCAGACACTGACCCAGCTCTCGCTCGACGAGCTCGCGCGCAGCTTCATAGGCGGCCTTGGGTCTTACAGGGAACTCCAGAAAGTTGGAATATGGTTTCATGGTAGGATACCCTATAATTTACCATAAAGGGTTTAGGATAATCATATTCCAACTTTCTGGCTTTTACCTTAGGATCTTAGGGTCTAGGGCTTAGGATGCAGGGTCTGAGGGCTTGGGGTATAGGGCTTAGCGTCTTGGGGTCTGGGGCTTAGGGTTTCAGCACTCGCAACTAGGGTTTAGGGCCGTTTCGGCTTCAGGGAGCTGGCTTCTGGCAGTTCGGCCGGAGGGTTTGTCGGTTGGGGTTCGAAAGGTTAGGGCTGTAGGGTCTCAGGAATTACGATTCCGGGGTGTTGGCTTGGGCTTGTGGTCAAGGAAACAACTTGTTCGGGCTTTCGAGGTTTGAGTTCGGAAGCATGCAATGGGTGGAACCACTACTACCTGACCGACCGAATGCCCAGCTGCCTGGCTACTTCACCACCTATCTAAGTGTGTATTTGCTATACTGAATTACATACACACTGGCGTACTCACTTGCTCAGCAGCCTTGGTCACTTGCTTAATTTCTGTCTTATGTTCTGACTTACTTGCTTACTTGCTGCTTGACTGACTGGCTGATTGACTGACCGAGCACCTTTCTGATTGGCTTTGTTTCTGTTCTTCCTTCCT